AGGGATTTTAACACCCAGAGGAGGCGACAACATAACAATGTTTTAACCTTGATCCTCAAACGTTTGGTTCTGTGGACCAATGTTGCTATTCAACATTCTAGACCGAGGCAGTAATGTTTTTATAATGGTTAACTTCCCAAAACAAAACCTCTCCCATGAGCTCTAAACAGATGAGAAATATTATACTTGGATCATTTGGAGGCTTATCAGTTTGGTCTAATATGGAAGGCATACTTATTACAAACAGTCATTTAATTTAACTTTGGACAACTTTCATCTGAAATAAACATCAGGTATGATTAACTTTACAACGAATGCATTTGATCCCTGTTTAGCTGTACCAGGTTTCTGTTTTCTAACATGGGCACTTATGGGACAGAGCCAGGCCAATACCTAAAAAGCTTTAAAAATATCCATATAACTTGAGCGGCTCACAACATCTGAATTTTTTACTCTGGAGCTGTGCACGCTCTTTCCAAAGCCTTGCATGCTCTATATCCCTCAGTGACCGTCGGTTTGACTTATGAGAATTAAAAAGGGCTCAAGATCATCGGATATCGGATACTTCCATGTCAGAGTGCGCTTGGTACAGATTTCTCTCCGCCCTAAGACATCTTGATAATGCCCTCTTAAAGCTTGGTTATATCCCTCGAAGATGGATTTGGCCTCAAATGCTGTAGTCGCACACATTAGGATGCAGCTGACTTTTGCCCTTCGTAAACGAAACGTTTTCTCAAAGCTGGAAAACCACATTTCTATTTCACTTCTGAGCGAAATACGACATCTATGCCAAACCGGTTTGAAATTACCTCGAAACGACACGCAGGCTTTGCTTTCTAAGGTCACATGCCAGCGCTAGTGTTGTGAGACGGATCGGCGAGATGAGGCGCCGATGGTCAGATTGCTTGCGACATGTTCGCTGCTACTTTGGAGCAGGGGGGGAACAGATGTGCGGGTCAGAGAGGCTGCCGTTTAGTGGGAATGTTGAGAAGCGAATGAGATGCAGAGCAGCGTTGGTGTGTGAGGTAACGTGTTGCTGCAGAATGAGGAGTGGGCCTAAGCCAAAGCAAACAGCCCTCACGGATGATGTCATTACCGAATCAAATGCTGCTAATGAACGTAAACGGGGGAAATAAATGGGGAAGGGGGAGTCATTCAGGGAGGGACGGGATCAGAGAGAGGACGGGGCGATAAGACCCCAGAAGAACAGAGCGATACAGAAGGAAATGAAAGAGACAGAAACAAAGAGAGCCCTCCTCCTCCTCCTCCTCAGTACCAGCCTGCCCTTTCTGAAATGTGGGACCCTGTTGTGTGGAGCTGGCAGCCCCAGAGCCTCAGGTCAGATTACCAAAGCAAACGACAGCGAGGAACTCTCAGTTTGGCGACTGAGGTGAACGACCCAGCTGACAAAAATCGACAATTACAACAGAAAAAAGCTCCCCCGTCTGTTCAAAGAGCGATCTGATTAAAAGCCCAGGCCGGTTTGCAGTTCGCCAGCTGTTTTTCTGCGCCCGGAGGGACAGTGAAGTACACACGGCAGAGTATCCTCCAAAACAGTTTCATATTTGTGCATGTGCATACACACACACACACTCTGATCACCCAAAACCTGCGAGGCTGACTGGCACAGCTTTTCAGGTGCATGAGGGGGACTGCTAGGCAGCAGATGCCAACAAGCCCCCCCCCCCCCCCCATTTGCCTCTCCCCCCCCCGGCTCGTTAAATACAGCGAACGAGCTTTCAGCCATTCAGCGGCTGGAGTGAAACACCTCGACGTGTTGGCACACAACCTGGGCCACGGCCGAGGCGGTTTTACAGGACTGGCGAATTGCGAAAGATGCCGGAGGGCGCTGTGTTACCTCAACAGTCTGAAAAAGAAGACAAGGAAGATAAGATAATCCCGCATTAGATGTAACTTGACTACCAGCCTATAGATAGTAGGGGCAACACAAAAGGATACCTCTAAGGATAACTTCTAAAAACATGGAGTTCAGATTTTTTCAATTGACTTTGGGGATGAGTCAGAGCATCTCTTTCTCCTTCTCTTTAAACTGAATGCAACAGAGTGCTAGTTTCCAGCTAGACCGGGGCCTTGAAGCTGGCAGGGCTCCAGCTCCAGGTCAGGCCAGGCCACCCTGCACACTGCGAGTGTGTCTGAGCCGCAAACGTCACGCCACCAGCGACAGTGTTGCCCAGGGGTTATTTTTCACCTCACCTCAAGGCTAATACCCCGGCCTGACCCGAGTGAAATAAGCCTTTAATAACTTAATGATCCCATTAAGCGCCCCCCCTTTTTTTTTTCCATATCCGACTCGAAAGCCATTGTTTCCCATGCACACGAGAAATCTTTGGTCACAGTGCGTTTATACGTCTTGGGGAAAGCCTCTTAGGGCTCGGGTCTGAAACTAAAGGGGGGGGGGGGGGGGGGGGAAAGACAAAACCGAAAAAAATAGAGGGAGGTGGGGGCTGGCCTTGTGCTCCCTCCCCCCCCCCCCCCCCCCCCCCCCCACCCCCTCCCTCCATCGCTCACTCACGATCAGCGGGATGGTCCTGTCGTCCCGGCGCATCTCCAGCCGGCCGGGGGCCGCCGCCGGCTGCTTCTGCCCGCGGCCCCGTGCGCGCGTCAGCGAGGCAGAGGAGGCCGGCGCGGACTGGGGCTTGCTGTCCTGCCACAGGTAGTAGAAGGTCCCCAGGATCCAGGCGACGGTGAGGATCGCGATGGCGTTGGCCCGTATCCTGCGCATGGTGAGCCCATATGGGGAGGGCGGCCCGGGTCCGTCCGCGGCGGAAGGTGTGCAGCCTCTCCTCCACCACCAACGACCCCCCCCCTCCTACCCCCCGACCCGGCCCCGGAGAGATGGGTCAAAACCGCAGAGCAGCGGGCGGGCAAAGCTTCTATCTATCTATCTATCCGTGCGCCAACGGGCTCCTCTGGCGGAGCAAACGGCCTCTCTCTGCTGGGATTTGCGCACTGACACAGCCACGGTCCTAGCGCCGAGTCTTATCAACACCCCCCCCCTTCCCTCCTTCCTCCCGCCCCCCCCCCCCCCCCCCCCCCCCCCTCCCTTCCTCCCTCCCCCCCCCCACCCAGTACACGCGCTACTTTCTCTCCGCCTGCTGTGCGCGCATTGGCATTATTTCTCCATCCAGGAGTCAGAATTAGGAAAGGACGGACGCCGATTTGTGCGCGGATGAGCTCGGAGGAGGAGGAATAAGGGTGTTGGATTATTAATTCCCTTCCTCCAGTTAGATCTCGTGAGCTCACCTTTTGAAATCCATCCGACAATAACGCCTTTGTGTTTACTACCACGCACGCACGCGCGCGCGCGCGCGCGTCACAGACGTCGGAGGTGGTTGGAATAATCGCATGCACGTCGCGTCCCCGTCTCTAAAACCCACAAAACCCTAAACCCTCCCCTGGTTTCCAATCTCCTGTAACATTTGTTGTCGGCCGAGCTAAAAGCAGCGAGGAGGGGAAGCAGATAACACCGTTCAGCAAAAACAAATAAGGGATAATTCTACATCTGTCTCTGGGTCAATCATTTGTTTAATACGTCCGTATATATATATTTATATGTGTGTGTGTGCGTGTGTGTGTGTGTAGCAGTAATCCAGCTGCCTGGCCCACGATATAATCTGCACATTTGCTGCATTGAATACATTCGTACCGCTTAACTAGTCTCATTATTCTGTTTATGCATTTTAAAGTACGCATTTAAATGAAGAGCCTCCAGCTCCGACGGACCAAATTAAACCGCTGCAGCAGAATTGATCAGGATGGGGAAAAAAAGAAAGAAAAAAAGACTCCACAGCCGCATCAATATTCAGCTCCCACGCTTAATTCTGGATCTGCACAGATGACCTCTGTGACTTCCTCGGTGGACGGATAAATCGGAGGTGCGATGAAAAATAAAAGTCAGAATACATTAGCGTGAGCGTGCAGCCCTCTCTCGAATTCCCCGAGCGCATTTAGATGAGCGCGTGCACCAGCAAAGACATCAGTGCAGCATAGCAACGCCCGAGAGGCACAACAGAACCGAGGCGGCTGGAATTTCTCATCTTATTCCCCCCTCTGCAACACTAAATATACTAAAAAAAAAAAAACGCTGTTATAGGATGAACTCATCCAACCCCGCCTAACAGCAAACACACAGCATGTGAGGTGTCCTCACAACTGGGAACATGGCCACAGCATCAAGAATCAGAGAATGCCAATTTTTCCTCATCAGAAGCATAAGCGTAAAGAAACATGAGCCAGACCCCTCACAAATGAAATCATCAGATAATAAATAAAATAAAAACATCTGCAGTTGTGGGGTTTTCATTATTGTGTGTTCAAGCGTGCCTTTTGCTTCTTGGTCGTGTCCACAAATAATGTGAGCAAAGCTGAACAAGGCTTTCCCCATGAAGGGCTGACATTTTGTAAGGCTTAGTAGGTGTCAAGAGAAAACGTTTCTGCCAAGTAAATGTGGTTTATCCCCCCAAACAAATTAGAAACTGTTCAAACTGCTTCGATTGAATCTTTAAACTGACTTGCAGTATTCATTCCAATGCAAATCTAGTTACTGAAAAAATAACTTGTTGATTTCTAGGAGCCCGAACTGTTAAGAAACTGGAAAATCCATTAATTGTATGACAGCCAACAAAGTGCCCTCTATTGTCCGGGAGCTTCTTAATTGTTTCATTTAATAAAAGGGGAAAATAAATAAAGTGTTTTTATGTAACTTGGAGGTTGATCTCATTACGCATGAACAGCTTTTCCTCCCTCTCTTCCGTCTGAGGTGAGCCTCATATCCAGCCCCTGGAATACAGAAAGGAAAGGGCAAAGGGGTCAGAGCCACATCTGGCTCAGGGCTGGAAGAGGTTTGTCTTCATTCGTATTGACAGAGCCGCGCCTCCCGTGGCTTATCTTCGGGGAAGACGGCGACACCCCAAAACGGGGAGGAAAAGGTCTCATCTACATCAAACTGCGCACGGAGAAAAAAGCGCACAGCGGGGACGGGGAGGTGCTGCCTCAAAACGTTGGGAAAACACAGGAAAAAAAAATCGGAGGCTTGAATGCTTCTCTGTCTCTTTCTGTCTCCGGATCCATCAACGCAGCCGTCCGCTGGCACGGCAATGTCAAGATTAGTGGGCGCCCAGAGAAAAAAACGTGGCTGCACGTGGAGTTTCCAAGAGAGTCTATCTTCTTAATGTCAACAATCCCTCTCCCCATGGAAAGACAAAGCTCTGTATTCCCATGCTGAGGGGAAAAACGTCACGTTACTTAAAAATCATCTCCTTGAGAACAATAAGATGGAAAAACTGATTATTTGTATTTCAATGTGTGTCATAGAAGAAGAAGAAGAAAAAGAAGAAGACATGGTAAAACAGGTTCAGAGTCTTCATGATGACAAAGGGCACCTAAACGTCTCTGAAAACTTACGTATTGTGTATATATTCTCTGTAAAAGTGCCAAATGTGTGCTCAGGAGGAAAAGAGGTCAGTTTGCTGGCTGTTATAGGAGTTCTTTCTAAAAGCTTTATCGAGAGGTCTTTCTGTTTACTCAGCGGAAAATAAATTTTTTAAAATTCACTTAGTGAGGTACAACAAAACTTCAGTTGTGCAGTTAAGAGACTCGCCTGAGCCTCCAGTTTTGAAAAAAAAACAAGGAATTCACAGCTTGTAAAACAGTCAAATACAAGAGGAAAACAAAGGTAAAGAATCATGTGTAAACACCAACATGCTTGGCCTGGAATACATTATTAGTTAATCCCCGATTTTGTGTGTTTCAATTTCACTATCCCTTAAAACTGTAAATATTAAGTCTTTGGTGAGTGTTTCCAGCTGGGCCTGTCGTGGGTGAAGCTGAGTGTGCTGTGTTTCTACTTAAAACGAGTCCTCTGAGTTGGATCATCATGATGCAATGATGCTAACACCGGCCAACACATTAACAGACGGCCATGTTGGCTCAAAAGACATCACAATAGCAATAGTAGATAAACAGGTTGGAGTTTTTAGAAGCACCACAAATGTCTCTCACAAAGTGTCTGATATCACACAAAGCAGCGTTAGACACATTCAAAAACTACGGAAAAGTGAGCACTAAGATAGAGGTGCACCAAAATAAGAAAAAAGTTGGATTACCAAAGTCAAGCAACACTGAAAGTGAGGTTATGCCGTGAATTTTCCAAAATATTGTTTCTGATATGGGAATCATAGACAACACGGTGGACGGAATATTTGTTCTGCAGCTGTGCGGACGAAAAACGGCTTTTCTGTTTGTCACACAAACGCCACAAAATATAAAAAAAGAGAGCAGAAATGGACGCACAACGGAGGGCTTATCTGCTCGTAAAGTTCTCTGGACTGAGTGGGTGCACGCGAACACTCTGCTGCATACTTCAGCAAAAAAAAAAAGAAAAGAAAAAAAGAATGTGTATGAGATGAAGACTTTCTGTTGTCATCGTAACCTCTGACCTCTCGCTGCGTGAGTGGGTCAGAGGGAGAGAGCGTTGTTGCGTTGTTAATCCGACCAGATGGCATGAAAGTGCTTGTTTTAGCGAATACATGCATCGAATCAAGTTTGAGAATCCATATGTGCGTTGGAAGTTGTTTCCCCTGAAGTGGCGAGGATTGAAAAAATAAAAAAAAATAAAAAGAAGCCGTGTCTTTGTTACTAAAGAGGCTTTCACAGACCGTCGACAACCATTTAGTTCCGGGAGAATCACTACTGGTATTTGGAACAACTGTGCCAAAACGGTGGATCCGCTGAGCGAAGACAAACAACACAAAAACAAAACCCCGGCAACACAAAGATCCAGAGAAGTCTCAGGACTGAATATGTGGCTGCTCACGCTCGCGCGAGCCTATCGAACTCCTATCGAAAAGCAGCAACGACACTGGAGATTCCACGATGTGCTCTAAAGGTGTGCTCTGAGAAGCCCAACTTCTGCAAAAGCACATTACCAGCTCCGATCCTGTAGCATCTCTGAGCTTGATCCAGTCTAAACATCTGTACTGCGTGTTACAGGAAGAGTTGCATTGGGATTTTTTTGTCTTTTGAATGTGCAGTGTTTGCTGTGATAATTGTTCTACTTTGTCTTAAAGTTATTCTGTGGGGGAAAAAAACCCCAATGGAGTCATCGATGTGTATCATATTATACGGTGCAGGTCCTATAATTAAGAATTTACGGCTTGTGGATTTGAGAGAGGATGCCGGTGTCTGTTGCTTGGCTGCTCCGAGCCCCAGATTCAAAATTCTTGAGCGTGACATTTCAGGAAACAGGGTATGATCAATATCTTTTACTTTCCTGTGTATCGGTTCTCGCGCGTGCTCGACAGCTGTGAAGCGTTCCAGATGTTATCTGAGGGAGATGCGAGACTGTTCGCATCTCGGAATTCTGTTTTACCTCTGATCTAATCTATCTTTCACTGCGAGCGTCAAATTCTCCAAGGAGTCACTTGTTAGAAATATTAGAGCAAGAATATGTAGCTGTTTACTCAAATACTTTTTTATCAAAAATATGTTTGGCTGGGGAGGCAAGTTCATCCAAAACTCATCTTCTAATTTAACTCATAGCTTTGGTTTAAGGCCCAGCCCTAAAAATGATAAAGACTAAAAAGAAGGGCAAAGATTATGGCAAAGAGATGGCAGCCTCTGACTTTTTGATTTAAGCGGAACAATGAGACTTGATTTTAGAAACGTATCTTGGCAAAAAAAAAAATGCTTTTACGATCGCAACGTCACAAACTGTCCAAAGAAAACAGTTACAGTCTGCAGGACAGATCTTACATTTGAGACGAAAACAGTGAGCAGAAGCTATGAAAGAGGAAGGACAAAAAATCCAATGCGTATGGAAAATGGATGGACTGATAAATGAATGGAGGATTTGAAACATCAGTGATCATTAAAGTTGAGCTTTGTTTGTGTTTGGAAGCCAAATATAATGAATAAATTGCTGAAATGGCAATTAGTGTTCATCGGGGGGCATTATAATGTCTGCCTGAAGCCATTAGAGAGAATTCAATTAAAAGAATGTAATTCGATTGGCCAGAAACCTCTTTTTTTTTTCTTGGCTTTCTCAGCCATCTGTTTGTCCCGAAGGGAGTCGGGGAGTCTCCGCTGAGCTTCTTGGAGAACACTTTTATTCAACATTATTTAGGCTGTCCTCGCCCTTCACCGGCAACCCATTAAACCGGCAGATCACAGGAAGAGGTTCCAAAAAATTAATTAAGCCTCCACCTTGATGGATTTTATTTATAACGGTGGAGTTTTGGAGCAGATGAAACTTCAGCTAATAATTTGGGAGCAGGAGTGATATTACCTCTCCCCCCCCCCACACCCCCCAGGGCAGTAAGTCCAAACTTTAGTGTCTGACGCACAAAAGTTTGGACTCATCAGATGATTCTGTGGCAGCTTTTCTTCAAAACGTTCTTTCCTTTGAGGTTTGGAGATAAAGTAGTTTAGATCGGAGGTTGTTTTTTTTTTCCCAAAAAAGAAAATTCAAAGAGATTTTGCCTATTGGAGAGGCTGCTGCTGGCTTTATGGAAAAGGATATGCAAGGGTTTTAGCACAGTGAAGCAAAAGATGATTTAGCTTGACAAAGTAATCTTCCCTTACTGTGGATTCACTCCCTGTTTTGCAAGAGATTTTTAATCACATCTTAAGTGAACACTTCAGGGAGCTTGCGCAATTTTCTCGGGATTTTAAAGGATTTACTTGTCTAGACTCATCTATAGCAGCATATTCAATCCCTACAAACACAATGAGAAAAACTTCAAAGGGGTCTAAGAACGAGCCCGGTGTCAATCCTGCATTCTTTTCCAGTCGCTACTGAGTCAGAAGCGCAGCCGCCTCAACAGGTCCTTTTTTGTGTAGCCGGAATTCTTTCTGTAAGTTACCATACCAGCTGCCACTGTTTTCTCGATCGGTCACCCGGCGATAACTGCCCCTCTCCACACGTGACGGAACAAAAGCAGCATCTGCGGTTTCTTTCGAGCACATCATACCAGACGGGCGGAGCTCCGGGATACTGACCCTTCAGGGCGGGACGGGACAGGACAGCAGCCATGAAGAGGAGCCCTCTTCCTCTTTCCACTGCTGGAGGGGGGGGCCGACAGGCCTAACCTGGAGCCGCCAAAAACCTGCTGTCAAAGAAAGAAGAAGGAGGAGGAATATGCTGGACGTGGAGGCAAGAAAACAAGATGGTTACGCACACGTTAAACACATCCTTCCATTTTTTCGGACTTCACGGATGAGGACATGACCAATTTACATTTATACCAGATTTTTTAAATCAGTTCACTACAACTGCAGGGATAAAAACAGCATGTGAAACATTACACTGCGTGCTTATTTAATAAAAAGGAAGTCAACCAATAGGCGGTACGAATAGATCAGTGGGATTGGTGTTAGAGTTCATGACAGTTCAGCTTGAGAAAGAGTGGAAAAGCAGAGCCCGTTGGAGCTCGACTGCAGCCGGGAGCGTCCTCTATCTAAGCAAAACAGGGCGGCACGGCTTTAGTTTGCCAGCAGTGGGACGTTTCCTTTTCACTGCTCCAGCTGAGACGACAAAAAAAAAAAGCAGATTTTCCCCAATCTGATTAAATTGTTCCGGGACATGTCCGACTCACTTTTACTGCCGTTGGTGTTGCGAGTCTGTGGCTGTGTGTGTGTGGGACACAGCTGGAAGATTTAGGCAATAATGCCAGCACACGGGTCCCCGAACTGTGACAGGCAGTGGGGAGTCGTTTTTTTTTTTTTTTTTTTTAGGGGGAAAATGAAGGGGGGGAGGATTAAACTAAGACTTTCCAGTCATCACTGCTGAACATAGGTATTTCTCAGTTCCATGACTGTTAAGGCAATGAAATTTAGTTTTTTTCGTTTCTTTCTGTGCACAGCTGGCTTAATTTAGACTGGGTATTAACCAGGCGCCCTGTGTTCTGCAAGTATTGTATCTCTTTAAATAATTCAGAAACAGCAGAATATATCAAATTGAAGGTACTGTGACAATGTTTGTATGAAAGGATGAAAGAGACATACATCTTTAAGATCTCGGATGAAAGAATGTTAAAAGTACCATTGAAAAGTAGGTAGGATCTCTGCCGGCTGTGCAGAGTTTAAAAGCAAAGGTGGGTCGGTTTAAAGTGGGCAAACTCCTGCCTGCCAGCCCGCCTCCATCTGAAAGATCTTTTCCATTTCCACATTGGCACACCATTCCGAGGCATTACAGCAGCCCAGTGCAGTAAAAACTCAGACAGTCACAAAACGAGCCACAATAACTTGCACAAGTCTGAATAATTCAGTGGTTCTCTCTGGCTTACGACACTGATTTTTCATGGTCTCTTAGAACTATCACACGGATATGTTGGAGCCCATCCCCCCCTCCTTTCTCATGTGCTACAGGGGTGTGTTTAACAGCCAAACATATTCTGCTGGTCTTGGCCATGTTCTGAGGCCTGATTCTGTTTTTCTGCCCAGAGAGTGGAGCCATTAGAATCCAGTGGAGACCCTGATGTAGAAAGCAGTTGGCGTGAGTCACTGTGAGGGCGTGAGACTCGCTGCGTTTCTGAGCTGTCAGGCTGCTGCGATTCTGTTCCTCCAGCTGGCTCAGCTCAGAGTAAAAAAGCCCATTTGCAGGACAAGTCATGGTTTAGGTATTCTTTGGTGTATCAGCAAGACTATGAGCTGATGTGGGAAAGGACCGGGTCAGAACAGATAAGATGGAGGTGGAGGACTGCTCTTCTGTATGGAAACAGAAGGAATGTGTATGATGTTACCTTTAAAGAAGGATAAACACAAGAAGAAAAAGATAAACGATTTCAGATTGGTTTCCTAACTGGCTTGGAATTCAATATAGAAATCCCTGTTATTCATTTAAAATGAGACAGAGGGAGTAAAGAGGTCAAATTTACCTCATGGATCAAAGTCAAGTTTTCTGTACAAGCCTTTTGTTTTGCTTAGCTCAGCAACTGTCTTTGGAAAAAAAAAAGAAGAATTGGGCTCATTTGGAATTCAATAAATAGAATTTGATTGTGATATTACATTATTAGTATTACAATGAATTGGACTCTAACTCTTCTGTATCCTTTAAGGCCCATACCAATAACATTTGCTGAGTCAGATCAGTTCTTTCAGATTTAGCAAGGCCATACCTTACCCCTTTATTGTGTGAGAAGAGTCCTCTGCGTTTTTAAGTAATTCTAGAGCGTGGTCGTTTAAAAATCTCCTTACCCTGTTGACTCTTTTTCTTACCGCCTTATAGGCCAGCCAACCTTTAGATAGAATTCATCACGAAAGGAAAGATGCTCTCCGAGATTGACTGGATCGGCCAGCATTTGCAGTTAAAAAACTTATTAAAAAAACAACAAAAAATACACACCTGCCCCCAGCTGTGGGGAGAGTTTAGCTTGTCCAGGTTTGAAGCACCACCTGTGTGTCCACTCTGGATAAGAAGCCTTACTGCTCTGGCCGTAAGAGTTTCGGGCTCATGGAGCTCCTGAATGGTCATCAGGGCATCCGCAACAGGAAAAAGTGTCTCACACCAGCCGGGTGTGCAAGATGAGTTCTAGACTGCCCCAACAGTCTGAGATGTCACCAGGGTATTCACACCCAGGTATCACCTTACCTGAGATGGAAGAGGCCACTGAAGGCGTGCCACTCATTTCAGGGAACCGTTGGCCAACTGGAGGAAGGCCACAGATCTATGACCAGTGTGGGAAGCGTGTTGAAGCCTCTTCAGCTCATCCACCTTTAGGAGAGTACAATTCAGTTTCCTAAATAAACAGTGTTGCCGTTACACATATAATTTAACGCGACTTGCCTTTTTAGCTGTAAACCAAAGCTGGGCCGAAAGTCTGTAAAGAGTGAGGAGCAACAATGTCCTCACCACAAACGAAGGCTCAGTACATCAGCGTGCTACCTTGCTAAAAATGAAAGTGACACACAGTTAAAAGAGGCTGTGCTTTGCATTTTCTGCCGCGACGCTAATCCGCACAGGCTCTACAAACACAGAACTCCCCATTTCATGATTACATTGTGAAGATGAAAATGCTGTTCACACACGAGCTTAGTGTTTCAGAACCAGAGGGATGTCGGTAAGGCAGCCACACAGACTCACTAACCTCTTGAATCTCTGAGTCTGAGCTCCATCTAAAAATATCCTGATCACACAGATGTCATCCTTAACACATTGCACGGTTTCGCTTGTCAAACAACCCTCCACACTGTCGCTAAATAGCCACGGATTGAAAAAATGGCTCAATTAACAGGCACAGAAAATCACTCGCACCTTACGAAAAAGGCCTAAATAACTTGATTATTTCTTTGGCACAGATAAGGGATTTCTGCTTCTAAAATCTTCTACAGCTGCAATGTCAATGTTCTCCCTCAGAAAGGGTATGTTTATTTTAAAAAACTAAACAAAAAACCCCAAAATGTGTTAGATTTAAAAGCAATTAGACACTGTTGGTTTATCTTTAATGTGGTGTGACCAGTCGCATACAGTGGCTACAAGATGATTCCGTTTGTGAGACATCACCACGATCGGGGGGACATTAATCAGTCAATCAGCTTTTTATTTTCATTGATTATTCATTTTATCCACAAATAAGTTAAAAAACAAAAGCAAAACTCTGAAGACCTTTTTGCTACTTATGTTTAACCAGTCAGCCAAAACATAAAGAAGTCGTGTACAACAAAAAACGAAATCCTTCCAATTCGGAGCGACCTGCATATTTTAGCCCACTCGAAAAATGACCGATACGATAATCATTTATCAAGTCAGCTGCCGGATAACCTTTCTGCCAAATAATTCAATAAGCTTCACCGAAAAAACTGTAAAGTGAATCAGTGTCATTCGATTTTTAAAGTACCATTGACAAAAGATGCAGCAACTTAAAAAAAACAAAAAAAAACAAACAAGAAAAACATGTTTTCTACTTCATGAAGAAGACACTTTGAAAATGCGTTTCAACGATGGAAGGCATGAAGGCAGGTAACAGTAAAATGGCCATGGTTGTCCTCCATCTCACTCTCAAGCCCTTCCATGTGTTGAAGTATCCTTGGGCGTGACATTAAACCCCCCCGAACAGCCGCCTATATGCACATCAATACGAAGAAAGCTGCATATATAGAGTGCAAATACACAGTACAGCAAACACCGAGTGTGGGAATGAGTGAAGGGGAGGGACGACTCACTGCACAGCGATTTGTGGAACCTGCTGTCGATAAGTCTAAGGGGACGCTACGGAGGCATGGGCCGTTCCGTGCCTGAAGCAGTCTTGAGCGGGAACGCGGCCGTGAATAATCTCGGCTTGGAGGGAGTTGCGTCAGCTGTAAACAGAAAACATGCTTTAGGACTAAACTGTGCGGCGTGGTCTCGTTCGGACGACAGGGGGGTGAGACGCATCCCGTCCTCACAGTGACTACAATCTTCAGAGTCGCAGAAGGCATTTTAAATGATCCTCCTGCAGAGTCGGGGTGGCACATCAAGCAGTGGTTAAAGGCCAACGCAGTGTTTAAGGACGAAGGGGAGACAGAGCCAGAAAAAAACAAAAAAACAAAAGAAGCCATCCAGGTGAGAGTGAGCGTTAAACACGGCCGTCCCGCGCTCGTTTTCCTCTGACGTGGTGCGTACTGTAAGGCAGGAAAACGCTCTGCGGCGTTACAGGGGGGCGCCCGCTTCTTTTCTGTCTCGCCGAACGCGCTCGGCCGCTCCCGAAGAAATCATCAGGCCTTGACGTCGCGCGGCGTGGCGTTCCGTTCTGCTCTCGTGCGCAGAGCATCGGCAAAGACAAAGTTGGAAATGTCACCTCTCAGCGGGGCGCTTCGGGGGACACGAGCTCTCCTTTCCCAGAGCCGCCGGCCTTCACCTCGGGCTCCTGCTACAAAGGTGTCCTGTTTCTGAAGTCCATGGGGAAGGGGAAGCAAATTATATAGCAGAGGTTGGAGAAAAATTCTACTGCTCGGTGGGGCAGACGCTGCGATCTTTGCAGCAGAAATAGTGCACCACCACGCCGTTGGGGTACCTGGCAAACGCACTGAGAAAGAAAATAATCCCATGTTAGAGAAGTTTGGTCTTCATGACAACACACCTACTTTATCTGCATTAGTCATTGTCTAAAGGGTGGGAATAAGTACTTTTAATGAACAGGGAGGACTGATATCTATGCATAAAAAAACAAGTAGATATTTTCATACCTTAACAAAAACTAAACAAATGGAAAAAGAGAGCAATAAGGTTACCTGTTTCCTATTTTCTTCTTACAAACTCTGCAGGTCTTCTCCTCTGTAATGACGCATTTGACCTGCTGGTGGAAGATTCTTTCCTCCTGCACCTGAAAACATTAAGAGCAAAATCTTTTCACTCCTGATTCCAACAAAAACCTTCAAACACTTCATCATTAACACATGGAAGACTGCCATCCACTTGATGTACAGTACATCTCATTCAGACATTGTGAGCCATCACTGTTTTTGCACCATAAGAATTCTCAAAGTTTGGCTTTAGAGGCTTGAAGTGTTTGTTTTTTCAATGTACCATTTGTTCTCCATATTCCCTGCTCAGGTGTTCTTGAGCATTAACTGAATCTGCCTGGCATGAATTTAACTGCTGCTTCTGTTCTCCAAATGCACCAAGAAAGTGTGGATTTTATATAAAAACATAACGAAGTAACTGTTGAAATCTGAATATTAATGTCAGAGATCTAAGGTAAAGAAATAGTTCCCACTTCTACGTTTCTGAGTTTAAAAAAAAGAAAAAGGGTTGTATATCCACTGGTGCAGTATTGAGCAGGACACTAAGCAGTATGTAAAGTTAAAGAACTCAAGTTCTACTTACTAACTTACAAAGTTTAATTGCAAATCACCTTTAGAAAACACTTAAATAACAATTGAATGTGGAAAAATCCTCCAGGACTCACTCTCAGGAACTCAGCCTGCAGCAGGCTCTTCAGCACCTGGTTGCAGCGTTTCTTCTGAGCCTTCTCCTCCAGAACGCTCTCCAGGAATACTCGGATCTCTCGGATCTGAGTGTTTGCTGGGAGCAGATTGATAGCCTGGGAAAGAAACAGTGGAGCATTCTCTGTTCAGAAAGAGCTGTACTGAATATTGGTCAATGGTTCAATTCCAGGGCGGCACGGTGGTGTGGTGGTTAGCACTGTCGCCTCCCAGCAAGAGGGTTCTGGGTTCGAATCCCGGGGGAACCAGGACCTTTCTGGGTGGAGTTTGCATGTTCTCCCTGTGTCTGCGTGGGTTCTCTCCGGGTTCTCCGGCTTCCTCCCACAGTCCAAAAACCTGCATGTTAGGCTGATTGGAGATTGGGGAAATTGCCCTTAGGAGTGAATGTGAGTGTGAGTGGTTGTTTGTCCTTGTATGTCCTGTGTGTTGCCCTGCGATGGACTGGCGGACTGTCCAGGGTGTACCCTGCCTCTCGCCCGTTGACCACTGGGATAGGCTCCAGTTCCCCCCGCGACCCCAACAGGGAATAAGCGGTATTGATGGATGGATGGATGGATGGTTCAATTCCAAGCAAAACCTTTTAGTATACCAGTTTTTTGGAAGTTTGGAACAAAAGTGGCCCTTGACAAACATCTACTGTATTTCAAATAAAAAAAATCAGGAAGAACAAAAAAAAAAAAAAAAAGAAGTTTCATACTGGAATCTTTTATCATCCCACTGAAAACATTTTTTTTGGCAATAGTCTTTTCTGAAATGCCAAATGTCATTCAATCTCTTTCCAATCCAACCTAAACAAGGGAAGCTGACCTGATTGTAGAGACTGTGTAAAGAAAATAAAGTATAAGAATTTGATGTAAACTCAAACAATGGAAGGAAGGTAGTGCTGATATTCTGAATGACTATTAACCCATATAGTTTTCATTATATATACATCTGTAAATATAAAAAAAAACATTTATCAAAAATATTTTAAAAGCTACAAATGTTCATACATAAAAGCTGTGTAGTCCACATTTCCCATCAGAACATTTATGTGCAAGTCACTTCGGTTAAAATGGGCTAATAGTCGCTGCCTACCTTGGTGGTGTTGAGCTTGCTGTGGTGAAGCTCCAGGACCTGCAGGGCTGCCTGGAGGTTGGCCTGAGGCTCTGAAAGCTCCATCTTGATGGGCCCCAGGCAGTGGGCGTCAGGAGGTGATAGGTACATTCTCAGCAGAGACAGATAGACCTAAGAGGGGCACAAATACACTTGTTTGTTCTGCCCCACCTTCAGATCTCCATCTTTTTACACGGGCTGACCGGGAATTAAGAGCTGACAGTGAATGGTACTCACGTCTTTGTTTCCTTCAACCACGCTGTTGTAATGCCGGTGACAGTATCTGCACATGGAGGGCAGGAAACAGCAGCAAATAAAAAACCTCTGTTTGATTTGCTGACTAACATAACCACAGTAGGCAATCATAAAGGAGGAATCTAAACATCTATTTTTATTTGTGGGTGGAAAAAGGATGCAATTCAATGCCCCCGATGTGACATTTTAGACAGCTTTAGAGTCTGAAATCTTTACTTTTATTAAAAAACAAAGCCGGTGGTTGGTGTTAAAATCAGCTGAACAGGGTTCTGTGCTGTTGGAAGGAGTACTCACTCTTCAGCCATGCGAGTGTCTTTCAGAACGTGCACATAAATAAAGAGCGCCTGCTCATGTTTGCCCATTCGGCCAAGAAGCAGAGCCCGTTCCTCCAGCAAACCTTGATAAACAGAAAGGCAGGAAACAAGGCCAGAGAATCAAGCTCCGTCCTGAGGGCCAAACCATGTGTTCATCATTCCACTTTATAAATCTCTCTAAGGGGTTTGATGTACAGAGTAACTGCTTCAGAGACAAGAAATACATAGTACAGAGTACCGATGTGAACCTACACTCTTGTAAATATATTTTTGTAATTTCCATTTGGATTATTAAAGCATTACTTCATTCAATGTAATACTCATAATTTAACTGGTGATGCGATGGATACAGCTAAATGTATTACTGACATTTATACACAGGAGTTTCCCTCATCCATTCTCAACCTGATATAATATTAACAGACATTTCCTGAGCTAACGTTTTTATTTCTTTATCTGCTGCCTTTGCATACGACCCAGAAATTCCTTCCTTTGTATTTCCAGCTGTGAAATCAGGATTCCAGCTCAAGACCTCCAGCTGTGAAGCGCGTGTATGAACAACAACTGAGGAGAAATGTCTGGACCGAACTGTGAGCGCATTCTCTGGAGAGTCTCAATAATTCAAATCAAAGAGGGAAGATTTATCCCCTACCATCAAAGGGGAAGTCGCTGATGAGCCTTGAAGGTTCGTAGCTGGTAGAAATATCCAGAAAAGACAGCAGCTTGTTCCTGAATTCGCCCAGCTCGCCTTTTTCCTGCCCTGCGGAAACAGCTGGGACCCCTGCAGCAAGAGAGCATTATTTGATTATCCATGAGCAAAAAGTTTGAGCTAAGATGAAAAACTCTTGTCCCCTTTTCCTGCGAGTGAAAACTAACTGTTCTTACGTGGTTTTAAACAAAGCAAATGAAAACTTAAGAGATCAAAGGTCAACTTGCCAAGCAAATTGAAGAGTTTCTGAGGACTCAAAAAAGGACTACACGTCAACAACATGAACTGAAAGCCGCAATGATCTCTTAGAAATGGCATCTCACATCCATTTAAAAAGCAACACACACAAACATTGAAATGCATCAGATTTTCATTTCTAACAGAATACATAAACTTGCATCTAAAAAAATTCAGATCTCCGAGTGCAGCAGGATATGCGTTTTTGGGCTATTCTATTAGTTACAATATTTTATTTAACCACATAAGAGTAACATTTTATTCTATTTATTGGCAGACTCATTTTGAAGCAAATGCAAAAATTAACCAACGTAAAACATTTTCTGGTAATATTTGTAAAGAGAAAAAGTATTTTTTTCTAAACAAGGTTGAGGTGATCCTCAGTTCTTACACCTCTGAATGTTAAATATAATGCAATTTCTTTAATTGGATTAGGAATCCCTCATGGTATTTCAATTAGTTTTAAATCAATTAAAAATTAGCTCCTGTAAAATTTCAGAAGATACTGTCAACTGGAATTTCCTCTTTGCTCGTACCTTCAGGCAATGAGTTGAGGTACTGTTTCATGAGGCCTTGGACCCTGCTCAGGTAGAGCTGGATTAAGACGTTGTGGAACTCCGGCCCCTTCTCGTCCCATACATAAATGATGTGCTCCAAATATGGGATGGCGAGCTCCTCGAAGCCTTCCCTCAGGAACTGCAGCACTTTGTCTCGGGGCAAAGTCTCCACCTCGGTCAGGTCTTCAGTAAATATCTGGAAAGGAGGGGAAGTATTCATAACAACATTTATTAATTCTGAACCTGCTGCTTGTTATTAGTTTGGTATTGGGTTATGAGATTTAAATAAAACTCAGCATGAGCTTCTCTCTGATAATATAATAAAATAATGATTTCTAAAAAAAAGTCCTACAGGCATGGGAGACAATTAAGAGTAAATTCCCTTGAGTGACAATTTGTCTAGACATGTGTGCCCACCTTTAGGCCATCCTCAGGACAGATCTTCAGCACCCAGGGTGAAAACTCAAAGATTATTCCCAGGTTCTCCAACCCTGTTGGTATTAGGAGGTCAGATGGGTAAGACAATTTAACTTGCACGGAAAGAGCCAAGAAAAACAACTGCATTCCAAAAAACAGTTTTGTGGAGATGTGAGAGGTAGTAATGAGCAAGATGTCAATAAGAAGCAGGTTTTTTAACATAGACAGGCAAAGGATATCTAGTTTGTCAAGCAGCACATAATGAAAGTCATCGGTAGTTGGTGCAACCACATGAGAACGGGATCATTCATGGAGAGAGTTTTAAGCTGTGCAGCACATTGTGGGCTCTGAGGCATTTATGTAAAGCTTTGTTGGCTGTTTTCCTCATAGCTCCAGGATGTACCTGCAGTTGTGATGTGAGGGAGAATTTTAACAGATGTTTGTGGTAATTCCTGAAAATAAGCCCTCAAATCTAATCAGCATCAGACCACACATCCTGTGACATACAAAGGTTTGCTCAGAGCCTTTTTCCTGGTACTTACCCAGTCTTTGGAGGTACTGCACTGTTCGCTCATGGCCCTTCAGGGGAGAGTTGGCCTTGGTGGACTGGTCCAACAGCACCTGTAGAGCTGTGAGAGAGAGAGGGAAAACAAACAAACATGATGGGGAGAAGACGAGCAAGAGCAAGCGCGAGATTATCGGCGCTGGAAAGCAACAGTATCTTGTGTCCTCTGGTGTGCACTGCGCTGCATAATTTCCCATCAACAGAAACTGAATGAAGCACTGCGTGCTGTAATTGGTGGAACAGCTGGTTCGAGTTGGCAGATGGAGGCACACGCCATCAGCGCGACACCCCGAGACCAAATCGCAGCGGGCCAATTAAACCCGGCCGCGCTCACAGCGGGAACAGCACAGGATGAGCCGAAACGGGAAAAAACCCATCAAGAACATCAAGACAGCTCTAACTTACGAGGATGATGAATTTACTTGTGCGGGAAAGCTTCTTAAAGGCAAACTGTGAAGCCTCATAGAGTTGAGTCACCAGAGGCTGACTCAAAGACCTGATCCACTCTGGGACAAACTGGAAACAGAACTTTCACTTTGGTTTATTGTCATGTGTTTGACTGCTGATTTGAGACATTTGTCAAATTCAGATGGATGATATTGAATATTGATATTATTCTTCCAAATGAGGTGCTGATTTATTTTGTGCTAAATTAGTTTCACTGTCTAAACATGGACTCTAATATAACCCCATTTTAAAAGTAAGATTTACAGAAGAGACTTAAAAATACCAGAAAATGAATAAATCATTAAACAGGATCTGACTTATCTGATCTGTTACATGTACAACAGGCCATTGTTCAAAAAAGTATTGAATAGTCTTTCAAAACCATCCTGGGTTTTTCACTCTTTGTAACAAATGGAGTGAAATTTATTGACCAAAACAGGTACAGTGATTTTTTACAGCACATTAAGTAAAAAAAACAAAAAAAACAAGTCAAACCATAAAATAGTGATCAATATGCCACCGTAGATTTTTCTCTTTTTAGGCAGAGGTAAAATAACTGATGTAATTGGATTTATTAGGTTGGAAGGGTTGTTTCTGTGGTCAATAATCAATTCAGTCATCCACACTAAATGTTGGGAGATCTTTTCTATAATTGCACATCTCACTGTGCACTTAGATTTCTGTCTTAAAGCTCCTTGTTAATTCACATTAGAGAGAAAAAAAAGGGCAGAGCGTATATTTTCCATCTGATTATTGTCTCCCTTTAATTACTTGTGTGCAGTGCATCTTTGCAGGCTTATCGAAAAGGCAACAACAATTGGTCCCCACAGTTAGAAATTAATCATCAATCCAGCCCACTTAATTCATAAACAACAGATTTCTTTAATGGATGACTTCTTGTAGTGAAACTGATCACTTTGCTGGTTTCTTTTAGAATTGTGAGACTAACTTAAGCACTTAATAATACCATCATTTAGTATATATTCAGCAGCAGTCAGACTCACCTTTCTGGTGTAGGCCCTTCTTTTCATATAGAATGATGAGCTCGCTGTACTTGTGCGCTTTCTTCAGGACGTACTCGCTTTCCTCGATGTGGCAGTGGTTGTTCTCCAGGCGAAGGAGAGGGGAAACCAGGGCCACATTGGTCTGAGTGAGGGGAATACAAAAGCAGGTTACACAACACGGAGAGCGTACAATTAAAACATTAGTCCGAGGGTTTCATCCAAAACAAACGGCTGGGAAAAGCTCATTACTCGTTTTGGTTTCATGTTGTTTGAATGGTGCAGAGTCTTGATTATAAAAGCACAGAATTTTGCTACTACTCTTTGTTTACCCCGCTGGTGTGATGAGGGGCTGCTGTGGGTGCTCCTCTAATTACACAGCACTTACCTAAGAGAGAGACACCTGGTGGCATTGTTCTGGATGTGCATACCAGCATGAACTCATTTATTTCAAGGGGGGGAGGGACTGAATGGTGGGATACATTTTAGAAGCACAAAGAGCCAAAGCAATATGTAGAGAACCGTTAATGGGAACTCACCCCTCATTCATACGCGGCTGCCATTTGTCTATAAATAAATGCTGACAAACAGATGTTGCTGGTAGATTGAAAGTTGTTATGTCTGGCAGGTATAAAATATGTCGTCACAGAACTGCAGCAATCACACATTGGTGATGATGGAGCCAAAGCTGCTTCAAACTCTTTTTAATTCAAACTCTAAAAGCAGATCTGTTGATCTTACACAACTAGACATGTCGCATGCAATTTATCACTGTCAAAGCTAGCGAGAGGACTGTTGCCTTACGTGCAGGTAGCATTTCAGCAGGGTGGTGTCAATAATCTGTAGGAGTTTTTTGCGGCTTTTGATGGTGGGCGTTCCCTCCATGAGCGGAGACGTTGTAGAGGGGTCCGAGTCATTTAGCTGTTTAACCAAGTGGCTGCGTTTCTATGAAGGTATAAAAGAAGATCAGATTAGATCAATTGCATGTTTGCTTTGATTTTAGCACGTTTTTGGCTTTCATTAGATTATGTAAAAAAAACATACTTTTTCCAAACTGGATTCCATCGCAAAGATTGTACATCTATATATATATATATATATATATAAATAGATAAAACATACATGGGTAAGGTAATCGATAAGCGCGAGATGAGCTCTCTCCAGCTCAGCCCCAGACAGGGTAGGCAGAGGGTTGGGGTAATGCAGCTGTTTGCGGTAGTCCGATGGAAGCAGGTCTGGGTAGAGTCCAATCACATGTGTGGGATCTGCCAAACGCAGAACAAACACATACAGAAACGAGGTGTGACATCATAACATGTGCTTATCATATGTGGGTTAATGCTCTAATCGCACAAATCGTCCTAAAAAGAAAACAAAATAGCCTTCGCAAGAATAAAAACAATTAGCTGATATTCAGCTTTCCAGCCTTCCTTAAGACACGATGGGATGAAACGGGTATATTTTATAAAATATTTCTTAAAATGAAAACCTTGGAAAATCTGGGTACTCTTTGTTGGGTTGCACTACATTGTGTACAGACACAGTTTGACGCATTTCCCACCTGTGCCAAGTTTGGCAAACACCTGCATGGAGTCATCGAATCTCTTCTGGCAGAACAGATTGAAGGCGTAGAGATTCTGGATGTGATGTATCTGCTGCTTTTTATCACCGTCTGAATCATCCTTCATCTTCTGACAGGAAAATAAACAAAACAAAAACAAAACAAAAAAACACAGCCGCAGTCAATTAGAAAAAAAACAACAACTAGATATCGCACCACAGAAAAACATTGGATTCCCTCATCAGAAATCTGGAACCGCTCTTTTTAGCCTGGGAGAATCCCCACGGAGAGCACAACTGCTACAAACAATCACTGTAAAATGTGCAGCCAAAAGCATTTAATGTTTCCATGTACGGCTCCTAATCAAGATAAGTGGTTCTTTTGGAAGGATCCATGCTCTCAGGTAAAGCAAGATCGTGATTTATTAGTAAAAGAAGGTGGTTGTGCTGCTTACCGCCAGCTGAAGAGCCAGCTCAAACTGCTTATCCTGGAGGAGCTGTCGGATCTGGCTGGCAATTGAAACAGGTACCAGGCGCCACACAAAGTGGTTGCTGGCTACATACACAACATTTGGCCTGTGAAGGCAGAGAGAAGAAGAAAAAACAAAAAAAGCAAGATCATAGTTATTGTAATTGAGAGAAGTCTTTATCTGTCTTAGGATGGATCGATACTATCAGCATTTTTAATAACAGAAATGGTGAGATCAATGATAACCTTCAAGGGGAAGTTGTTTAAATAAACTAAAGCCAGAGCATAAAACAGGTCAGTGTATAAGAAAAAATAAAACAGAAGTAATCTTTAGACTAAACTTAATGAAGCAGAAACATAGACATCTACATATAAACTAATTAGCTGCTGTTACTCCCTAAAAAGCAGATGTCGGGCAAATTACTGGCCGATTTCAATTTTCTCACGGTTGCATAATCAGACACCTGTTCCAGGCAGACGAGCGTTCATTAAGCTGATAAAACAAAACACAACGCACCCCGCCGAGGTGATGAAGCGTGGTCTCTGCAGCTCCACACTCTGCACCAGCAGCCTTGGCTCAAAGGTCCGGATCTCCACATACCGAGGGAGCACTGCGATGATGTAGGGAGGCTGGTGCTCTGGGTAGGAAATGCACAGTGTGAGTAACCCTGGACACAGAAATCCAGCCATCTAGCAGAATCAGAGACTTAAAAGAGCTGACTTCAGGTTCAGGTTACGGCTGTCAGATCCAACAACCAGTGCTGCATCATCTAAAACAAGACTGAAAGATTTCTCCTTCTGAGGCACGTTCGCCGAGTATAAACATTCATATCTACCAGTGCTTTAATGAAATGGGCCTGTTGACATATTCATATATCCACCAGCATTGTATTACCGCTTAACAAGATGTCTGATGTCTGGGGTACTTTTAGCCGAGTAACCTAAAGGTATCCTGGCAAGCCTTCTTTACAGTACAGGCCATAGCTCTCGTCCTTTGGTGCCACAACGCTGCTATGTCGAGCATAGCAAAAAGAGGAAATTGCAAATTGTATGAAACCGATGCTGGAAGGCTTCATTTCCTCTTTATACAGCACACTTCTGCATGGCAATGAACACAGAGACAGGGAGCCTCTAACATAACACAGATCACCTGCACCACTGTTGCCACAAAGTCTCTCGGTGAAGCAGACCTATACTGTCTTTGTCATGAGTGTGAAGATAAAAGAATCATTACAACAACAAAAAAAAGATCTAAGCTGAGTTTTATCCTCCGATATCTTGGAAACTGTTCAGCATCTGGACATCACAGCTCAGACAGAGGGGAAGGGATGAGAAGAGGAAGGCAGACGGCAGCTGGATGACAACTGACAGAACCGGGGCAGTGCTGAAGCCAGATGTTTTCTCAAATGTTCGGTTAATTCGTAATGTCTGCGGTAGGAACATATGTGCCCAGAGAGCTTAACACTGAAAAGATGAGACTGTGCTGTCCCTGACAAGCACGGTCCACACATACAACCACTTGGGTTTGGGCATTACCACTTATTCACACATTGTAACCATCCACATTGTCATGTGTCTTTGGATACCTAAACCCTTTTACAATACAGAAAATAAAATATTTCCAAACTGACTTTCGAACAATGTAAAAGATGCTTCCATTGGAGACCCGATTATAATAAAAGAAAAGATTTTTCTGTGGTTGCACAGCTTATCTGGTCTGACACAGAAGGTCAATTAGAAAAAGACTGATTTAGATTTACAGTGACGGCAAAGTCATCAATAACTTTTACATAACGTTTTAATAACGTTTTTGTTGCCTTTAAGGTAGTAGTTCGTTCTTACCCATGGCGATGGGGATGTCTGTCCAGTTCAGGGCACACTTCTGAGTGCAAACTCCCTCCTCATTAAGCACCACAGTTAGGTCATCCTGTCCAACAGCCACCTTCCCGTCAGCCAGTGGGGCAACCAGAGGTTCCAACTGTTTCCCAGTGGGGAAGAGCTCCTTAATGGAGCCGCGGCCATCCATCTAGTTGATAGGAGGATAGGATAATAATATCCAAGTTACATAAACACTATTTGTAAGACATCTTATAAAGTGCCTTAAAAACTAAATACAGGAAAGGAAAAGCAACAAACTATTGGGACATTTTCTTATAAAGCAGTGTCAATATTAATGAGTATGTGAACATATACAGAAAATATGTGAAGTTCTTTCAAATGAAACACACCCGGATGAGGAAATAGTCTCGTTTGAAACCAACACATATGGAATTTTCACACCAAGCCATGGACTTTGGAATATCCGGTGCACCAAAGTCCCCCTAACAGACAGGCAGACAGACAGGGAAAAAAAGAAGGGATTACTACATTCATCATGGGATTGTGGAAAAAGAAACTTGAATCATACAGCTATGAGTCATATTTCCATCATAATTCAATGTAACCTGCAGCTCATGGAACTCTCTGTCCTTCCAGTAATACAGCTGGAGCTTCTTCTTCACTGCCACACACATTCTGAGCCTTTCTTCCCCTGAGCTGGTTTGCTGTAGACGAAAAAGACAAATATGTATCAATTTTTACTTCCGAATTAGGGAAATATTCATCCAGCAAAGCAATGTAAAGAATAAAAAAAAAATGTTATTGTGTTGGCATCCACTTAATCCAAATGTGTACATCTTTCATGCTGCCAAACGGCTCTTACAAATGCTAAAATGAGTAATCCATATCGATATTATTGTTTATTTAGTGGAAAGCGCCTTAAATCTGCACAATAAACCCATAAAAAATACACCTTGGATTATATGATTTCATGTTTCCACATCTCCTGCTGTTATGTATGTAGATGTGTAAGTTGTCCATTTTAACCCCATCAAGTTTTTTAAAAGAATCAGTGCTGTCAATAAGTTGGCTGTATTAAATTGGACATGCACCTGAAAAACAATTCCCCATCACAAACCAAATGCAACGAGGACATTTTTAACAACAGAACATTTTAAATCTAGAGAAATGAGAATAATTCTGACTGCAGTGCTGTAAAAAAAAAAAAAAAAAAGCTCATGGGTGCATGGATGTACAATGTTAATAAAAATTAGACTGTTGCCAGTGGCTGTTCTGAATGAAAATGTCTCACTCTACATATGAGCCCTGAAAGTTCCAGTGGCTGCATTTGTTACCTGGATCTCTGCTGATTCTGAATCAACCAAGAGACTCCACATTACAAAAAAATAAAATTAAAATGAAGTGGACCTCTAGTTTTTATGTTCTGGGAAGATTTGGACTACAATGCTGCAGGTGAGGGTCACTGACCTGCAGGTCACATGCAAAGAGTGTGGCTCCTTTGGCTTTGGAGACCACAGTGATTTGCTGGAAAGTCAGAAGGTCATGGACGTGGATGTTGTTCTCTGCAGGAAAAATTCATGGCTTTCTGAATAACTGTCTTTAACAATATAGATTAACACAATGCTGTTTCTTTAAATATAAATTTGACAAAATTTGTTGTCAGAACAGATGTTTAGAATGTGTGCCATTCATTGCCCACATAAAGTTTTCAGAGGAGACCCAAAGCACTTTAACCATCTAGACGCAAGAAAATTTAATGTGACCAAAAACTTACCCAGAAGGCTGACGAGAATTTTGTATTGCGAGACAACATAGAGCTGGAAAAGAACGATAAACGTAAATCAGGCAAACAGAAAGAAAGTTAAAAAATCCTGATGCCTCCCCTGCATTAACTTTAAATACTTCTGCCTAAGGAGTTCTACGTAGACAATATGTCAAATATCATCCTATAGGGTAAAGTACCTGCTGTATCTTCTTTGAAAAGTTCTTATTGGATTTTTCCAAAGTCACTTCAAACCGATTGGTGCCTGAGGACAAAAGCAAGAAAAACATCATGGACTTCTATCTAAAGCTTGCAACACTGAGGTCTATAAAACACACCCCCAATACGCTTTTCATACCTGCATCCTTCTTTATTCGGTAGAGGAGGAGATGCCCTGGCTTGGTTCCAACTAGCAGCCAGTCCTCTGTGAGAACACAGTTCAAAGAAAGCCGTGAGATATGTTAAAATTCCCAAACACAAACTTTCTGTAGGCTCTGACTTCTTGGCAGGCAGGTGACGTACGTCTATATCATATCACTCATTACACAAGGACAAGACTGACAACATAAAAGCCCTTTGAACCCAAATATAGAAATACCAACTCACCCCAGGCCGCAAGGCAGTCGATCTGAAGAGGAAGCTTTTCTAAAATCGGCACCGACTCATAGGCGTCATGCATCTTGAGCAGACCTTTCTTATTCAATCCCACGGCGGTCTGATGGGTCAATCCCAACCGGAGTTGACGCCTGTCGGACAGCTGACTGACCGTTGAGGAGCGTGTCAGAGCTGTATACCTTTACGTGTCGCCATTCACCTACAAAACTGCTCAGTGTGTCGACTGGGAATGAAAAAAAACTTTTCTGATAAACCACGGTGTCACCGAATGCTTTAAAGTCATACAGTTGGAACCGTGAGGACTCGCTGTCTCCAACCAAAACAACAGCTGATCGTTAGAGTGCTAGCATAGAAGTTAGCAACAAACAGCTACTGCTTCCTAAATGTTGTTCCTCCTCTCTCAGCGTCAACTGAAAAGAAGAGCAAAGGCTTGTAGAAATTTTTTCTATAAATTATAACAAAGCCGTGGTTAGGTTAACACGACTAACCGCGAGGAATACATTATAATTAGCGCAAAGTTTCGCACTGACAAGATAGCTTCTAGTTACTTCCTCGGCACTGTTAACGACGGCTGCGCGAGACAGTGGGCTCTGACTGGCACGTGACTGAAGCCTGAACACTCACGAGGAACGCATTAAAGGTGCAGTGACTGTTGTCACCGCGCTTTAACAATTCTTGGCAGTTCTCACGAGATTTCATGTACTACGTGATTAGATTACTGGTAGTCCCCCCCAAGTTTCGCGATATTGTAGAACATAATAGAACATTTACTTTCTTTATTTTGTCGACTGTTAATTAGTCCACCTCTAACTGTGCTCTAATTCGTAACCTATTTTATTTTAATGTGGAGCATAGATATGTATAATAAATGGGTTGTCACCAAAAAACTTAATACAGATGTCCATCAGAAATACATCAGACTCAACTCCAACCAATAACTTTGATAAAAACTTTATTTGCAGAACATATGCAAAAAGCCATACATTTTCATTAGCTTCACAATACGATGCAGACCAAAACCCAGGAATAGTCATAAGTGTCACTCTGAAAACAAACACTTTTAAACTCTTAAACAATACTCTTGACATCTATAAAAACATAAATTAAGGGTTTTTGAATATCCACACAAACTGTATTAGATTGCACACGGATGAAAATCATTTTGCCAGACAATGCAAAACAAAGTGTGTACTGTATCAGAAAAGTTATGGTTTTTCTAAGCTTATCATCTACAGCACTGTGCAACATTGAATGTGTTTATATCTAAATAAAACTTTGGCCCAACTGGTGGCTGCGAGTCAGAAAATGTTACACACATGCAGTAAATCATATCTATAGTAAATTTATGTCCACATCCATGAGGAAGGGATTCTGTTATTTCTTCACTATTCTCTCTCTATGGTGACTACAACATTAAGTGCACCTCGATCATTGCTGTTAATAGCTACAAAAACATGACATTTAAAAAAACAGGTATAATCTTTTGGACATATATAAATTGGCCGGAATATTTTTGTGGGTGGGCCAGTATTTTCCCTCCTTGTGCAGGACTGTAAAAGCTTTTATATTTAACTAAAAGCTTGTGACACAAATATTTAGTAGACAGATTTTCATTCGCTTTCACAGCTTTACGTAACTATCATTTCAAAGAAAAGTAGTAAAAGCTCTTAGGAAAGCTCACAGTTGGCTGCATACACCAGTGTCCATTACATTCTGCCAGTCCATAGGACAGGGTTTCCCCATCAGATCAGCTTATTTTCTAAATCTGTGATATGACATATAGCCACTTCTATGTCCAACAGCGAATGACTCAGTTAGCCACACAACAAATGGGTAGTTAGGTAAGATGTACATCTTTTGCTGGTTCACCAACCGGGAAAAAGTTCAGGCAAGTATCAGAAAAAAAATATATAAAATGGAAAAACATTCTTTTTGTTGTCTGACTAAATAGGTATGAGTAGATATTTTCTTTTTCATTTTGTGTGAAATCATGTGCAAAGAAATATTAAACACATGCTAAAAACATACTTTCTTGTAATATGGCACAGTATTGTTCAAGTTTTATGACACTCAAGTCTCCTCTGTTCTTTTAACAACACCGTTGGGTTTTCAGCATGTGTTTTATGACCCTTATTTTCCAGATCTGATGTCTTTGTCGAAATAATCGCCAAGTGTTGCGAGTTGAACTTGAACAAGACCCACCAGGTTTCACTCCAGCAGTCTTAAGTGGGTGGGTGGGTGGGGGGACTTATCTCAAAGGTTTCATTGTTTACCCTGTAGTGAAGGAACCACATGCTCCGTCACATTCTGTGTGGGTCTAAAGAAACGCCACCAGGCAGGGTTTACATGTAAATTATATTATTCCCCAGGGTGTTGTGCAACAAGTCCAGTGTCGGCTCGGTTCTGGATTATTTAGAAGAAACAGCAGTGAAACAAAGAAAAATCTTCAGAAAAATAAGTGTAAAAAAATAAGTGTAACTGCTGAGTAAGAACTCCCTAATGTAGATCAACATTAACAGCCAGTGCATCCAACTCAGGACAGAAGGGCCTTTTAAGATACGCTGCTCATGCCTCTGAGCTATTTACGCTGTGACGTGACTTGTGCGAAAATCTAAAAATAAAGTGTCTGGAAAGAAGAGTTGGCTTTTCCCACATTTTTTGGTAATTTAATCACTCAGAATGCATTTCCTTTCTCCCTCAGCTATATAACTTTTCCTTCTTAAATCATCTTGCAATTTCTTCTACTCCATTTTGGACCTCTCCATCTTGGTTTTCAAAATTTCCTGTAAAATAAAAAAACAAACAATAAACATAAATGCACAAGCAGCAGCGTGACTGTGGAATGAAGGCAGACTTAGGGTCATTACTAAGAACTCTTTAAATGCACTCAAATGTGAGCAGAATCATGGGATTAGCAAGAGAGGAGTGAAAAGACTTTACCTCCTCCTCATCCAACATTACAGGGAGAGCTCTGTACAGAAGAAAAGAAAAATGAGACAGGGACGCATTATACAACCCAAACCCGCGTGAAATGACATTCCTCCTTAGAACTGAAATAAAAAAGAGTGCTGATCGCAAACCCAAGGTCCTGTTAATACGAATGTAATAAAAAACATTTTTTAAAAATCATGGCAGCTCATGATATATAAACCTTATCATTTTTTGGAATTTTAAGACTAAACGCAGAAACAGTGGACAAAAAAAAAAAACAACAGCAATTTTCTTTTTTTTCTTTTTTCTAAGGTCTGTCAGCATTCTTGTCTGTGTTCCCTTTTGTATACGCGTCAGATAACTGCTCTGGCTAGTTATGCAACCTTTTTTATATCCATACCTTTAACTATCATTTGAAGCTTTTGGCATCATAGATGAGCAATTTTCAATGATTCTACCACAATTATGAGTTACGAGCAAATACTTATACAAACTTAATGACATTAGAATTTGAGTCTGGTTGAGTCTAAAGCAACTGGATCTGGACACCTTTCAGTTACTGAGTCCACAATGAACTCCTCTGTGTGCCGAAATATTTGCACTAACTGACGGCTCAAGCTGGGCTGAAACCAGGTAATGAACACGACACACAACACAAGCATTGCAGCAAATCATCGACAGAAAGACTTAAAGAGGACGATCAAAAAAACAAAAAATGGTCAAAGTTCAAATCCAGACCTCAAGTCAATTGAAATTCCAAGGCTTGCCCTGAGAGAATTATGAACAACAAGTATGAAACATTGTAACTTAGTCAAAATGCTAAAGCTGGTTCCACAACTTGTTAAAACAGGCAGGGTTCTTTGGTGAAGCACTCTCCAAATAATGGCATGGTGTAAAATGTCATGTGTTATCTTAAGGATTTAAACTGACCGCAGATCGCCATTAAAGTCAATAGGGAATTCTCATCCATTCCAGGTAGTGTAATGTTTGGTATCATCCAAAACTTACATTGTAAGACTATTAAGATCTATATTTGAGGCAACCACAGGAGCACAAAGAGTTTGCCAAAAAGAACCGAAACTGAAATGTACTTTACTTACACATCAGCAACAGACGTAGGGATGTTCTCCTCGACCCATTTCAGGTCCTCGTCCTAACCAAAGCACATTTTTTAAACACAAACTTGAACAAAGCGGAAAAGGCCACAAAGTAGACTGGAGATGACAGAGTATGATGATCAACTCACCTCTTTACTCAGCAGTTTCTGGGAGCCGTTGGCCTCAGGCTTTGACCCTCTCATCTTCATGCCCTCTGACAAATAAAGAGAATATTGCTGGATTATGATTAAAAGAAAAGCATTTCGTCTAATTTCATTTAAAAAACAGGCTGACGACACTAAAAACAACAGACGCCTTTACCAAAGGCTTCGTTCAGCATGGGTTCTTTGGCCTCCTCCTCCTCATCATCCTCATCAATCAGAGGGGAATGCGAGAACCTTTGGGGAAACAAAACACAGAGTGAATTAGATTATAAAAAAAGGTATTGTAATAGTCTTAAAACAATAAATACATTTTTAAAAAGCTCTTCTGCCCAAATGCTTTGGCGAGTCTGACCTCTGGCTGTTTGCAGAGGGCCGCAGTAGCACCATGATGACCAGCAGAATAGTGGAAAACAGAAGACGCCAGAAGGCATCGTCCACCCACAGGTCCCGCCAGCCCTGGAGGACAGTCATGAAGGACAAATGTTAAAATAGCAGGAAGGTTGTAATTTTCCCCATATTGTGTAAAATAAAACCAGGATCAAAATTGGTGAAAAGCAGAAAAACTGACCCTTTGACAGTCTACCAGCTTGAAGACTTTGGTGGTCCAAATGATGAATATGATAGAAGCTGTGGAGACAAACAAAAAAATAGTTCTTGTGTAAAATAAAAAAGGCATTAAAAAAGGGCTTAAAACCTTCTGTCAGTGTATATTTGTATATGTACATCTGTACAATAACACAGCGCGACTGGAGCTGCTTAGCAGAGCTGGACACAGATTAGAGCCGGTGGTTACCATCTGTTTCCTCTCGTTTTGCCCCGCCTGAAAAGCTGAAACTCACCCACAACAGAGAAGATGAGGGTGTTGGTGAAGTGCTGATACAGCGAAAGCTTCACCACATTCCGACGGAGCTTCAGGAGACGTGTGGTTTGTGACAGGCTGATGAAAATGTGGACGGGAATTAAGGAACAACTTTCATACGTTTATTGAAATACAGCTTTCAATACTTCTGAGAGGTCCTGATCAGATCTGGGGAGTCATTTTGAGCCGCTCAGTGAAGGATATCCACCACATGACGCAGGAGTCAATGAGGGACAGGCTGAGGTTGGCCACTAGGGCAACCGTCCCATAGAAACCCTGCACAAAGAAGATCAATGTCAGGACAGCAGGGAGCAAAGAGTCCAAGCAAATATGATGGGTAGACGACATGATGATAAGAGGGCTTAAAACTTTATCTTTAAACCGTAGATAAACTCTTCACTCTTCTTACATTCTATAATATTTTGTTTGGACACCCTTTATTGAACCCGCTGCAGTGTCTTTGGATGTTTGTTTGTTTTTTTTTAAGATGGAGCTATCACATATCTGTCACCAGATTCTGCTCTAGCTGAAGAGAATCTGGTCATTATTTTTTGGTCCAAATCGGAATATTTCCCATTTTAGACATCACTTAGGAGCCAGATCATTGCCATTTCTAAAGGATGATTAAGTTGGGTCTTGTACTGACAATCTAATCAGGTAAATGACCCATTATAATTCAGGGTCCTTTTGGATCATTTATAATTCCAAACATCTTGCCTTTTCGGTCAGGAATTTAAAATCAATCAATCACCCTTAATGGTCACCAAATTCTTTCTTTACATCAACAAATTTGTTGTCTTTTCTACTGTCAAGTCCTCCACAGATGGGTATCACATAACATTGTCCATACATATTCATATATTTTTACTTACACCCGTCACTCTCAGCACTCCTTCGACTGAGGAGAACAGTAGGTAGAGAAGTCCAACGGCTACCAAACGATGCACGGTGGTGCCCAGCCGGGGTCTTCAGAGGGATAGTAAAAGAGTAATAACAGCAAGTTCCCATCCATTGATATTTATATTCAGTAAACAACACAACTCAATAGAAAATAAATTGTTTTAAAAAGTATTTTCGAATGGGTCAACATACTTGACAATGCCATAGCCGAGACTGACAATGAGAACCAGGATTCGAGCCAGAGATCTTTTGAGTGCAGAGAGCAGCTCAGCGAATATCACAGCATCGAGAACTGCACGTGGAGATGAACACAAATTAATTATTATTCATGGGCCATCATGTGTTGTCGGAATCACCCTTGCAGTCCTGTCAGGGGAATTTATTAAAAGGAAAACGCAAGACACATATAACATGGCAGCATACACAGAATCCGAGAGTGCGGGGCTCACTTATACTTTCTGGTAACGTTCTATGCGTACACAGGCCAAACTCTCCATTTGGCACCACAATGTCTGCTCCCGACTAACTACACATTAAAAAAACAAGAAAAAAAGACAGAAAATACAAACCGTAGTCCCCTTTGTAACGGATGCTTTGGTATTCAGAGTAAAACACTGCCTTCTCCAGCATGCCGAGGATGATGACGGCACCGATCCAAAACTGGATCCGCAGCAGATCCCTCCAATAACAAGCGCACCAGAAGAGCCAGAGGGCCCCGAACAGCACGTACACAATGCACATGCCCATGAAGAACTGTGATGGGCAGAAGACAGAGAGGCAGGGCTCAGCTTCACTGTCGGACAAATGACCAGAGCTAAATACACCACGTTATAAACTATTATGCAAACAAGGGTTTTCTCTGATTTCCCTAAATAATTAAAAAAAAAAAAGGAAAAAAAAGTCTGCATTATTTTCAAGTCATCAACCTTTGAGAGTATAGTTGAAATATTATTGAACAAAAAACCACCTAAATAGTTTTTAGACATTTTAGGCCGTAAAGAAATTCAATTGGTCATTTGTTGAGTTTACAGTATAAAGGAGGTCATATTTACTGAACTTGAAAGGCTATTTTAATAAAAAACATCTCAACTGCTCATGTCACAATCCAACATTTGACAGCAGCTTCACATTTGTTGCACCACTTGCACTTGTGAATTTTGGGGAGTTTCAGCTTGAATTTCTTTGCAGGATGTCAAAAGAGCCTCCCAGAGCTGCCATTTGGATGTGAACCGCATCCCAACCGTGCATGCTCTCGATCAGGCACAAATCTCTGAACAGTACCATAATCACGCTTAAGTTCTTGTGAAATATATCAAGTTTTGCATACCTTCAAATGAGACATTAAAGTTTTAAATGCATCTCAGAAGCAGAAAAATCCTTGTTCTTTCCCAAACTGCTTGAAAATGGTGGTGTGCTTAAAAATGTGGAACGCCCTACTTCAATAGCCTTTCCCTTAAACCGTCCAACCAAGCAAATTAATTATCACAGGCGTCCAAGATTGATTTTCAGTGATCCCGAAAGACGTAACATCGTCCATGAGTATAATGAGAAACAAAGAAAATATAGTCCTTATGACAAAAACAATTTGCACGATGATTTGGAATCCATAGAAAAAAATCACTAAGCATAAAAAAGCATATATCAAGTGCAGAGGGTAATTCAGACACCTACCATCATCAGAGGCCAGTCCGCTGGGGATGAGTAGTCATGTGGTCCTTTCATCTCCACTTTGACTGAGAGATAAAGAAGAGAAGAAATCTGACACTTGTGCTGAGCTTTTCAAAACTGGTTTCTGTTTAGAGTAACTCTGCAGGATAGAAGTCCACCAGCCAAAAGGTTTCTACTCACCTGTAAAAGCAAAGTTGAGCTGCTCTGCTCCGAAGTCTTCCTCAACTCCATTAAACCGAGGCTGCACCTTCACTATGAACAAATAGGGGCTGTCCTCCCAGGCTTTGGCTACTGCACTGACATCCTATAATGATTCATTAGGTTGTGAACTTCTAATCTTCTCATGTCACTGAACATTGTAAAAGACACATGGATCTGATTGAAAATGGAAAAAAAAGAAGAAATTCAGAATTTCTTTATTCTGACTTAAAGAGAACTTCTCACCGGCTTGTCGGGCCAAAAAAGTGACTGATTTGATGGGTCACTCTGTGAAGAGAAACAGCGTGGGTGAAGTCAAAATACCAAAAGTTGCAACAGAAATTAAGCCAAACAGTCAATATTATCAATCACCAACCTTTGGGCTGGATAATGGTTGATATGGGTTGAAGTCTGGAAAATAAACCTGTAAAAATAGAAAAATAAATAAACAAAAAGTCTCAGATTTCCATGCTTTACAAGTGACCTGAAATACAGACACAAATGCATAGCTCTTCATATAAGACCACTTTATATGATATAAATTAATCTACCCCAGTCACAGACCTTTGGCGAGAAGAGGGCAGAGCAGTTTTCAAAGTACATGTAGCCCTGACTGTAGAATCCACTCCAACCGTCCTTCAGCTGGTGGTCCATTCCGAACATGTTCATGGCTTTGCTGTCCTTTAGGGAAACATGAAGAAAAACATCACTGATAATTAGTGGTTGTCTCCAAATAAAAATGCACTGCATTTGACTACTGTAAAATGTGATCAGGGATGCTTCAGCTCAGGCTGAAATAAGATGTGAAACCAAAGGAAGCTGACTACTGTTTAAAGCCCTGGATCTTATCTGTCTGACCGTCTGTCTGACCGTCAGTAAATCACAACTTATTGCTGTTTGGAAAGACTTTTGGTAGATAATCCTTTTTATACTCTATCCTGACACCCTTCCCTATCCCCTGCAAATCTGTTGACTGGAAAATATTTTAAAAAACTTTTCCATCTTCCTTTTTTTTTTGCTGTTAGGTGTTTGTTGGCAAAAAATTGTAGACTTTACATTTTCTAAAAGTAAAGGCATTGGTCACTGGAAACAAATACATTTATAGACTTTTAAAAGAAAATTGGTATGACCATTTATACCATTGTTCCGTTTAGATTCTTTAGTGATCAGTTGCCACTAATTAAACCACCGCTGGAATGCCTGTCTGCACGTTATTATGAGAGCCAAAACAAAGTTGACAAAAACCTCTTCAGACACATCCGAACAAAAATGGTCTTTTCATTTGCAAGCTTAGTTGATTTTGGACCACAAGCCTCACTTTAACATTCAGGTTCGATCTAACAAGCTTCTGGACAAAGAGTGGGTGATGGCATGAAGATAAATGCGGAGCCTGAGGTCAGGAAAACGCTCCATGACAGAATCACCAATTGCTGTCCCTGACAAACTGTTGATGCTAGGTGAAAAATGTAAAAACTAAACAAAATACTGAATAAAAGAGTAACACATCCACACATAGAAAAAGACACTTACTGGTGTGTTAAAGACCTCATTATAGCAAACAGATGAGCGTAGGTACCAGCTGATGTTGAAGGCCAGATTTCTGTCACATGATCCTGTATCATTCATGACTGCAGAGGACAGAGAGACAGATTGTTATTTTTACAGATGATCACACATTCACCTAAAGTAGTCACCCTCCTTTATCCTGCTTAGCTTAAAGCAGATGGTTCACATTCTTTCTCATCTTCACTCTGTATAATTTCCCCATCTATTTCCTACTGCTGGCAAAACAGACAACGCTGTCTCTCCTTCAAGTAGAGAAATATCAGACTTTTCAAAATTGTGATTGTTACGATTTGGATAACATTTTACATTCTGCGCTAAAATAGCTAAATCTGATTGTACAGCTACTCACTATAATAAAAAAAAAAGCATAGTTACATCCTAGAGAGAGAAGTGGCACCTTTTAATGTGCTGTTCTGTCTGAATAGTCCCAAATCAAGCTACTGAACTCCACAGCAAATAAGAAAACACCTTCACATTAAACTTTAAAACATCTTTCCAATCTTCCATGAAGACACTTTTGTTCATTATTTGCAAACAAAACTTGTATCAAAACTCAGATGGCCACTAGTATTGCAGTTTTGTGACGTCTCAATGTATAACCCAAAGCATGGTCTGTCCCCGCTAAAGCTCACTGGAGATTGGGTAGTTTAACAGGGCTGCTATTAACAAATAACCACAAATCTCAATGAACTTAGGCAAATACAAAAAATAGCTGCCAAAAACCCTGTAACCCCTTTGGGCCGTTATGAATAAAACTTTAGACCTGGACTTCAAATGTCCAGCAACTCAGGAAATTCTAACCAACAAAACATCTGGCCATCTGCGATATTTGGAGTTTCATCAGCCAGTGCATTAAACATGACTGCTGCTGGCATTTCATCTGAAAATCCAATAGTGTCAGTGGTTGTATTGCTTTTCTGAAAGAAAGATCACAATTTAACGGGAAATTTTAAAGAGTAAGAAAAAAAATAACATCTTTTTATCAGATTCTTCCCCTTTTGTAAACCTTTGCAAGCAACTTAACTTATAACCCCTGCAAGGAAAACATTTTGTAGGAGACTTTGTAGTGAAACCCGCACTACTTACACCTCATGAAGATGGTGGTGTTGGCATACAGCGTCTTACGAAACACAACATCTTGTGTCTGAAAATACAACAGAGATTAATCAACCAAAAGCAGTTTTTGCAAGTCTGGGTAAATTGTGAATTAAAATGTACATACATAATGACATTCACTTGGGAAAATGTAGTTACAAGCCAACTTTGGAAGCCGTTTCAAGTCATGGAACCGCCAGAGCGAAGTACACCGTAAATAGCCCTATTTTTGGCTTAAAAATAGCTTACCCTTCTTTTAAATTTACGCCTTTTTTCCTGTGAAGCATGTCTCATAAAAGGACATAGAACCTACTTTTTAAAATAACGCCGCAACGAAAAGACAGAAACATGACTTCATTTCAAGGTAAAAGAGGAAAATGAAACATCTTTCGTCGAATCACCGAAACCTGAGATGTGATTAGCTGCCTCTGACAGGTGGATCATATAGTGGAGAGCACCGCTAACTGCTACGTAGCTACTATGCTAACAGCTGCTGGAGATTTCAGCACAGCAAACAAGAAATTAACCGTCAACATTTGTCATACAAAGGTATGCCACTGACCGAGTTAATGCTCACGCTCCATACAGATACTTCTGCTGCCCTCCCGGCGTGGAAAAAGAATGCTAAAAGCAGAAAACACAGCCGACGTGCATCTGGCATCTTCGTTTGCGAGTCCACTTCAGGTCAGACTCGTATCCGCCTCCAGTTCCGGTGTCAACACCGGCTCCTTCTCGCGTTAGTTACTCATTTTGCCGCGAGAGGGCGACACGATGCACTGGGACGCGAAGGGGAATAGGAATAAAAAACAAAAAAAAAACAACTATATATCAACAAAAAAATGTTCATTGTTAACCTTGTGTGTATTTTCAACAAAAAATATTCACAAGAGAGCACCAAGAAATGTTTTTTTTTTTTTAATAAAAACGAATTTTCTAAACATGTAGCTTAACCCTGTGCTTGGCCAATAACAAATTACCACTAGAAATTATGCAGGCAATATATATTTTTAAACCATTATTTCAACACCTGTAACAGTTGTGACTTATAACATGCCAGTTCCAGCTAGCCCCAAAAATGGCCTTTATTAGCTTGATTGACCGGTGTTTGGTGGTCGCCAAAAACACTTTATATATAACTGTTACAACCGTTACAGTTTTTAAGTACAACTTTTTGGCGTCATTCTATGATAAATAAATTGATGAAGCGTGATTATTATTTTGTAGGACGTGCATCATTGAGCCGGCAGTTTCTTGTGAAAGTCCTCACCGGATGTTTAGTTAGTTGTGGTTGGGAGTCACTTCCGTTTAGCTCAAGTTGGCTCGGTCTGAATAGTAAGAAAGATCCCTTAGGACATACCCGGAAAATAAAGCGTGTACTCAAGAAGCTCAACCGACTGTGAACGGCAGTTGGGTTTGTGTGATTGGAATGGCGGATAAGAGTCAGTCGGTTGTTAGGTATAAACCCGTTTTCCCACATGGCTGCAGCAGCCACAAATTGACTTTGTTGACCTTTGACATTTCCCATTCAGACTGCACGAGTGAAGCTGTTACCTATAAGAAAAACATTCACCTGACACCGGACATAAGTAAAAAAGATGTCAGTTTAATTTACTGCTAAATTAAACGAGCGAGGTGGAGAACGCACCTGCTGCCAGGGGCTGGATTTTAGATTTACATGCCAAAGTAGATACCCATTAAGATTTATAATTCAGGATGATAATTATCCTTTTTTTCTCTCTCATGTTTTTCAGTGTCATACCTGATGATGAGGGGAAAGAAAAGTTCAAGAAGAGTGATGATGTCGGCTTTTACAGGTATGTAAAATGATCTGCAATCTTTGAGAATAAGCATGTTGTAACCTTTAATAGTCTGAACAGTGAAATGGATCCTTTCCATCAGTGCTTTTGGGTGTGTTCTGTGTGATTTGGGTCTCTCATGCCATCCATGCCTCGTACAGAATGATTGAAATATATATATATATATATATATCCAGCACTTTTTTATTGTTTTATATTCCAGGCGGCAGATCCAGGGCCCAAGCTTGAAACACAGAGCCCTTTTGAACACCCTGGTGCTCACAGAGAAAGGCGCACATTTTGAACTGTTGGAACCTGACACTCAGGTTAGTGGAATCCATAACTGAATCTGAAATAACGAGTCATCTTTTTCTTTAATTGCATTTGACATAAATTGAGGTTGTAAAAATATTTGGCACTTGGTTTAAAATAAATTCTGGCTGTTATGATCAATTCGAGCTTTTTTTACTTTTTTTTTATTACATAATACTGGAAATAAACCCAAAAGTGTAAATTTCAAATACAAAAAAAAAGTAAATGTACATGCAACTTGACTTTTCCAGTCAAGCTGAATACTCAAAGAGCTTTACAATACCATTCACACACTGGTTGCACCAGTGGGTACACCAGATGCAACCAGTAGGCAACTTGGGGTTCAGAGTCTTCCCCAAGGACTCTTTGACATTTGGTTCTGGAGGAACATGGAGTTGAACCCCTGACCCTCCAGTCAGTTGACAACTGCTATTTCCTCCTGAGCCACAGCCCCCCCAAAAAAGGTAGAAGATAATTCTCTCAGGTTGAGAAGTCATGAAAATACAAAGAAAATCTCCTGGAAGAGTGAAAGATGAATACAATTTCTAAAAGGTCCTCTTTCTGTCTCTGACCCCAACTTGCTTTGACAGACCAGACTCCATCTTACGTTGTCAGCAAGCAAAAATGACACGGTGAGGATGTTAATAGATGAAGCCCAGCCCATTAAAGCACGCTACCGAGTTCAAGATGTGCTGACTGGAGAACCTCCCTGTGAGCAGTAAGAGCTGCACCAGCATCATCTTTCCTTTATGTTGTGTAGTTGAACGGCTTTTATATCTTTTGCATTCCAAAGTTTTCCTCAGTTCAGTCAGTGTTATCTCTTTTTTAAATTTTCATATGTAAATCAAACCTGTGAATGGTGTTTGAAAATGAAAGCACATGAAGAGAAGGAGCCGCCTTACTGACATACACTGTGAACAGAACCCTCTTTTTTGGTTAGCCGTTCCTAACAGAAAAAAGAAGCGGAAAAGGTTTCTCCAAATTTTTTGTCTGTTTCCTTGATTATGCCACAGGTTGAGGGTGGAGAGGCAGACAGAGGACTTTGTCACCCTTTCTTGGTCCTCAGGACGACACCACATCTGCATCTGGCATTTCCCGTTCCGAGTGGAGATCCTTTGTGGCCAAGAAGTGCTGGTTACATTTAACTCCAAAGGCAAACTGTGGTTCGACAGGATCCAGGAGCCGCCCAGGTGAGGTTTGCCATGAGGCAAGCGTACTCCAAAAAAACAGAGGACAATCAATTTGAATAACAATTATTGAATTTGCCTTATTTTCCTCCCCATGGCTGCATCACATGTTAGTGAGGTAAGACAATAAAGGGCTTTAAAATGACTTAATCTTATAAAATAGTTGTTTATCAGCCTGTTAAAGACTTATTTTCATTCTTACTTGTGTGTTAGCTTCAAGAGGACCAGACAAGTTTATTATGGAAAGAGACATTCAGGAAGTTTGTGGATATCAAGGCAAACGGTTTGTTCCTACTTTAACATTTTTAAAACAAACACAAACATGCTAGCAATGCTTTCACAGAGTAGTGCATCCGGGATTTTTTTTCTTTTTTTTACCCATATCCTGAGACACATCCTAAACACAAATACAATTAAGCTACTTAATTTAAGCTTCTTAATGTGTATTGATTAATGATTCAACTAATTTTATACAGTATGATGAGTGAACTTTACGTTACAGTAACATTAATTATACACGAGCTTGAAGCAAATTAAACTACTGATCTTACTTATTGCATATAATATTAACATTAATATATATTTCTATTGATAAATCATCAGTCTTAAAGTACTTTAGGAGTGTCTAGAAATGGTCAAAAAGAAGGTGCGATTTACAGTGATGTTTTGAATTAAACTCTAGATCAAGAGCGTCTTCATTTTTAACTAGCCTGTAATTAATTTTCACAAGGGTATTACATCATTAGACACCCTCTATTAATGCCACTAGCATCAGTGTGAAGAGTTAAATGAACAGCAATAGTGATGGTGAAGTAACTTCCGATAAAAAGAAGGAACTTTTCTCCTGACCGTCAGAATCCTTGTGTAAATACATTCTCAGGAATTTAGCTGCATCAGTAGATGGCGCCACCGTAGCAGTTTTTCCGCCTGTGTCACCCAGAGGAGAAAACCAGAGGTAGCATTTTAGGGCAATTACAGATTCTATGCAATTCAGTAATGATATCAAACCTACAAATGTGTCACAGGACGTCAGTGTTACAGGAAAGGCTTAGATGAACCTTCTCAAGTTGCCAGGTAATGTTTTAGAAAGAGATCGAAATATAACTGTGCTCATTGTTTGGCAAGCTTAGGGTTAGGGTTAGGGTTGTGATACTTGCTTGTTTTTTCCTGTCTACGTTTCTCCAGATCCGTCAATGTTCCAAAGTGAGAACAAGTGTACGCTGAAACAAATGCATACGCATTATGTTCCAGCGATGAAAGAACTTTCGTGTAAAATCCAGAAACCTCTGCATCCTCAGGTCCCAGCAGCGTGGGGGCAGACCTCTGTCTTCACGGGTTCAGTCACGTCTACGGTCTGCCCGAGCACTCGGAAAACCTGCGGCTCAGGGACACGAGGCACGTCCGGCGGCCCCCCCCCCCCCCCCCAGTTTAAGCTTCTACTCCTCTCCACTCGTTTGATAACGGCTCTCTCACAGCGCCCTTCCCTCCACAGAGACGGCGAACCCTACCGTCTATACAACCTAGACGTCTTCGCCTATGACTTGTACAGCCGCCTGGGCCTGTACGGGTCTGTGCCGCTGATGGTGGCCCACAAACCAGACAGGACTGTCGGGGTCTTTTGGCTGAATGCATCCGAGACTTTTGCACATGTGAATTACTCCCCCACCGACCATCAGGTAATCCTTGATTGGGTCATGCCAGTTGGTACCAGCGCGGGTCGCATCAGAGGCGTAGGATCTCACCGATCCCCCTCCCCAGGATCTGCTGTCTTCTAGTTAGTTTCCCAGGCGTGTTTTTCATTAACCATTGACCACTTCACGGGTAAGTCTGAGTTGCATGGGAAACCGTCTCCAACCGTGTACGTTTCCCCAGGACGACCAAGCCCCGCCGCTCAAAAGGAGGCGGGTGCGGCCCCAGGCCGACGTTCACTGGCTGTCGGAGAGCGGCGTGATCGACTGCACGGTCCTGCTGGGGCCCGGCCCGCATCAGCTCCTGGCCCAGTACGCTCAGCTCACAGGTAGGTCTGCCGCGCCGGGGCCTCTCCAAACAATTCCGTATTGAAAAGCGAAGCCCCAAAGTTGAAGGAGACCCCACGACCGGGGGCATGTCCCCGTTCCAGGGTATCAAGCCCTGCCCCCGCTGTTTGCCCTGGGCTACCACCAGTGCCGCTGGAACTACAACGACGAAGCCGACGTGAAGGCGGTGGACGCGGGGTTCGACCAGCACGCCATCCCCTACGACGTCATCTGGCTGGACATCGAGCACACGGACGGGAAGCGGTACTTCACCTGGGACCCGGTCCTATTCCCCGAGCCGGCCAACCTGCAGCACCATCTGGAGAAGAAGAAGAGGAAGGTCTGCCGCGCCGCGCCGGATGCGGTGGACTGAAAGCACCTCCCTCTCTGACTCGCCGGTTTCTGTGTCGCATCCTTTTAGATGGTGGTCATAAGCGACCCCCACATCAAGGCGGATCCTGGCTGGTCCCTGTACCGCGAGGCCAGAGATGGAGGGCATTTTGTGAAGGACAGAGAGGGACGGATCTATCGGGGCTCCTGCTGGCCAGGTGAAATTTGATCCACCACCTCAAGGTCTCGTTAGAGTAATGCAGCACAGTTGGCGTCTTTAAACGTAAAGTTTCAAGCATTTGAATGTTCCACTCCCTGAGGACCCTTGATGACGATCAAAGGTAGGTTTTGTTCCCCCAAATTCGCTAAATTTTTCCTTTTTCTCACAGGAGAATCCTCCTACCTCGATTTCAGCAGTCCAGCAACCCGAGCGTGGTACTCCAGATGTTTCAGCTTGGATAAATACAAGGTGAGCACCAGTGATGTTCGGTCAAGGCCAAACCAGGCTGGAGGAGCATTTATCCACTCTTTTTCTTTTCTTTTTTTTTTAGTATTTGAATGTTTTTCGAAGCACTTTTAACCAATAAAGAACCGCAAATTTTTCCCAGGCTTAATTTTGATTTTTTTCCCAAATGTGGACAATGTAGGGTTCAACGCCGTCGCTGTTTGTGTGGAACGACATGAACGAGCCGTCTGTATTTGATGGGCCCGAGCAGACGATGCCAAAGGACGCCGTTCATCACGGCGGCTGGGAGCATCGGGATTTACACAACGTGTACGGCTTTTACCAGGTGAGGCGGCCCCGGCCCGCTCACAACCCACTGGAACAGCGTTTCTCATGCATTTGGTGGAATTTTCAGTTTTATTATCTCTTCCAATTTCAAGTCGAGTTGTAGCTAGTGAGAATGTCTCCTCCTTTTTTATCCCATATTAGAAGTTAGGGTTAGGGTTGCCGTATGACATCTGCCAGTACTTTTCTTTGCTCACAGCACATGGCCACAGTGGAGGGTCTGATCACTCGATCGGGGGGCTCTGAGAGGCCGTTCGTGCTTTCTCGCTCTTTCTTTGCCGGATCACAGAGACTTGGTGAGCAGCTCAAATGGTGAAATGCGTTGAGGCCGTCCCCACATTTTTCCATTTATGAACTCTTCTTCTTTTGTTGTTTGTAACAGGAGCCGTGTGGACAGGCGACAACGTAGCCAGCTGGGAGTATCTGAAGATCTCCATTCCAATGGTTCTGTCTCTTAGCTTGGCGGGCATAGCGTTTTGCGGAGGTAAGCGCCACGCTGCAGATTTGATCTGTAGTGTTTGAAGTCTACAGAACAATCCGAGCAGTTCTGCTTGAAAGCATCACCATCTGAAATAAACACATTCTTAACATACAGTGCCAAGGGGAGTTGAGTACCATAAAGAGAGACGTACAGACCCAGGGTTACCGAACACTTTATGCCAGGGTCTACCAAACACACTCTTTGTGCTGTCAATCTCCCAGTAAATTGAAGTAGTGTGCCACAGCACCAGGGTGAATCGGGGATATCCGTCGTTTCAGCTGACGTCGGCGGATTCGTTCAGGACCCCGAGCCGGAACTGTTGGTGCGCTGGTACCAGGCAGCCGCCCTGCAGCCGTTTTTCAGAGGCCACTCCGCCAAGGAGACCAAGCGAAGGGAACCCTGGCTTTTCGGGGAGGAAGTCACCGCAGCGATCCGCTCCGTTATCCAACAAAGGTGACGCGTTCAGCTTAGTTGAAAAGGTCTCGCCGCCAACTCGCGCAATTGTCCGACCCCGCAAAACGGCACACTGTCAACCGAGCATGCTTCCACTCTCCTGCTCTCAGGTACTGCTTGCTGCCATACTGGTACACGCTCTTTCACCAGGCCAACAGCTCTGGCCTTCCTCCAATCAGGTCAGTGTCGCGTCCGTCCGCTGCTCGGATCTAGGGGAGGAACCCTCGCTAGGGTGGCATTACTTTGGACAGTGAGCATCAGTGCGCATCCGGGATGAATTTTGGGAATAACTCGTTTTTTATACTTTATGTTCCTTATTCAGACCTCTGTGGGTGGAGTTTCCCAGAGAACAGAGCACCTTCGCAGTGGACAACCAGTACATGATCGGTGAACGATCCTCCATATTTGTTGCGTTAAATCGTTGAGTTATTACCGTTTTTGTTTGTCTCTAAAGGTAAGCCGTTTTTTATTCTGTGTAGGGGGAGCGTTACTCGCCTGTCCCGTAACAGAATCGGGCGCTCAACAGGTCAGAATCCTCCTTCCTGGATCCAGAGAGGTAAATAAACCAGCAGGTACATGTTTATATCCATAGAATAAGATATTTATTCAGAGGTTATTTCAATTTTTCTTTCTCTTATAGATTTGGTACGACATCCATTCTGCCGAGGCCTACAAAGGAGGCAGCACTATTACCCTCCCGGTCACCCTGGAAACGGTCGGTGTTTCCCGTGATGTCAATGCACTTTAATAGCAGTTTTTTTTAAATATATTTAGGAGAATAAAAGCCTCTCAGGCGCTGTTAGACTCTCTTGCATTCGCTCTGGACAGGTTCCCGTGTTCCAGCGCGGCGGCTCAGTGGTCTGTCGGTCAGCTGGGAGGGGCACCTGCACGGCCGACTACCAGCGGCTGCCTCTAGCCGTCACAGTGGCTTTAAACCGCGAGGTAACAGCCTGAGAATCTCCTGAGCCTGGATTCTGTTCTGTTCATGTTTTCGAATCAGTAGATTATTTAAATGAAATTATTTTTAAATGTTCCTTCCGATTCCTCTCTCCTCATTCATCAAGGCCAGAGCACACTAGTGGAAAATCATATGAAGTGCATTAGGTTCCACTAGAAGCACCAATAGGGAGGCATCTCACACATCAAGCCTAAAGTTAGTGTAATTTACCTATTTTTAAAACTCCCGCGTGAAGGTAAAATGCAGGTTGTCACTATTTTATGTCAGCAGGTTTTCTTTATGCCACTGAGGGGGATTTAAGGTGAATTGGGACGATATACCATGGAATTAATTTTGACTTATTAAATCTATTTTTTTTAATCTATTAATACTACATTTGCACATCAGTTAATACTTCACACAGCTTAAGAGCCCTTTATTCATCAGGATTGAATGGCTGAAGTTAGGTTTCGGTTATCTCTGAAGCCCAGTAATGAATTGCACTTAATCCATTTGACACGTGTTCTTGATAGGAAATAAAAAATAAAATCAATGAAAAACAGAGAAAATTATTTTTGTGTGGTTGGTGAACAGCAAATATTCTGTAAAGTTAATTATTATAGAGAATGGATTGTCTGATGTGCACAATTCAAGCAACGTGCCTCGATAAAAGCAGGAAATTTGCAGATAAACTAATACTTTATTATGATAAAATTGTGTGTATGTTTCTTTTTCTTTCTTTTTTCTGCTGGGTTGAACAGGGAACTTGCATTCCACTGACAGACAAATGGGTTTCTTTAACACTTAATGAAACGGGGGGACGTTCATGTCCTTTGCAAAGCACTGACCGCAGTCTTCTCCTCGGGCAGGGCAGGGCTGATGGGGAATTGTATCTGGACGACGGCCACTCCTTCAGATACCGCGACGCGAAGTCCTTCTGTCTGCGCAGGTTCAGCATGCTGTCAGGCCGTCTGCTGAGCCGGTGAGTCACGCTCGCACCTCCTTAAGAGGGCTCCGGATTTAGACCTCAAGTGCAAAACACACACGAGGCATGTTGATTCCTAAGTGTGGCCAACATTGAATAATTAGACTTCAGATAACTCGCATAAGATGAGCGTATATATGTGTGAGTGTATGTATATATGTATGTATAATATATAAATATATTCTATACATATGCGTGTGTGTATGTTTTTATATATATGTATGTATATTATATTATATTATGCTGCCTCCTTCAGGCCTGCCAGCGAAGAAGGAACATTTGACTGTGGGTCAGCCGTACAGTCAGTTACCATCCTGGGGCTGAAGAGCAAGCCGTCCACTGTGACTGTGCATGTGCCTGGTGAGGAGTTTTTTGTTTTTTTTAAGGCCCTTTTTCTCCCGTTTTATTTTCCTCTCTCTCAGTTTAGACAGAAAAAGTTGTGTCCCAATGTGAGAGCACTGGTCAACCGGGGGCTTTGAGATTAGCATCGCATCTCTCTAAGTGGATGAACAGCAGTCAGAGGAATGAATGGGACTTATTGTAGATCAGGTGTCACCAGTGTTGCGCAAAGAAACGCTATGGCGACAAAAACGTACACCCACGAACATGTTCAGCCTTTTGTTATAAGTTTAAGACGTTTTTTGTAAGGCTTTAAAACGCCCCCCTGAGTTGACTTTACACATAACCCCACTAGAAAAAACCTCTCAAAGTAGTAACAAAATTAACAATATTGGCATCCAATTTTCTTTTCTTTCTGTTTTCTGTAATGACCAAAGTTAATGTGTTTTTGAAATTATTTTGTTTCATCATCAGGAGCTAAAGACATCCCGGCTTCATTTCAGTACGTGGAAGGCTGCTGCCAGCTGACAGCCGACGGTCTGAACCTCAGCATGGCCGTGGATTGGGAGTTACAGATAAGCTAACCGTGGATATATCAGCGAGTGGAGCAGTTTTGTCTTGTTACTCCTCTGAAAAGAAGAACACTGAGCTAGTTTTCCCGATTATGAAAAGCAGTGTTGGACAAACCGAAGATCTAAAAAAAAAAGAAGAAATCTATTGTAAAAGACTTTTGACCATCATCTGTTTAATTGATAAAAGAAAAATTGTTTTGATGTTGATAAAGTCTAGTGCACATACTAGAAAGTTTTAGAAAATTTTAAATTCTGAAACAATTTAAACTGTATCTTAATATCAGATTTTGAGTTCTGGTTTGATGTATCTCTCAGAATATCGAAGTAACTGTGTTTTTTAAAGTTTGAGCCCCGTTTGTTTAATTTTAAATGAGTACAATCCACACTTAGGATAACAACGCGTAAAATGTGTGTTGATTTTGATGTGAATGAGTTAAACCATCTTCGAGTTTACTAAAACGAATCATTCAGTTTGCTTAATGGCATTCTTTTGTGCTGGTGTGACCTGACCCCCTCTTCACCCATATTGCATAATAACATAATAACAGAACACTGAAATATGCTCCTCATTCTTCCAGGAGTCATTTTGGGGAGTGAGCAGACCTAAAGATAAAGAAATATAACTTAAAAGCAAGACAAAAAAAGAAAAGAAAAAAGGGAAACAATAAAAATATTTTTAGAAAAAGCTAAATGGTAGATAATATTTTGTTTTAAGAGATTGCTAGGCAGGCTGCATTTACTTTTTCACGCGTCTTTCATTTTGCAGGCCTTTACCTGCTCTAAAGAATTCCAAAACACTGGATTGGGGTTGTATTTTTTTTTCCCACCGGGGCTAAAAATGGATGATACTCATAGCTTTACCCTGCTCTGGTTGTGCTGAGACTGCTCAACGCTGAGCTCCATTGAGAATAGGTTTTAGGGTTTGAATGCCTTCTGCTGAGGCAGGGCATCCACTGACCACTCTTTACATGCCCTATGGCGTAGCCCGCTGGCCTTTGTGTTACCCAACAATGACGGGGACCGCTCGGCCAATGGGAGCCCGGGCACGGCGGTGTTCAGGTGGCGTGTGTGTGTGTGTGGGAGCGTGAATGGCAGCGCAAAAGGTGAATCCATGTGAGGTGAATGTCTTTTTCTGCTCTGTGACGAAGGGGAGGGGGACGTCACACAAAGAAGGAGCCAATCAGACATTAGCTGTTTGGATTTATGCCAGGGTCTTTTGGCTTGTAAGACCTTAGTAGAAGTGGGAAAGGCCAGTTTTTTTTTTTCACCCCCAAGAAAAAAATACGCCAGCTGGGAAGAGATGCCATACACGCCGGCTGGCTTTTTCTGCGACCGGTTGATCCGGGAACGAGAGCGAAGAGACGGGGAAGGGTCCCTGAACAAGCCCCTCCGCTTCAACGGCCAGGACTTCAACACGCTGAGGCAGGAGTGCCTCCAGAAGAAGAGCCTGTTCGAGGATGACTCTTTCCCGGCCACCGTGGAGTCCCTGGGCTTCAAGGAGCTGGGCCACAAGTCCAACAAGGTCAAGAACATCGTCTGGAAGAGGCCCAAGGTAGGAAAGAAGGGACGCTAGGCCGGAGTGAGGAATGAAGAGGCACATTGGGGTGCGAAGTTAAATAAAGAAGGGGTTGGATCACGTGTGAGGAGGTTGGATGTTATTTTTTCATAATCAATGCTGTTTTTTTTTTATCCAAACCAATGAGGGATTGACATAAGATGAGAAACCCAGGCCTCAGGGGGATTCTACCCAAAGATGCCGACGGTGTTTAGTCCAGCTGGTTTCCGTGAATGGACGTGGACTGAATGCTTTAAGACTAATCATTCCTTTGTTTTCCTTTTTTCAAAAATTGAATGGTTCAATAATGGGTCTCGTTGGACCGAATCTTACCCTCTGAATCCTCCCATAAACAGGTTATTGTCTCTGAACCCCCTCTGTGTGGTCATTGCAGGAAATCTGCGAGAACCCTCAGTTCATTGTCGGAGGAGCCAGCAGGACAGACATCTGTCAGGGAGATCTGGGTAAACTATACACCCTCAAATGTTTCCCTCACACCCCGATACCCAGGTGTCCCGGCCCCTACAAAGGTTTAGATCCACGGTCAGTTTCTCAGTGGAGTACTCATGGAGCAAAAGGACTCTAAACTTCTGGGAATAGAACAGTTCGCACTGCATTCTGCAGTGACAGTTTTTTGTAGTTTGTGCACATCTGCCATCGACCCCCCCCCCACACACACACTCGGCCTCCCGGCACTGCGGCGGCCTCCACGTATTGTGCTGGCTCTTTTGGGAGGGATTCCAACCGGCAGCACTTCTCATTGTTGTTTAGTTCGGACGGCAAATAAAGGGGGCCGACGGGGACAAAGGTCCCGGCAGACACTGTTCACCATTCCCAGTTGAAAAAACTTACATTGTTCCCACCAGCGCGCACACCTGGACAGCCGAAAAAACCACCAGCGTCAGCACTCGGCAGGGCATCTTTTTTCTTCCCCCCCCGGACAAACAATCCAGGGGAAGAATTCCTGTCAGTGTTTTTTTTTTTTTTCAGCAACAAAATAAAAACCCTTTTAGCACATAGAGATGTTACATATTTTACAAACAAACAAGCATATCACAGGATTAAAAATATGGCGAGATTTTCAGTTTGAGTAACTAGCGCCTTGTTCTTAATGTAAGCTGTAAACAAACACATTAGAAAAAAGATATGTGCCCAGGACTGGAAATAACATGAAATCAAAAGGCATCATTTTGTCCGTTTAGGTGATTGCTGGTTGCTGGCTGCCATTGCCTGCCTCACCCTGAATGAGAAACTTCTGTACCGCGTGGTTCCGCAGGAGCAAAGCTACTCAGACAACTATGCTGGAATCTTTCATTTCCAGGTATGACACAACCACCGAAGTCTTACATGAATCCAGAAATTTTCGACTTCCTTTTCTATATTCTTTAAGTAATGTGAAACCATTTAGCATAAAAATGACATAATTAAAGAAAGATCTATATCAATCAGTCAGTTTTCTAGTTAATAAAATGAGTTGTTAGCTCTTTTTTTCTACAGAAATATGCTTAATTGTAATATTCCCATCACAATTTGTCGATACAGATACAACCTATAGAAATAATTCCCATATTAAACTATCTCTCTATACACTTATATATAGAGAGAGAGAGACAGAGAGAGAGAGAATACTTTTTAAATTGACTTTATTCTTTTTTTAACAATTTACTTACATATTACTTACAGTGACTAAGTTCAATGAATAATGAAAGCAGATGTTATTTGCAGCTGGACAACTACACCAAATATCTAGTACTCCCTAGAAACGCCTAATTCCTTTTTTAGAATTAGATTAAGATAAATTAAACTCCTCAATTCAGTGTAAGAATGCCATTTCTTCTCGCTCATATTTCTGTTTAAGAATGCTTAATTGTACGAGAGCCTTAAGAGAAAAAGAAGAGCCACATTGTCAGCTGATGCTAAATTATTTACTCCAATTGTTGAGCAGAGGCGACGCAAAATATTTTTTTAGATGATCACATTAAGAAATTCCCCCCCCAAAATACTTTATAGAACATTACCATGTGGGATTTTGTTTGAATGGACAGCTAAGGCACCTGTAGGCCATGCTCACAGAGCTCATAGCTGAACGTGAACCAGGTCCTTCTGGAACCCCGTAGAGGAGCAGATGTTCAGTGTGGGACATTCTCTGGTCTCAGCTGTGTCACCCAGGTTGCTATGAAACAGCTGAGATCAGTTTCAATGGAAACGGGGGATGGTGTGGTGTGGGGTGGGGTGGGTTAGTTTATCAAAAATGAGTCCATTGAGTCCTGACATCTTGTAATGCCTTCAAATGCACATGTATCGTTTCCTCCTGGCATCCTTCCCTCCCTCAGTTCTGGCGTTACGGCGACTGGGTCGATGTTGTCATTGACGACCGCATCCCAACATTCAACAACCAGTTGGTCTTCACTAAGTCCGCTGAGAGGAACGAGTTCTGGAGCGCTCTTGTGGAGAAGGCCTATGCCAAGTGAGTGTGTGCTACTTTCTGGAAACGGCCACAGACATGTGATTTTCTGAAAATGATTTCTAAAATGTCCGTTTTAGCAAGTTTGGTTTCAGGTAAAGGCTTTTTTTTTTTAAATGTGAGAAGATGAGCGGCAGGTAAAGGTGAATTTGAACTCATGACCCGCCCCCCCCCTTCCTGTGTCCAGGCTGCACGGATCCTACGAGGCCCTGAAAGGTGGAAACACCACAGAGGCCATGGAGGATTTCACTGGCGGCGTCACTGAGTTTTATGAGATGAAGGAGGCTCCCAAAGAGCTCTACAAGATCATGAAGAAAGCTCTGGCCAGAGGCTCGCTCATGGGCTGCTCCATTGATGTGAGCCTTTGCATCTTCCCCCCTGTGACCCGCTGCCATCTCAGCAGAACGTGTAGAGCAGCTCTTTATGTGTTCCTTTGGCCTGTTTCCTCTGCAGTCCCTGGTTCCGGCTCGCTTCGAGACTCGCACGGTGACCGGACTCGTGAAGGGTCACGCCTACTCTGTGACGGCGGTGGAGGAGGTAAAGCGAGCCGAAGACCCCGCTGTGTGCTGTGCAAAGAGTACGGGCTTTGCTGAGCTTTGCAGCAAACCTGTGTCTAAATTGAACTGCACGAGGCCATAAGTCCAACAACTGAGCCGACCAGTGCTCCATAGAATGGATGGAGATTGCTTCATTAAAAAGAAAAAGATATGTCGAGGATTCGATCTCTTAATCACCACTATTTACGCTTTTTTTTCTCCTGTTACTCCAGTGTAAAGCGTCTCAGCACAAGGAGTCGAAAGTTCGTCTGGTGCGCCTCAGGAACCCATGGGGTCAAGTAGAATGGAACGGCCCCTGGAGTGACAAGTGAGAAATCTATTGACCATCTTTAGCCTTTAGTTGGACCTTCCTTAACCTTTCCTTTTCTACCCCTATGTCCAATCATCTGGGTGCTGGAGTTAAATCTTTTTGTCCTCTGATGTCTCTCCTTACCTTTCATTCGACAGCTCTAAAGAATGGACCTCGATCTCTAAATCGGAGAAAGAGAAATTGCAGCACCAGAGCGCAGAGGATGGAGAGTTCTGGTAAGCGGCTCCTTTTGAACACAGCTTGAAATTTTGAAATACGCAACTGTGATTATTCAGCTTCTTATTTTGTAATGTTGGATGTCTATAAGAAAAATATGTATAAATGTCAACTTTCTGACATGATAGTTTGAAATACCATCGGATCTCTAGTTTTATTCCATCTCTAATTTGGTGCGAGGCAGCCGATGCTTCCCTCAATTCCTTCAGTTGTCAGGAATGCAACAGCTGAACAGAGCAGATGCTGAGTTTCGAATAAGTCTTTTTGTACATTCCGGTCCCATCAAGGATGTCATTCGAGGACTTCAGGAAGAACTACACCAAGATCGAGATCTGTAACCTCACACCCGACGCCCTGGAGGACGACAAGCTCCACAAGTGGACAGTTTCAGTGAACGAGGGCCGCTGGGTGAGAGGATGCTCTGCCGGAGGCTGCAGAAACTATCCAGGTACTCTACAGTAAAACGCTAAGCAGAGAGCTTTCTGAACGTTATTCTGAATCTTTTTCCATTCAAAATGCCTGGGACTAAAGGGCCTGATGGATTGAGCTCTAATGTGTTGACATTACAAATGCCCTGCAGACACTTTCTGGACAAACCCGCAGTACCGTCTGCGTCTGCTGGAGGAGGACGATGATCCCGAGGACAACGAGGTGGCCTGCACGTTCGTGGTGTCGCTGATGCAGAAGAACAGGCGGAAAGAGCGCAAAATGGGAGCCAACCTCTACACCATCGGATTCGCTATTTATGAGGTGTCCAGTTAGGTTCTTACGGGCCAGTCCCAGACTACAAACATGTACCCAGCCTTTATAAAAAGATGCTAAAAGATTCTGCTGCATCACTCCAGGATGAATGAGCTCTAGAGAACATGTTAATTGATGGATGTTATTTGTTTGTTTGCTTTTTGCATTTGGTATTTGCTTTTGGCTATTTTTTTCTTTTTTAAGACATAGATACAGATGTTGTTTTTGTCTCTCTGCAGGTGCCAAAAGAGGTGAGGACAAAAAAAAACTGAGCGGTGGTACAAAAGTTCTTCACACCTCACACTCGGAGACTCTTTTTATATATATATATATATATATATAAAATCAAACACTAGCCATCATGTCCATTCATATTTGAAAATCCCTCCCCTGGCTGTTGTGTCTCTCCTTCGCCCTCCCCTCTAGATGCATGGAAACAAGCAGCACATGCAAAAGGATTTCTTCCTCTCCAACTCCTCCAAGGCCCGCTGCAAGGCCTACATCAACCTGCGGGAGGTGACGCAGCGTTTCCGTCTGGCCCCCGGCGAGTACGTCATCATCCCCTCCACCTACGAGCCCCATCAGGAGGGAGAGTTCATCCTGCGGGTCTTCTCTGAAAAGAAGAACACTTCAGAGTGAGTGGGTGCGAGGGACCAGGGTGGAGTGCATGAAGAGGGACTTACAGCTCCAGTTAGATATGTCTGACAGTCAGTGATTATTTAGTTTCGCTGGGTTATATTCAAGTTTTTTTTTTTAGCAGGGCCAGACACTAATTTTTGACACAGGTCAGAGCCATATTGTTTCAATATCTGTAACAAAATGAGTGAGGTAGTCCTAAATTGCATTCCGTTCCATTCATATTTCCCAGACATGATAGAGAAAACCTATAGTTTATCACAGTAAGCATCCAAAAAGGCAGCCTCCTTGATAACCTGATGCAGGTATTTCCAGCAAAGCTCTGCTTCAAAACGTTTCCTCACCCCCTCTTATGTGCATTTTGTGGTCCTGGTTTGTGTGTCTGGTGATGAGGGAGGGCTTGTTTGGTGGGTGGGACAAAAACCGCCACAAGCAAACAATTTTAACGGCCATTTGATTTGTAGAGCTGGAAGAAACCGGCCCCAGTTCGAGGCTGTTATGGAATCTTTTTTAGGACAAGCGGCTACAGATTTGGGCATGATCCGGTAAACTTTCCATAGATATTCAATGCTGCACACTCAAGTCCCAGCAAACCACCAACCGCTCCCCCTGGCTCCCCGGACGAGGGGACGGCACGCCGAGCCGGCCTGCGCTCCGACACACCGGGACCCGGTTGGGAATCAGGCTGTGGGATGGATGAGCACAGGAAACTCTTAGAAGTTTTTTGTATGAAAAGAAAAAAAAAAACTGGTTTACTGATGGATATGGAGAAGAGTATGGGCTGTAAAATTTCAAATCTCACAATTGAATGTGTTTACTTTGATTTTTTTAAAGAAAAACAGATCAAACCAAGTAATTGACAAAATGCATTTAGATAAAAATAAAGAGAAACTTGACTATAGGAAGCGACAGGTGGTATTAAAGTATCATAACTACTCCTATATTCCTGATGCAATATGACTGAGTCCATAAGCCTTTAGATGGAGTATAATGAATACAGTATCAGCTATATGCCACTAAAAGTCTAAGTCCTGCTGAGAGTAACAGAACACAGGCTTGTGGTCCAGACGAGATGATTATGTCTCCGTGGTGACTGCTGTTTATTCGTCTTCACCCAGGGAGATAGAGAACAGGATCGAGGCCGACCATCCAGTGGTAAGTCTGTCCTTATTTTACAACTTCTGCAATTTCAAGGCATGCTCCATCAATCCTTTGCTTTTTAGATAGCTCTACTACTGCTTTAACCTCTTTAGTTAGTCTTATTTGTGTTCAAAACACACGAAGCGCATGTTTACAAAGCCCGTAGCCCACTGAGCAAGAGGATTCACACTTTTTTCTTTGCGTCATTTATACCATGTCTGTGCTTTGCGGGTCCCTGATGCCTCAGCCAGCGCCAGCCTCGGCAGGGGAAGAGAGTGAAGAGGACCAGCAGTTCCGGACTATTTTTCAGGAGATAGCCGGAGATGTGAGTACAGACAGAGGAGGCTGCGTTTGACAGGGCCGGCTTTAATGGCCTCCAGCAGCCCAAAAAAAACTATTAACTGTTTAACTAACTAACTAACTAACTTTCTTTCGTCTTTGTCGGCTGAGCAGGAGATGGAAATCACAGCCAACGAGCTGAAAAATGTTCTCAACAGAGTGATCAGCGAACGTGAGTCAACTCCAATGAGCTGCAGTACATCTTTTTTTTAATGTTTTCGATTTGAGTTGACTGCCTAATTTACAACAAATGATGACAGGGCACATTCCACTATAGTTACGTGCAGGTATGAGATGAGACATTGGACACAGATACTTCAAGAATGAACATGAACAGAACTGGAAGTACAAAAGCATTTTTTTGATAGAAAGCTGATAACTCATGCTGTCCCATTCATAATTTCTACTGGTTGTTCAGCTCTTGCTCATTTGGTTTTCCCTTCAGATAAGGACCTGAACACAGAAGGCTTCAGTCTGGAGAGCTGCAGGAGCATGATTGCTCTGATGGACGTATCCTTTGTATCGAGTGCATCAGGCTGGCTGTGTTGGCTATAGGAGGCACAACCTGCTGAGACCCGTGGTAGGGTCTGTGATGGACGCTCACACTGTCTGCACATCGCGGCACTCCATTACAACCCTTGCATTTCGTTTTGACCTCCGACCACACCTGATTTTGCTATTGAATGTCTCCACTGCTCGTGTAACAGCTAAGACCGTACACAGTGTTGCTTTAGTTGAAGCACAAGTCTCGTTTTCCTTATCCGATGTGACGTAAAGTGTAAGTTGCTACACATTTTGTTTTCTAGAAAGGATCCAGAAAAGCTCTATTCAATTTATAACCATGATCTGTCATTTATTTATGTATTTATTTTATGTATACAATTTTAGGCATCTTTGCTGACAAACCTATTTGTCTTTAGGATCCTTAAACAAATTAGAAACTTAAGATGAGAAAATATATTTTTAAAATTGTTTTTGTTATATCACTTTAAATAACATATTTCAGTTAAATGGATAGTTAACATGTTTATTATTGTAGTTGTCAAAGGAATTTGCATCCATCTTGCTCAACACAAGATTTCATACCATCAAAAGTCTGCGCCCATTGATGGATTTTGCTCTTTACGATGAATCATAAATTCTTTATAAGAGATGGATCAGGACTGCAGGAAAGTCAATCACAGACTAAAACTAATTTTTTTGGGGTTATAGTTGTGCAGAAAGTCAGACATTGCCCTTAGGAAATAATTGCTCTCCCCTGAATCCCAACATGTCTCTCCAAGGTCACAGATATTGGCTTCTAAAACTGTTCCTGCCAACATATTTTTCCAAATATGAGCCAAAACACAGACTCATCTGACCACAAAACAAATGTTTAGCGTCTTTCTGTCCATGCAGGATGAGCACCTGCCCTGAAATGAGTGTCATCTTACATTTCCGGATGCAGTAATGGACTTTCTAGATAGAAAATGGCAACCCAGTCTGTAGAATCTTCCAGAATGGTGTAACCAGTAGATTATTTAAATCTTGTGATATATTGCTGGAATTAATTGTTAAATTGGTTTTATTTTCTTAATACAATAATTTAGCAATGGAAACGCTAAAATTGGATTTTTCGGCCAAGCCTAACCTTAGTGATTGGTCACAGATTCGCTATATACTGGTGAACTTTTATCTGAGCTGTTTTCATGGAACACATTGCACAGTTTTGTCTTGACTGTGACATTTAGATGGATGGGACAGGAAGACTCAATCTTCAGGAGTTCAGACATCTCTGGAATAAGATTAAACAGTGGCAGGTGGGAAAGCAGGTTTTTGTATTGTTTTTATGTATAGCATCAGAATAATGTCTGCAGTTTTAAAATATTGAACGTTTTCAAGGGAATCAAAGTAATTCAAAAATTTAAATAAAAGTGAGCAAAAAGGAATTAAATGGAAATTTTCTAAACTGAAGTGTGCATACTTAATGATAGTTGCTAAAAGATCAATTGTATAATGATTTAGAATTCTGAAACACTAATGCTAATTTTTTTTATCTAGCTCACCAGTAAACCAGACCAGGTATTAAAGAGGACGTTTTATAATGGTGGTTTACTGCTATCTAATAAATCAGTCACATTTTTTTTCTAATTATGAGAAAACAAAATATTGATGTTTACTTTTTAACATGACACAATTATCTTTCAGTCATTGAAAAATTTCCATGGAAAGTTTAAAATTTCCATAAACATAGGTTTTTATTCATTTATTTGATTAATTTACTTGAAAATCTTCCACCCCATCACAGCCTTAGCAGTTTTCAAACAACGGTGTAACTCTTGTAAAGATGCTTTAGTTTTGACAAAGGAACCGCCCCGGTAAAGACCTGCTAAGCTCTAGAATACTTAATGTTTGGACGTCTGAAACTGAAACCGTTTCTTTTTTCAGGGAATATTTAAACACTATGATGCAGACCAGTCAGGTAGCATCAACAGCTATGAGATGAGGAATGCTGTCAACGATGCAGGTAATGACACATGCCCAAACTTTTTAAAAATGTCAACCCGTTTTTTTAATGCTTTTTGTTGACAATTATTAAACGTAACGTTAATTACTGATGTTCGAGCTAAAGTTGGGTCCATTTTGAACTGTATGGTGTTGACAGCATTTCGGAACTGTACCCTTGTCCCTGATGAACTGCTCTCTTGGGGGGGGTCTTCTGATGTTGTTTTCTGATTTGCATGCAACCTGTGGTATATATTCAGTCTTCACTCATAGCTTCAACTCATCCTCTAAATGTTCTTGTCACTGTACAGTCATGTGTCTTATGTCCCGTTCAGGCTTCCGTCTCAACAACCAGCTGTACGACATCATCACCATGCGCTATGCAAATGAGAACATGAACATCGACTTTGACAGCTTCATCAGCTGTCTGGTCCGGCTCGAAGCCATGTTCAGTAAGTCAGTGCCACGTCAACGCAGTATGAATCTTAGTATGAGATCGAGTTGAGAAGGAGATTCCGGCAGATTCCATTTGAATACTAATCAATGTGATCAAATTCACTTTCCTTGCAATGACATTATGCAGAGTGAGCCAAAAGTCCCAGAATACCGGTTTGTATCAGAAACAAAAGGGAAAATGACCTATCTAAACACCCAAGCAAATAATGAGTGAGGGGGGCTATATTTTAGGCTATGTCCAGAACATGGCCGCCACCTGAAAGCCGCCATATTTGATCAAGGGCACGTTTTTCCAATGGGAAGGAGGTCCTGTAGTATATCAAACAAGGCCAGAATTGTCTTAGAAATTGATTTACACAATCAGATTTTCAATATCTCTTGCGGTTCAATAGTTATCAACACAGTCTTTTGCAACAATAAAAGTGCCTGTAATGTACAGCCTGTTTGACATGAGAAACTCATAACATTTACAGCTGTGTAACATCCCTCCTTCTAATAACAGCCTGTAAACCGAAGAGACCCGTAGCTGGGCTGTAGGATTATAGCTCCTCTTAGCATTATTTTTGCAGAAATTACTTCTAAGTAGGAGCATATGTTGATCTAAAACCAGCTTCTACTTTTACTAGTGTTAATGGTGCCTATCTGGATACACATTAATTTACCTTTATATCATCAGAGAATATGGTAGAATGTTGGATGGACTCACCTTGGGCTTGAATGTTGGGGTGTTTGGGTTCGGGTGTTTGGGTAAACACAGCACTGTTAGTGGCTATATTCACTACCCTATGTTAAATCACTGACCCCAGACAACTCTTCAAAATAAATGAAATAAGGTTTTATATTTTTTGTTAACGCACAACAACAATAATTACCAAATTAGGAAAACACTGTAGAAAGCAGAATTGACCAATTCAAAATAGTTTCAAAACATAAATGATCTCATGTCTCAGAACTTATCCAACTCATACCAAATACACTATTTAACTGAACTAACAAACAGTGGGCCCACACACACTCTCGCACACACGCATCCAAAAACAAGAAACGGTGCAGGCCTGTGTGCTCCAGGTGTGGTGCGGCAAACCAATCGTTGTCCTCAATGGCAATTACCAGTCACACAGATAATCCCACTCACGGTTTGGAAAAAAGTCCTGGAGAACCAGCTCACGAAGAGAGGAAGATAGACGGTACCGGCAGCCGAAGTGAAGTCCTCCTCCGGAAGCGCGAGACAGTCCCGTTCCGCAATGGCGTCGTCTTGACTCGCGGCTCGCTAGCTTTAGCTTTAGCTTAGCACATTCACTCATGCAATACTCGGACGCTGTTATGCACTTTGAGTAAGCAGGAAATCCACTTTCCTGCCCTCAACTAATCTTCTTACATTACTTAGACTTTCAACAAGTTGTCTAACAAAACGTTTTTTTTTTTTACTTGACTTTTGTTCCGTCTCGTGACTCTCTCGTCTCTTCTCTTCCTCGCCCCTCTTACCTTTGCCCAATTACGAACATGTGACACTGATCGACATATACAGAAACCAAGCACACGAAACAGTATCAACCAATAACACAAATATAACTATTCAAGTTTGGTTTACCACACAGCTTTCGGCAGCTACTATACAGTTTAATGTAATTACTTAATTACATTAACTATTTAAACTATATTTATCGTGAAGTTATGTTAATCATAACATTTCACCTTTTTAACTGTTTTTGGCTCTAAATTACTTTCAGTTTATTTCCCTTACTAAATTATTTAATGAACTAATTGAAATAATTAATTGTTTTACAAATGAACTTTAACTCCTGTATTTTTACACCGGGCTACACACATAAACCAGATTTGAAATTACAACTCACGTGACCACAGAGCAGGTTACCACTTCATGTCAGTCACTTTAAAATGAGCTTTGGTCCAGACAAGACCAGCATTTGTTTGTATTATGTTCTCATATAAAAATATAATATTAATAATATTTTTTTGCATGATAGAAGGCTAACCAGCATCAGAGGTTCTGCCTCTAAAAGGTGCTCTGTTTATACCCCACGTACAGACCACTTGCATACTTAATTCCTCCAGTCCCCCTTTAATCAGCACCATTTTTCCTCTGTTTTTTCTTCGCCCTTGTTCTAATTATTTTGAGATGCATTAATACATTCAATTCATAATGAGCTAATTATTATATTGAAGTAGTTAAATGTTTCACTTTCAGTATTGAAATGGATTCTATGTGCTGATGTCGGTTTGAGATTTGCATATTAATATTATACAAATATGATTTCTAAACATGACAGTATTTTATACACATTGTTGTATTACATGTGCTATAAACAAAGAGCTGAATAGTTTCCTTACGCTCTAAGATGTGGTACAGTCATGTGCACTTGAGTCAGACTTGCAAAGGGATCTTTTTCTCCTCTCAGGGGCGTTCCAGGCCTTTGATCAGGATGGAGATGGCACCATCAGACTCAGCGTCTTAGAGGTAATGAGCTAAACCCCTTTTTTCTAACCTCACTCATATATAATCAAAACATACTTGTATTGAATAACCAAGCTTCCTGTGCCTAAAAATGACATTTTGAATTCCAGTTAAGACCTTTCATTTAAAATTCCCAAAGCAGGGTATAAAGAATTTCCACTGCCTGATGACACTTTTTTTTAATGCCATCCACAGTGGCTCCAGTTGACCATGTACGCCTAAAGAGGCGTCGTCTCCCAGGTGAGCTCCACTCCACATGAGGAACAGACCTGCCAGCCTTTACCTCAATACTCAGTGTGCCCGACCGCCGTTAGCTTTCATCCACCACACCTCCTCCCTCTCCTCCCCCAGTCCCCCGCAGCTCTGCGCCAAAACGTTCCTCCATTTTCACCTTCTACATTTCTACTCGCAGGGGAGCTCATAACGTATGCGTTTCCTTCTCTGCACCATGTCTTCTGCTCTCAGTCGATAGCTTTGTTATCAACTTCTTCTTTTTTTTTTTTTTAACTTAAATACAAACAAACTTCCTCACTGTTACTCAGTACTTTTCTCAGGCAGCAAACACACACACACAACCTCTTTTTTTCCTGTCAACGATACGTCATAGAGACTCTCTCTCCCGCACAGCAACGAACTTCTGTACAAGTTTGGTTTTTGAACTGTCACGCTCTCCTTCAACCTTTATTCTTCTGTTATCGAACCGAGCAGGGAGGGCTTTCCCTCCTAAATTCATCCCAGTGACCTGGACTTTGGTGGGAGGTCAACGAAACCCGTCACATGCTCCCTGCTTCTCGTTAACATTTCTGATGACATATTTTCTGAAGCAGGTCGTAGTGAGGATAGCTAGTTCACTTTTTAACCCTGGATTCTGTGAGGGACTGGAACCCAGCACTCCCTGATGGAGAAACTTCCGCTCGTCTCAGAGCCAACCGGCAGAAACTCCACCTTTGAGGACAGTTCATTTGCCAGTCTTTGAGCTCTGGGCTCGGATGGATGCCATTCACCAGGAAAACTGTGGCATCTGCAAGTTTTTCCTCATGATGTTGACAATCGAGGTTCCAATATGGATTTGAAAGAATATGGCTAAAGGGTTCTTTTTTTTTGTGATTTTATTTTTTCCCACGAAGGCTTTGGTCAAAAATGAGTGTACTGCATTTTTAACTATTTTAATCAAATAAATAAATGTGTAGCTGTTGGTTTGACTACGTTACCAGAGTAGTTGTGATATGAAATGTTTTTTTTTTCTTGTTTTACCATGAAACTTGAAGCATACACTCGGTAAAAAAAAGGCAAGGGTCATGTCAGAGGCCTTCTGATGTTGCAAACAAGTTTTTATTATTAACGACAAGAATACTCTTTTATATTTTTAAAAAATAGCTCTTCGCAACTTTGGTAATCAATGAAAAACTTGAAGAAACTCAGGAATGCCGGGTTAGGGGTGAACTGCGCGCTTGCCTCTGCCATAATTGAGTGAGAAAACAGCCACGGTGAGAACGTCAGGTTCATACAACTTTCACCCCCCAAAACACAAACAACTAATGTTGCAACGGATTCTGCTAAATAGAACGTCATCTGAGCTTTCAGGCTGATTAAAACGGGTGGAAGCGTTCAATAAAGGGATTCTTGTTTCCTATTGTTTCATAGAATCTAGGGTGAGCTATGGCATGGGAGATGAAATGTCATTCTTCCCTTCAATATCTTCCATCCAACGTCACCTTTAAATATCCTTTTGCCTCCTCGCTGGAAAACACAGCCCTGGCATCTTCTTGCTAAGAACAAACTCCAAAGCAAAAAAGAAAAGAGAAAGAAATGTGCTTTTAAAAACACCATCTCACACTCACTCCAGGGAACACAAAGTTCACTTCACAGCATTAAAACATTCCGACAACAATTACCAAGGAGAAATCCACGCCAGTTAAAAAAAAAAAACAACATAAAGGAAACACCAACACGCCGTCACGTCCACGTCTTTGACACCGTTATCACTGCAAAAATGCATATTCTAAAATGGCAACCTCAGACCAAGTCGCACCACAGAGTCCCTACACTTCTGAACGGGCAACAAATAAATCAAAGGTGACCGTAGAAAGCAAAAGAAAAGATGATAATTAAAAACTAGGTGTTTTTCATAATGAAATACAAACCAAACAAAGGTAAAAAAACCAACGACTTTCAGTTAAACTCTTAACACATAAAAGAATTTAACCCAACCTGGGAGACTCCGCACAGACTTACTGAAAGGGCTCCATCACTTATCCTCACCACAAATATAAGGTCACTTTAAACGAATACGGAAAAAAAGAAAAGAAAAATAACTGAACGTTGCTCAACATGACAAGTCACATCCGTATGAACATCTCGACCCATGCCATATTCACTGGGTTCTGGTTGTGGCTTTGAAGCGAGGAGCGCTGGCAGATCCCAGGCAAACCGGCAGCGCCTGATGTTTCCTCCAGTCATCGTAGTCGTTATTTCTGCGTCTTAGTTTGGTCAGTGAAAACGGGTGGTCACTCAACGAGGAGGGGAAGGAGTGTTGTGTGGAACGAGTTTTTAAAATAAAATAAAATTTAAAAAAAAAGAGAAAGAACCGTTCAACCCTGCCTTTGTGACCGTATTACGGTTGGATTCCAACACCGAAACGTAAAGGATGGAGTCGTCGGACACCACTCCGCAGGCTCTGCGCCAGGGTGGGGGCGAGCGCTGCCGAGTTTGGCGGGTCCCAAGAAATTGGCCCCTCCCCCCCAATATGGGGGGGAGGGTTAACGGGGTGGGGGAGGTTACGTGGAAAAGAGGGAGGGGCTTTGGGTGAAACTAGGTTCCCACCGACGGCCCCTAAGGCTCCGATTTGGCGTCCTCCTCAGCGTGTTTCTGCATGTGCAGCGACAGCGTCTGCAACGGGAAGGCAAACATTCCCAGTGTTTTGTTTGTTTAAAACCACAAAACCTCGTTAATTCCAGTAAATACACCAAATGTTTCGCAACATCTGTTGGAAAGGTTTTTTTCCAATGACAAAAATAGGCAGAAAAAGACCCTTTTACAACACAGCGTGTACCCATTTTTGTTGTTTTGTTGAGGACCCCATCGAAAATAAGATGGTTTATCTCAAGGAACTTATCCACTATGGAAATAAATAAATACCATATATAGATATACATACATACACATATACATACATTGGGGCTGCCGCGCGCGGAAAAATACTCCTGGCAGTTCCTCCAGCGACACTTGAGCGTCAGGAATTTGGCGCCGGCGTGGACGCTGACCAGGTGCTGCTGCAGATGCTCCGACGTCCCGAATAACATGGCGCAGCCGTGCCACTGCGGAGGAAAAAGCAGCGTTTACAGAGCACCGCTGTGGGGGGCCGGAGGAAGACCGACACAGAAACAGAGTCGGAATCTCAGACAGAAACAGAAAGATAACGGGGACGAAACCAATGTGGGGAAAAAGTGTACTCCAGAGTGGAGGCTGGATGAGCTTTGGACAGAACTGGCTGCTATATGCAAAACTAATATGGAACAGAAAGAGAAGGAAAAAGATTTCTGTTAAACAATGTACTATGTTTATTTATTAAAAAAATAATCTAAACAAGGCCAAAAGCTTTCTCTATTCGTGGATCTGTTTTTTTCCTGCTCAAAGTGAATTATGTAGCAAAATCAAGCACAAATAAAAAGCGTTTTTATCAACTAAAAGGGGAACATGTGCTTCTCGCTCGGTGAGCATCTTCTGGCTCTCCTAAAACAGTCCCGTGGACTCCTCTCGACCGCCCCGGTGAGCTCCACGCCTCGTCCGTTGGTCTTACCCTGCAGCGGTAGCCGTTGGTCACGTTGAGCTTGATGGCCTGCACGCTGCCATCATAACAGCCTGTGTAGATCTGAAACGATTAGGAGCCACATTGACTTTAGCCTTTTGGCTCAGGGAGGAAGGCGGCTTGGCCTGTGCAGCTAAAGGACATCAAAAAGGGATATCTCTTACCATATTCTTGTGGAGTGCCATACACAACACCATGTCGTTGTATCCACCATACACTTGCAGCTGGTCCTGAGTCTGTGGGCAGATTTGTATTTGTATTTTTTTTTTAACTTTCGACTAATCTTAGAACTAATCTTATGTGAGAAAATGACTTAGGCTCCGATACTGAGTTGGAGAAGGGGTTATTTGGACGGCGCCGACCGACCTGCAGGTCGTAGACGCGCACCAGCTTGTCCAGGCAGGCGGTGACCATCGTGTTCCCCATGACGGCCACCACCGTGACGGCGTGGCTGTGGCCCCGGAAGACCTGCACCAGCTCTCCTGTCTGTGGGCGGAGGGGAGGAAACGGCTCAGGGGGGGGCTACTCCGGCTTAAGCCCCGCGAAAAAACGGAGCTTGAAGCTGTGCGTTCGAAATCGTGCCGAGAAAACTCACGTGGATGTTGTGGGCGTACACCGAATGGTCGCTGGCTCCGCTGTACACCAGATTGTTGACCACCTGAGGGGAAGATTGGGTTACCGTCCTGGATCACTTCACTCCTGCTTCTCTACAGCTCTGAGGTGTTTGGTGTTTGTCCTTGCTGCCTGCGCTTTTCTTCTTTTGTCTCTTGTTTTTTTCTTTTTTTTTCCCTCTGTGTCTGCTGATTATTGGCCATCGGATATTCTGTTTTCAAAAAATTTAGCGGTGGGTCGTACAGCTAATTTTCCTCTCTCTCCATCTTCCTAGAAGCATCCGTCTCCCTTTCTGTCTGATTTCCTTTTTTCTTTGCCCCTCTTTCCCTGTCCCCGTTTCAGGATTGGCATTAAGGGTGTGTATAGTAGAAAAAATCTAAATAAAAAAAAGCAATATTGGATAATCAGAGGGGGTGTTTTATCCATAAAGCTTGGCTTGGCGAAACAAATGTGTTCAGCATGACACGGGGTTCAATTCAGATTCCAATTTTGCAGCAACGACGTTAAAAAAACAAACAAAAAACAATAATAAAAAGCGTAATTATTATTCTCAGATGTTGTAAAATCTCTTCAGAAGCGGACTGAACCCTTTGGACCTGCCCCACCCACCTTCATGCAGAGAACGCTCTTGGTGTGGCCCTGCAGGGTGCGCAGCAGCAGGCCGTTCTTGGCCGCCCTCACGGTGATGGTGCTGTCGTAGGAGCCCACCAGCAGGATCCGCTGGGCCCCCTCCTGCGATGAGGCCAGACAGCTCACGGCGCGCGGCCCATGGCACTCGAACACATCCATCTGCTTGTTGGTCTAAACAGTCAATAGCAAAACAAAAGAAAAAAAGGAAGAGTTGGCTCCAGCCTGCAGGATTCTGTCCATTTTTCAGCTGATCTAAGCTGATCTAAAAACAAAAAGTTTGTTTGTTTCCACCGAAAAGGCAGCAAAGGATAACATCGGATAAAGAAAGTGCCACACCTTGAGGTTAAAGGTCACCACTGTGCCGTTTGCCAGGCCGGCGTACAACATCCTCCATCGGCTGTGGAGGCAGAGGACTCGGTCCGACAGGGAGAACTGCTGCTCTAGCTCCCGTGTCTGTGGACAAAAGCAACAATAATAATAATTTTAAAAAGTCATGGCGTTTATCACGACCACTACGGGGCGTGCGTCCACCTTGAGGCTGTAGCAGCGGATGGTCTGGTCGCTGGAGCCGGAGTAGAGGCGGCGGTGCAGGCTGGGCGCGGCGGACACCAGCAGGCAGGTCACTTTGGAGCTGTGCCCCTCGAACACGGCCATGCATTGGTGGCTCTGCGAACGAAAGGCGGGACAGGCCGTTTAAGCACCGCGCTACTGCTGCCTCGCTGTCCAACAGGACTGTACAGGACGCGGCACCCACCGCCAGGTCGAAGGCTTTGATGGTTCGGTCCCCTGAGCACGTGTACAGCAGCCCGTTGTGGATCTGGATGGCGTTCACCGCCTCCTGGTGGCCATCAAATGCCCCCTCTGTCGGCGTCTCGTCCTCGCCGTGGTCAGAGGATACATCTAGGGAATAAAATGCAGGATCCATGGGTGGGATTCAAACTTTGCTGCAACAACATCAGCTGGTAGGATTTCCATCATAACATGCGATCACCAGTAAGATTCTTTTAAAGACCACTTAAAAAAAAACAACAAAAAATTGTGGCTGTCTGTTAATGAAGAAAAAACAAGAGCACATGCAGTTCTATGGGAGCAGGTGAACGTACCTGATGAGGTTTTTGGTAAAACGGGGACAAACGGCAAATCACTGCAGGGAGAAAAAAAACAAACAAACACTTATTTCTGTTTCCATAAATGTTGTAGACTTCGTCAGGTGCTTTCAGGTTGGAAACCTCAACCAAACCCAGTAACTCCACGGTGAGAGCGTTCACCACTCTGGAAAAAGTTGAACTCACCTCTCAGACGATTTGCACAGGTCGATGTCACTGGTGGAGGAGACCTCGTTGCAGGCCAGCTTTTTCGGCTCGGGTCTGGAGGAGTCAGGGAGCAGGGCTGAGAGAGGAGGAGGAGGAGGAGGAGGCAGAGGCGGGGGTGGAGCGTCCATGTGGTGCTGCTGGCTGGTCATGGTGACCTCCATGCTTTCTTCTGAGTCGAGGTTCTCCTTTAGCTCGGCGGGGGCCCCCCGTGGGGGCTCTGAGGCCTGTTTGGCTGACCTCTGCTCTCTTTTCTCGGGCGCGGCGGTCGGACGCGTCTTCTCGCCGTCCTCCGGGTTCGCCCCGGCCTCTCTTTCGTCCGCGGGCAGGCTGGAGGTGCTGACCTGAGAGCCGCCGCTGGCTCTCCGGCGCTGCCGCAGCCACCGGGGCCTGAAGGCCTCCTCGTCCAGCTCGGTGTCGCTGCTCTCGGGCTGCTCCGTCCCCTGGGCCTTCTTGAACGCTTTCCTCTTCTTCAGCTTCCTGACGCGCTTTCCGTTCCTCGTTTCGGACGGAGAGGCGGGCACGCTGAAAACCGCCGCGGGCTGCGTTGACTGGACGTCGGCGCGGTCCTCGGAGCCCCTCCTGCTCGGCGAGAGGAGCTTCACGGGACTTTTGGAGTCTGGTAAAAGGCCGCGGTGGTTACTTGACCCCAGTGTGGTCTTCTCTGTGGTCTGGACCAGGCCCGACAACTTGTCTTTGCAGCCTGCGGGCTTTTCGCCGTGGGCGTGACAGGACTCGAACTTCCCTTCAGGAGATGACCGGAAGTTCAGGGCTGGACCTGCATAGAGTTTAAAAGACTTAACACACGCTCTCGGTAGAAGAATTTTTTAAAAATTAGATTCACATTACTTTTGGGGAGTAACCGCCCCTGTTTGGCTCGAGCGGGACCACTAAGCTGCATCAAATGAGGATACCTGGAGAGGCTGGCGCCGGGGGGGCCAGCAGCTCTGGCGTGGTGCTGTGAGCACAGTGGGTGATCTGGTCCACGCCTTCCATCTCTGAGCTGACGAGCACTGGGGAACGGGGCTCTTCCTTGATGACCACGAGGCCGGGAGATGGAGGGGAGACGCACTCTGCGGGGGGATTCGCGCTGGGAGCAGCACAGGGGGGCGAGCGGGGCTCCGTTTCGCTCAAATCCACCTTCTCTTCTTTCAGCTGGATGGCTGGCGTTTCCTCCGCATTTCCTGAAGAAGGATGCAAAGTCCAGTGTTTTAAAGGCCGCCATGAGTTGATTACGTTTGTTAAAGACTGGATTCTATTGCTATAAATACAGCTACAGGGTCAAAAGTCTAAGAAAATCATTTAATTTAAAAAACACAAGGGAAAATTATCTGAACACCCAAGCGAGAGGGCCTATTTTTTACCCTCAGCCTGAAATAGACCCGCCATCCTGAAAGCCGCCATATTGGACCATGGGCCATTTTTTTTCACACTCTGTAGGTGGTCATGTGGGATATCAAAGAAGACCAGAATTGTCTCAGAAATTGATTGCTACAATCATATTTGCAATGTCTACAGTGGTTCTGAAGCTGTACACACAGAAAGTTGAAACACTGGACGTGTTCAGCAACAGGTAAACGTGCTTCAAACACGTCCCCTCACCCACTCGTTGCTGGAGTAGACCCCTTTCTTTGCTGAAATAAAAGGGTGTCCTGTGACTTAAGACACACCCGAGTAATAGAGTATTTACCTTTCATCCCTTGTAGTAACTCAATCCGCTTGTTTCTTAGCGTGCTCATCTCCACTGCCATCTGAACGGTGAAGAAATGAGAAATGTTCAGGTCATTTCGTAGTTAGAGTATTACAGAGTATTACAATGCCGAGTGACGCCATTCGAAAAACACACCTGCTGTTTAACCACCATGAGACGCTGCACCTCCACGTAGGCGGCCTCCAGCGTGGCCCGGGCCTGGATCAGGCTGGTGTCCACACTCTGCAAGGTCTGGCTCAGCTCCTCCTCCCGCAGAGACACAGCGAGCAGCTGGTCGATCTGCAGTCGCTCTGCGGCGAGCAGACGGAAAAATAGTTATACTAAACGTACCAAAGCTTCAGACGCAGCAAAACTATGAAAAGTGTTTTAAAAAAAACTAAACAAATCTTTTTCCCTTTTACCTTTTTTGGATTTGACCTTCCTTCTTTTGCTATCGTGCCCCAAGCAAGATGGCTCTGTGTTGGGAACATCCTGCGATGGAGACAAAAAGAATGGTGGTGTGTTCTGCTTGCTAGCATAGAGCAAAGAAATCAGAGTGTGCCTCACTCACCCCGGCTGCTCTCCGCCTCTTGCCCGTCCCCTGACCGTCCTGCTGCTCCGTCCCCGAGCTGCTGTCCCCGAGCACCGAGTCGGAGCGCTGTAGGGCTCTGACCGTGGAGCACCTCAGCGTCTCTGGCTGCCTCTGCACTCCGGCCTCCGGCTGACCCAGACTATCATCCTGATTTCCTGCGGGCCTCCGCTGCTCTGAGCTGAGGCCTTTGCTCTGCGGCGCCTCCTCCTCCTCCGCGAAGGACGAAAACAGAGCGGGCGCGAGGCTGCTCTCGGACAGCGAGCGCTTTCGGGAGCTGCCCTGGACTGAGACGTCCATCAGCGACTCCCACTGGAAGCCCTCCAGGAGGGCCAGATCTTCCTCCTCCTGGCTGTGGCACTCCTGCTCGCACGGCACCATCTCGATCCCAAACCTGGAGGGCGACGGATCACACGTGAGCCTGGAATCGGGTTTTATAATAATAAAAAAGGAAGTCAACTTTTCTTTTTTTTACCTGGGCATGCCTTTTCCCTTGTCTTTCTTCTTCCTGACCTCCTGATACACCTGCTCCCAGTTGACGTTGCGGCGTGACCCGGAGGAGCTGATGAGCTGCCGCACGGTCGGCTTGAGCCCCGAGTCCTTCTCCGTGTCGCTCCTCCGCGACTCGCTCAGGTTCCGCACCCGCCTGGCGATGTTCAGGTTGGGCTCGTGGCCTCCGGCTTTGGCCTTGGGGCTGATGTGTTTGGTGAGGTCGCGCGTCAGCACGGGGGGCAGGTCCAGCTTGGACCGAGTCGGCGCCAGGTGCGTCCCCGGGAGGGCCTGCGCGTCGCCGCCCTCCGAGCTCAGCCCCGCCTCGGCCGCCTCGTCCGGCGCCACTGCTGCCGCCGCCGCCGCCCTCGCTTTGCTCTCCGCGCCGTCCCCGACTGGAGGCGCGGGCTCTGAGCTCTCCGTCACGGAGGTGCTGACCTGCAGAGACTGCAGGAAGCCGCCGGCGTCTGAGGGAGGCGCTGGGGGCTTTTCCGGCGCCGCCCCGTCGGTCGACGGTTTGGCGGAAGGCTGGCGGCCGCTCCGGTCGTCGTTCGCTCCGACTCGACCCGCCTGCTGCTCCTCTACACTTGGCTGCGTCATCTCTCCCCTGGAGTTGAGCGAGCTATCCAAAGAGCGCCTCTTTTCAGATAGGACCTGCCCGGCGGCCCTGAGCGACTCGGGGGCGTGCCTGTCCCTCCTCGGCTGAGGCAGCCCGCCGGGTTTCGAATGCGGCGCAGGCTGACCGGAGGCCTTGCTGAGCTCAGCCCCGGGGGCCGCCGGGCTCTTTCGATCGAGCTGCGACTGCGGTTTCCCTGCTTTCTGACCAGAGGGGCCGTACGTCGAGGCCTGGGGCTCGTCTCTTTGGGGGCCGCTGCCTTTGCTGCTGCTCGTGCTCTTATTTGCTGCTTTGGATTTCGGTTTGGTCGGATACCCTTTGCTCTCTCCCTCACTTTGTCTGGCTGGCGCCGACTGGGCTACTTTCTGCTCCGGCTGGGACTGCTTGTTGAGGGCGCCGAACTCCGGCTTCTGGGCTTTGGAGGCCTTGTGGTACTTCTCTGACGTGGCCGCGTGGGCGTCACCGTGGGGGCCGGATGTGACCGGATAGGGTGACCAGCGGCAGCCTTTGTCCAGCTTTGGATTGCTGCCGTACGCCTTGGAGTTCTTGCTGCCGTTGTGGTCCGACTCCGACGGCGCCTCTTCGCGCTGGGGCCCTGCACCCGGCTGACCCCCCCTGTTGTGGGCCGCGCCCGGAAGCTGGCTCGCGGGCTGGGCGAAGAAGCTGGGTGGGGTCGGAAACCCCACGAAGCTCTGGGGCCGCGCCCTGGGCGCGTGGCTGGAGATGTTGTTCTGCCCGTAGAGCCCGTTGCTGCTGCCTCCGTTGCTGAGCCAGGGCAGCCGGTTTGGTTGACTGCCCGAGTACGAGCCGCGGTCCCACGTCCTGCCGCCCTCCTCGCAGGGCCTCCGTAATTTTTCGTTGTAAAAGTCGCCGGACGCCCACCTCTGTAGGTTTGGAGGCTCCTGCGCGTGCCAGGTGGCGCTCTTCCCCTGTTTGTTGTGGTGCCAGGGATTTGGCTCCCCGCGGCCGTCGCTGTAGCGGTTGCCCCGGTACCAGGGGGTGTGGTGGCCGGGTCCACTGAAGCCCGCGGACGGCGGCTGCCACACGCGCTCCAGGCGGTAGCGCTCCTTGACTTCCTGAAGTCGCTGCTGAAACTCCTCCTTTTTCCTTCGTTCCTCTTCATCTTTTGCGAGCTTTGCCGCTGCGGCCTCCTTCTCTTTCCTACAGAAAACGATACCGCACAGTGCCTGCGTGTTACTCTCATATTCTCCTCTCATCAGCCAAGGTGTTCAGTTTGACTATAGTCGGGATCACACAAAAGAGAGGAGCCTCTTTTTTTTGTAAAATCATCCCAACCCAGCACACTAGTTATTGAACTCAAAGCCTGTTTTTACACAAGAAAAGCGGTAACTTTTCATTGCAGGGTGCTATAGATCAGATGATTTTCTAAGGTACATTTTAAAAATGCAACACGATCCCTGGAAATGACGATATTTCAAGTTATGGCTGCTTTTTTAATGAAAGGATTTGCTTTTTTCGTGAGTTAAATCCCAATTTTACTCTAAACAGAAAGATTTTTTCAAATCCTTTACCACATAATGTAAAAGGTCACACAGAAAGAGCCTGATACTGAAAGGCTAAAAGGGAAGAGAGTTGCCCATCACAATGGACACCAGGACATGCTTACCATTAACGTGATTCCACTCTATTTCTTATTTGTAAGATGAACAATAGCTTAATAAAACAACATACTTTAGGCTCATACTAAATGTTGATGAACAATTATATTGTGGGATGTGTTTAAAGCACATAAGTAGCCCAAAATCCTGAGGAAAGTTCCCGCTCACCAGCACCCGGTAGGTAGTGAAGAGCTATTTGTTCACTGTGCCACCTAAACTAGGAGCTACGAGGGGAAAATGTTAAATGTGTGACACGCTCAGAATTTTTGCGTTCAGTGACCTCTACACGTGTCAAATTTTGAGCTCCAGAATGGCATTTTTAAAAACCATGTCCATAACATCCTTTGGTCTATAAACAAACAATTTAAAAAAAAAATCAAAAACTTTACTCATTTAAAGAGGCTCCAAAAAGATCTCTAGTGCGCTCTAGCAGAAGGCAGTCATTTTAAGCCTGTACGTGTTCCATGTACAGTCATGCTTTTTTTTTTTTAGCCTGCAGAGGTGATATACGACTCCGCTCGCAGCTCCGTGTGAAGCTAAAAGAGGCCCGTGAGCTCCTCTGAGAAAACTGTGACTATACATGGCATGTGTACACACAAACTAGGATTTAAAAGCCACCACTTCTATTTACATTTGTGGTTGGGTCAGTAAACTTTTCCAAGCCTGCTTAACAGTTTCAAAAAAATTGTTTTCATGCTTAATTAAATATCTATTTGGTTAAAAGACGCTTATACTATATCTGTTACAGTGGCTGTAACCCTGACATCGCTGCTGTCAATCACTCCAGCAGATAAGACGAAAATGTCTTACCGGATCTGTTCTTTTCTCTTTTCGATGAGCTCCACCAAAGCCTGGTCGAAGTAATCCTCGTCCCGGTCGCTCCTCCCTTGCTTCTTGTCCGCGGCCTCCGCGTTCTGTTTGTGCGTGGGGCTGGAGATGTGGCTGGCGTAGTCGGTCAGGCTCACCACCTTCACCTTGCACACTCTGCACTCGTGTCCGCAGTCCCTGGGACGGGAAGGGGAGAGCGGGCGCTCAATCGTTCCTTCGGGCATGTTTCTAGTCTGGTTTAGGTTTTCCTTCCTGTAGAGCCTGGCTCCACTTTCTGCTATGTTTTTTTTTTTAAGTCAAAGTAAGTTCAGGAGAGGAGAATACTCAACAATCCTTGTAAGGAAAAAAGATTCGACTTGTACCAAATTCTCTATCACAGATCAGGAGGTGGCTAACTTAGAATTTTCTCTTGAATTAAAAAAAAAAGGAAGTTAAATTCTCATTTTTTTTTATCATCCTGATCTAGTTTTTTTTTTTTTTATTTCAGCAGGCCATCGGTGGCAGGGATGAGGGCGGGAGTAGCAGCCCGGCTGGCCCCAAGCAGCACGCTAGCGGAGCTGTTGAAGTCCAGCCTCGCAGCACAGAGCGGGGACGCGTCGGAGGGGAAGAGAAGCCCAGCGCCCTCTGCTCAGCGCGCCGTCATGATGGTGTCCGCTGCACTCTGACACTAGACGGGAGGCCCCGTCGGCATATGACCCCCTCGCTATGCTCCGGTCGCCGGAAGCCGGCCCCCACACTCATGACGCCATCTGTTATCAGAGCGGGCCCGGGGACCCTGGCGACCAATCCCGTGCAAAGCCGGTGAAACCAGAGCTGTGCGCAGCTGCTCGCAGACACCCCTTCCAAACCTCTCCCAAGTAAGCCGTCCTGGGATTCTGGTGAGGGGGTTGCAGTGACTTTGCTGGCTCCTTCTCAATTTCTTTTTCGAATCTGTGCCGTGGTGTGGTGCCATTCTCTGACCTCTCGTGCAGCTGGCAAGCCCCGGCCTCACAAGACTCTGCTAACGGGGGAAGCTGAGGTCTGGACAGACTGATTTATGGTCACGCTCCCAAGTGAAGCTGCGTCCCCATGAACTGTACTGGTTATATGGAAATGACTAGAAATATTCCTGAGAACACAGCTTAAAAAGGACACCATCTTGTGTATTAAATTCCAATAACTTGGCGACGTCTGGAGCTTGGACCGCTTTGACCACTTCAGATTCTAATGTGTCAGTGTCAAGAAGCATACGTTTAGCAAGCATTGTGTGGGGGGGTCACAAGCTTCTTCTAACGCTCTTTTCACGGTCATGCCTGTTGTTCCGGAGAGATAGTGTCTAAATATATGTCCCGGAGTCCAGACAGCTGCCCATATATCGACAGCTGACACGTGCCTGAGAGCACGAGTGCCGTGACCCAAATAGGTTTAGACAAAAGCTCTTGGAAGAAAGTCGAACCGTTATGCATCAACCTTCACCTCCCCATTAAGAAGTTTTTTATCTTTTTAAATCACTAGAGATAGGTTTTTTAGTGTGGAAATGAGAGTGGAGTTTGTGTTCACAAGCCGTTTCACAGCAAAACTCACCGGCCTTTGAGTTTCTCCAGCTCGCGGTGGTGGAGCATACTCCTCATGTGCTCCTCCATTTCCTGCAGAACGATAATAAAAATAACGCGCTTCACTTTAGAATTGACTCCACTCGGTTTCGTGTTGAGTTTAGGGACAGACAACAGTTAATTGATCCAAAAAGACTGACTACTAAGGCCGGAAAATAATGCAGGCTGAAGATTATGGAGCGTGCGGTTCTACATGTATCAAATTAAATGATAATAGTTACACATTCATTAATAAGCTACTGTATACAGTAGTTAAACCTGAAGAAAATGAATGAATTCATACAGCGGTGACACATTCACAGGGTTAGTTACCTGTTTGGAAACATGGACAGTTTCACAAAGGATGCACTTTCTGCTTTTCATCATTCCGAATGCAATTGGCCCTCGGCCGATCACTGTGCAAAGAGAGAGTTTATTTTAATCAACAGAGTCCTTCATGACACAAAAAGTGCAAAGCGACAACATATCTGGGATAACAAACTGTGTGGTTTTTACTGGGCCGACGTGGCACATGACTGCAAAAAGGTTTGACAAATACCGCATGCAAGAAGCTCTCGGTAGCAGGCCCGATTCAGGGGAGGGGGCTTGTTGCTTCTTTCCCCCCCTCAACCACGCACATAACTTCTCTGCCAAATGTCTCAGCACCACAGCCTACATAGTAGCAGAGTTCAACCTAGACACTGGTCTAATTCCAGACTGCTGACACAGCAGGGGGGGGGGGGCGTGTCTGGACTTGTTATACGCCCGCAAATGGGGTGACAACCAAAGCCAACCGAGTACAGTACATACAGCCGACCATGGAAAGACCTTTGTTCCGTCACGATGTACGCAGGAAGCAGGTGGCTTTATGTGGTCCTGTCTGGACCAAACACTGAAAAAATGAGTTCAATTTGCTCCAATCCCTATCATTCAAACACACAACAGAGTATTAAACGCTAACGTGCGCATTTAGCCAGTTAAGAGAAGGTAGAATAAATTCAGAGGGGGAAGGACTTGAAAGAATTTCCTCTCATTGTACTTGCTTCAGGTGCTGGAATTAGAACCTAAAAATGATGTGGTATAAAATGTAATAATAAACAGCTGTCTAATATATCCAGCCCTTTCTCTTACATGATACTTTACATGGAAAAAAGAACACAGGAAAGGACAGTTGATCAACTTAGAGCTGAGCAAATGTTGCCATTCTGGCTGCTTGTCATATTCATCAACTTATAGCAAACACTTCCATGATAATATGTGGACAGTGTCGTAATGTTTTACACAAAAACTGAGCAGAAAGTGTAAGAATCACAGGACACCATTATTGATCCATGGGATAAGGAGGCTAAGCAGCAGCCATGAGCTGCTGATCAAATAAACTTCTTTAACTGATCGGTTAGTGTGAGCATCTCCATTAAAGCAGCAGTTTGACCTTTGAGAAGCAACCGTTGCCACCCATCAAATTCTAAAAGGTTCAATAAGACATATGAACAAACTCGATGCAACTTAAGCTGCAGGTTTGCAAAGTAATATTGAAAAAAAAACACAGATATTTCAGACAATATTTTCTCCCCAGACGACAGCATAGTTAATTCAGCACTAAGACTTAATACCAACTGCCATGCACGGGGGTGGAGGCATGATGCATGAGGATTTTTTCTCCCCCCCACAGGACCCGATCACCTTGAAGTCACCGAGTGCAACACGAACTCCTCTGCGAGTATTTCAGAACCAAACGTGAGGGCCAACAGTCTGACGGCGGGAGCCTAGCCGAAAGTGGGTCATCAACGGGACAGCATCCCCAAACACAGCCGCCAATCTACAAGCCGATGTCTGAAAATAGAAAAACAATCAAGATGCTGCTGCGGTCCAGAGTCCAGACCATAAGAGTCCAGGCTTAAAAAGCTGTGGTGTTATCGGCAGAAAGCGGTGCAGAAACAGATGCTCACTAATCTCTATGAGATGAAGCAATCCCCGCATAAAAAAAAACAACATTTGGCTCAAAATGCCTCTCAGAATGATGTGTGCCCGGCTGATAACATAATTTGGAAAGCGTTAGAAGTTAAGGGTGAAAAAAAGTGGTTCTACAAACAGATGAATTTATGAGTGTGACTTGTGTTCCTGCGTTCTGGCTTGATTTTCTTAGAAATAAATAATGTTTGTGTATTATAATCTGTTGTTGTAAGGACCAGATATTTGTTTTGTTTTCATCTCAACAGTTTTTGGGATGTTCTGTCTTTTTTTTTAAAAAAAGGGTGGACCCCCCACTTACAGGCAAATAAACATACTAGTGTCCAGCTGCTCCACAGTATTTTGGTTTTAAGCTAAAGCAGCCACGTTAAATACACATTTGGGTACACTGCAAATCACACTGGACTCCTCTGTTAGACCTCTGTGCAGTTAGGAAGATTCTCAAAATGCCTCCGTGACCTTTCCCCCCTCACGCCCGAATCACCAGACAGTCTCTCTGCTCATATTGGTGATGAAACACGGTCCCTGTCAGACACAGACTCTGCTAAACGCAGCAGGCACACAACAAACAACAAACACGCCGCCAAAGAATGTGACTTTATCTCGTACGCGTTGTGAAATGCTAGCAAGGAGACAATGGCGAGCTTGCGTCGATTGGGATAGATTTGGACACTGTTGAATCGAAACGGAGCATCCTGCGTTGTGCAGAAAGAGCGACTGTCTCAAAACCTATAGATAAAAAAATAAAGAACATGAGGGAAAACCATGGCAGATAAAGAATGATGCTTGCTTGCTTGCTAACTGCTATCTACCTGGTGGTGCTGTTCGACTCGCATAAATACTTCACCACCTAATGATTTTTAGCACTCGGGGGGCACGTAAAGACTTAAACTAACTTATATCATGCATATGCAATACTTGTCACAGAGACAAATGAGTGAGTGTGGATATTTAGCCGGAACATAGACTCTTGCTTGTTGTTAGCACAGCTGTAGGGTAGCTGCTAAACTAGCTGTGAAGTGTTTACACATAATTTATAATGCCAAAAATGAGTTTTACCAGTACGGCATCCGACATCACAAAACGTTTATAAAACGTAGTGACTTTACTATGTTTATCATCGAGTTCAGATGTTCGGTTAAGCCATCTAAGAGCTGAAGTTAGAAACCTAGCAAGTTAGCAAAAGCATACATTAAGCGACATGAAACTGACACACGTAATGTGCTTGGTTTACTGATTTTACAAACATGACGAGTGTTCGGCTACAATGAATGTCTGTTTTTAAAAAACATTGAAAGTACTAAGACATGGCTTTGGGCTACCTTAACAACATCCAACTGTGTGCAGAACAGTGTTCCCTCATCCACTGTTGAAGCTAACAATAACATCCGGCTCATGAACGTCCCCCCGCGAACGTACAGCGCAGGATGCGTTGCGTTCATGGGCACAATCACTGCACGGAATCAGGAAACAAATGACATGGCGCACTATTAGAAAAATCTCGATTTTTATTTCGCTGGGAAAACAGACAGTTCACTAGAAAAACGTCGGTATCTAAAAGGATAAAAAGTCATCTCGATTCTGGACTAAGTCCATGAAATAACGTTTCGGGCACAGGAGCATCTTTAATTTCCAAATCCCAAAAAGCTTTACATGCAAGAGTGACACAGCAAATTACAACTTTAAGTTAAATTACACAGCAACATTGTCTTAGAATCAGATGAAAACAGCAGCCCTGACACCACAACATTGACCTGGCGCAATAAAAAACAAACAGCAGATTGAAATAATCTCTTTTTAGAACCAAGATGATTCCTTTTTCTATTGTAAAAAGTAAAAAAGGTAACACACAACACTTCCTTTAAAATAGTTGTATCGACACAAAGACCAGCAAAAGTTTTAATAAAGTTCACAATTTCTGAGTTTGACACCTGAGATTTCTGTAGAAAATAACCTTATAGTGTCTTAGATTACGGAAACATTTTTCTGTGCACGCAAGAAGTTTCCCTTTCTTTAAAAATATCAACGCAACATATTTTTTCTTTAAAAGCACTATACACTTACAGTCCCAATTAATTTATCAGTACTAGAAATAAGTATCTTTAAGTTTTCTGTGCTAAAAACTTGTGGTTTCACAATTTATTGGGGTGAGAACAACTTTTTCCTCTACAGAAGAATGACGATCTATGTGTACATAATGCCTATGTGTCCCTTCTGTAGATGAGGCCTTATCCAGGTTTCTATCACAGTTTTTAATGAAGTTTTAGATGCTTACAAAAAGGTGAAGGGATATAAAGAAAAGTTTCAACTCAGTGTGAAAAAAAAAAAAAAGCGAAATGCAAGTAGTTTTTGGCTTTTTTGGGGAAATGACTCATGCACATTAGCTGGAATGGAAGCAGATTTGTACAATACATCTGACTTGGCAAAGATTAAAATAACGTGACTCAGTAGCTATTTTTGGAGCAAGTCGGTAAAGAAATAACATAAAAAATATCACTATTAAAGTATAGTTAAAATTTGAAGATCTCTATTTTTCACTTTTGAGTGTCCACCATAGTGTCAGTTTGTTTCAGGTTTAGAAAACAATTACTTGTCCTGAATCACAGCCAATAGAGACATATCACCAGTCTGAACTATATATTCACAATATAATCAATTGCTTTAAAGACACATGAGACATGCTCCCTTAAAAAAAAAAGCCTGTGATAGCTGCTTATGGGGAAAGAGGTATTTGCTTTGCGACAGGTAATTGAGCAATTTATCAGCTCACTGTCAGTTCAAATGTGAGGGCAGGTGAAACACCATCAATAAGAATGTACTTACTATTAATCATTGAAACCAGTGCTAACTAAAAAGTCAATTTAGTGACATCGAAATACACATGTGGGCAAAAAAAACAAGCGATGTTTGGTCCCATGGATCATCAGTATCCCTTTAGAGTTGTGTCACCAACACATTTTGTAGCGTTTCAGTTCATCTGGTTTAGTTCCCTTTCTTTATGCTTCAGATGTCTCTTCCGCATCTTTATGATCCATTTTACGGTAAAGTGGGCAAAGTTCGCAGCTTTGAAGAGAGCCATGAAGACCCCACAGAGGATGGCTATGGAGCTCCAGGGATTCGCAGTAACTATCTGTTTAAAAGTAACCGTGGTTTTGTTAATCACCGATGAACTAAAATGCATATTCATTCTAATGAAAATGATGGGGTTAGGGTACTGACCAGCCTGATCTCCTGCTTGTAAGGATCCCGCCACTCAAAGACGGCAAAGAAGAGCTGATTGGTTTGCTCTTGTTCGGGCCTCTTGTCGTTGAATTTCACCACAGCCGACTAATGAGAGGGAACACAAACGATAACAGTGCAGACTTTAATACCGGACGACGTCGCACCGGTTGCGTGGAGAGTTGGCAAAAGTACCTCTTGCCGAAATTCAGCGGCCTCCTCGCTTTTCCCATAGGTCTTCACGAAAGACATTTTGACCCAGGTTCGGAATCCGCCGGAAAAGGTCCACATGGAGTAATTTCTCTCGCAGTCCCTCATAAACTCTGACTTGTTTGCACTGTAGGGTAAGAGGGGACAGGTCAAACACGGCGCTGGTAGACAGCAGCAGGCAGCTTTTCAATCGCTCTTTGTCTCATAATACGCAAAATGGAGGATGGTTAAGATAAAGTATCAGCTGCATAATGGTTTGTTTAAGGAGCTTTTAAAATCAGTTAACTGACATTAAGACTTTCTTCTGGTGTCAAGCTTTGATTGTATCATCTGTCTTCCCGACATGAATGCAAATAAATCACTTTCGTGTGTGTGTGTGTGTGTGTGTGTGTGTGTTATTAATTTCCCCTGAAATTATCATATTAACTGAGAGCCCGACAAGAATACACCAGAAACAGTATCAGCCGATACTTTTGAGCGGATGTTTGAGCTCACCTTTCGATCAAGTCGCTAAAGCGAGCAAACAGCATGTAAGTGATGGCGCTGAAGTCCTCCTGCGTTTCATTCTGACTGAACTGCATGAAGATGAGCTCCTTGTTCCTCACGTCGGAGGGGCCGCGAACCACCAGGGCCCGTTTCTGCCACACACAGAAGCACAGAGCAGCTGCAGGGGCCCGTCACAGAGAAGACGGCGGGCCGAGACCTGTGGATCGTACCGCTGTCTGATTGGCGAACGGCCCCATGTAGGTCACTTCAGTGGTTTCGCAGTCCCCTTCTTGAGGCTTGCCTGGGTCCACCAAAGGTGGAATGTAGTCATGGTAGTGGTGCTTGCAGCTCAGCAGCTGGGCGTTGGTGGGGTACAGGGCAATACCTGCTCTCAAAGACAGAAACCACACAGTCACTCCCAGCGCTGATTAAAGGGTTCCATGACGCATTTCGATCCTGCAGGTTCCTGTAACAGGTCTAGGCTGAGATTTCGACACTGCATTTTTGCAGCGTGGTACTGTCTCGGAAGCTAACGCTGACAAAGCAAAATGGAGCTTAATTTCTGCCGCATCAGATCAGAGTTGCAGGAGTTTCAAAGTAGGTCCAATTCCACTAACTCACTCGGATGTGACGATTTTTTTAAACCTCTAATTTACAGTTTGAACCACTTATGAATGATTAACATGTTGCACGATGCCAACCATTACTCTTTATCCACAGAGCCAAAGGATGTTAACCAATGCTCAAATTTGTAACTCTGTCAAGAGGCAATAAAAGGTTTAGCTGATGAAAAAAAAATATATATATATTATTATAGCAATGCAGATCTGCGATACAACCTCACACTTTGTATACCTAAATAAGGTATCATATCTTAAGCATGATACTTCTTTTTTGCTGTATTTATCCCTGACCTTAATGAAATGGGTGATTTTCACCTAATTATCTCAATCAAACATAACAGTGTTTATAGAGAACTGGCCTGGTGCTTCTGTTAATCTGTAAATTTGGTACAACGAATCAAATACCATTGATTTTTCTTCTTAGTGTCTTATCTGTACTAATTAGGCCACTAATCATTAAGGGCCTATAAACAAGCAGTGCTCAAAAGCAGACCAGATGTGCTAAAGGTTAATCTCACAAAGTGCCGTTTCCCCTTTGAACTCCCATCAACTCGGGTTTTGAATCGAGGCCTTTTCCTGACTGAAAAGTCAACAATGGCTTCTCGCCGCATTCCTCTGAAATTCAAACTAAGTGTAACTGTGAGAAGAAGAAAAAAACAAACAGCTGAGATTAAAATGCTACTGTTCTTTGATAAAGGAGAGGCATCAGAGAAGGGCTTTTGTGGGCCGCCTCAACAGTTGATTATCCAAATCACCGAGCACTCCCTGTTTGGAGCCAACACACATCCTGGCTGATCGGATCACGGCCTGACGGCAAAATGACAAACCTAACTTGTTTATCAGGCAAATTAATATAATGTAAAGGCGCAAATACTTTGGAGCAAGCGCTGGCTGTGGCAATGTAGTGATTTTATACGTTTATTTGACCGTCTAACATTTAATGGACGACTCTGAATTGGCCGTAAGGACGACAGGGAGCGTGTAGTTGTTGTGTGTGATCTGCACCTACCAGGGGGAGAAAACGAGTCCACCTCTTTGTAGGTGACGGACATGACGGGCTGGCTCATTTTCTCCAAAAAGTCAGAGATGGTCTGGTAGGCCAGGAAGACGGCCACGGCAGTCAGCAGCAGGTAGATGAAGATGAGCACCACCGTGAACACGTTCTTCACACAGATCTTGCTGAACCTCATGGGCGGGCTGCTCCCCCGGGCGTCATCCTCTTATGAGGGGGGCAAAAAAACTAAACATTTTCAGAGTAATGCAGGCAGATGAGCAGACCCCATTTCAGTGGTAGCGGTGCACAAGTGCTTCACCAGAAGTACCTCTACATATGAATTTAATTAGTTTCGGGACCTACTACCTCCCATTAGAATACACTGTAATTTGTATAATTCGTCCCACAGCTCCAAAAGCTACAATAACTCCTAAATAAATACTACAGATAATTAAACATAGCAATAAAACAAATGCATTATATAAAATATAGGTAAAAAGAAATAAATTATAAAGAAATAATCAATACAAAGGGGGTTATATTGACACTTTACCTTAGGGACTAGCGAACGGAGGTAGAGGTGGAGAATGAGATACAGGATGTACCATTCCTTAATCTAACTTTCACTACAAGAACTTTAAACTAACTTAACTTATCTATTTGTATTTCATTTTTATATTTTATATATATTTTTCTATGACTTCGACGTCATAAAGTATGTTGGAAACTTTGGGTGTCAAGAAATACGATTTCTCTTCGTATTTTTGATTATTCTTATGTTTAAGGCAATCGTAAATAGAGGTTCTACTGTGCTAACATCCAGTGCCCTTACCCTGTGTAACGATGCCGTCGGGCTCCTCGGTCCCCAGGTCCTCATCCTCATTGATGTCGTCAAAGGAGTCTTGTGTGTTGCCTTCGTCATAGTCCTCGTCATCATTGAACTGTGTGATTGAGAAGAGGGTCTTAACCAAGTTTAGCCCATGATTAGTGTGTGTAATAGGAGACAGGGAGAGTTAAGATTTATTATTCCCAAAGACTTTGGGCCTATGTATAACACTAAAAAACACTTAAATATGGAGGCTCTTGTCTACCAAATATCCAAACACCCAGTTCAATTACACTTGATTATCATCAGGCAGATGTTAATTTTCCTTTAAGTTACTCTTAAATGGGGTTTTTTTTGTTCCACATATTTACTCCCATTCAGGTGGAAAGTTTGTTGAGGTGGCAAAGCATGAACTTTCAAATACAAGCTGAAATTAAATTAAAATGAAAACAACATCCGTATCATACTGTATGAAGAAAAGCAAGAAGCAAGAAGTGGAAACTCAGCAGTCTGAAGTGTAACAAAAGTAGTAAACAGAGAGAATCAACAGTGGACGTAAGGTCACCAATTTCCAAACAGCTGTTACAAACCGGCCGGTCACATGACGAGAGGCCGCTTCACGGTTTCCCTCTCGGTTAGAGTTCGGCACGCTTGGCCGTTGTCCGGTTTGTTGATACAAACGAGACACAGATAGAAAAGAAGACAACAGACAAAAACACTTCGATAAAACCCTACCTCTTGGTACGACCGGGAGTTTTCTCCTCGGGGCATTCCTCGGCACTTCTTTTTTTCCCCCTGACTAAAACTCTCCCTGTTGCTTAAACTATGCAGGCGGACTCAGAAAAGCGATTTTAAATGTAACGCGCATTTTATTTAAGGAAACGTCACCCCCCCACACCCCTGACCCTTCGGTCCCACGTTTCCGCTCTCACCCAGTCTGTCACCCCTGGAGGAATGGCCACGAAGATAAAGGCCCATCCCGTGATAACGAGGTGCCCACAATTCTGCCTTTGCGTCGCTTTCTTGTTTCCTCTTTCCTTCCCCTTTGCCTCTGGCCTAGTGTTGCGTTCAGGTGCTCGTTGGATGCTTTACAAATGTCAGACGTATCGACATTAACGTGGTTCAAAGGTCAACATTTATGCACGTATTGGCATTCTCCTGTTACAGATACCAAAAAAGCATGTTCTTCTTTTCTTTTCTTGTTCAGCGAGAGACCAAAGTACTTCTTCCATCTCCTAAATGCAATAAAAAAATTGAGGATAAGGCATTTTGGTCATCTGATTTAAACTGAACCCATTATAGACATTTGAATTGTTTTATAGCTCTATATTTAAAAAAAGTGATCTGCAAAACTGTTTCATGAATTGTTTTTTTATACTGTTGGTCAAACTATAGCATTAGTTTTGTGGAGATAAAAAGGAGAGACAGGAAATTCTGAAGTGGAAAAGAAAAATATTGAAAGTGAAAAATATTATAGAGACATTTAAAAACAATTTTAGAAGTAAGATAAAGGAAACCGCAAATTAAATCACAACAAACAGATTCAAAACAACCACAAGGAGGAGCAAATGAACCACAAAGGAGACAGAGACTGTTGCTGTGAATTGATGCTCAGCCTATTCCTTAAAATATTTGTGAAAATATCATTTAGAAACAAATCACACACCTACAGTGAGGTGCAAATTGCTAGGAAGAGACCCGAAAAAAACAACATCTAGATTCAGTTAAACTCCACCAAAAGCAGAGGAGAAAGTGTGGAAAGCTGAAAAACAGTTGTGTTACTCTTTGTTGGAGACTTTTTATAAACCTGTGGCCAAGGTCATATAATTGACTGATCTACTCTGCATAAACTGATGGACTTTGTTATTTTTGGACAGAGATCCACGAGCCACGTGTTACCACATTCTGCAAGTGAACAGTCTACACACAGCTACACACAGCCAAGGCTATTTCTGAGAAAGTTCCATCCTTTAGCAGCAGAGCGTCTTGGCAACTTCTCCACCTGAAGTTTGACACCAGGCCAATTTAGAATCATGTGGTCCTTCGGGAGGAAGGAAGGCAAAAAATGATGACACTCAGAAATGAACCCACGCAAGCAGTGGGAGAACCTGCAGACTGTGGTCAGCCTGCTGTTCAGGCATCAGACGGCCCCTGCCACACATGAACACACTTCCTGTTCTGTCGGTTTAGCCCTTTAAGTTTGAATTTGGCTGAAAAAAGTTATGCTTTTTTTAAACTATCCGTCTCATCAAAGACAAGGGGAGTTGCACCTCCTAAGACATCTCTAAAAAAATGGATTTGAGTTAGTATGTGTTGTGTTGTGTTTTTTTTTCACAACAGTAAGGAGACATTTTATGATAAATGAATAATAGATTAGATGAAGTTGAACTTTAAAATCTAATGTGTTCATCAGTTCTATCTTTAACATCTGGTGTAATGCTGTGAAACACAGGCTGCAAACTCTTGAACCTGTTGACCTGAACTGTTGACCTCGGGAGTAGTTTTACAGGCTTCTTGAGGAACATCCAGAAGCTCCTTTTTGGATGCTGGCTGCTTTTTATTCAATTCTCTGTTAATGATCCCATACGGCCTCAGCAATTGTAAGTTCTGCAGAGGATTCATGCCGATATAGGACTCGCTGGCACTGATTTTCAGTCCTTTGTTCAGTTCTTGTATCAAAGTGTTTTATCCATGCTTCCCTCCCAAATAATGTCTTTCACCTGCTTTTCTATTTTTTTTTGTCTTTTTCTGTATTTACTTTATTTCTAGAGCTGGCGTTTCTTCTTTTTCCTAAATTTGTGCAGAATTATTACTTTTTGATTTATAGGCATGCTTTACACAATGCTTGGAAATAACAGATTTTCCAAATAATACCTCTTTGGTAACTACCGTATTCATCCGAATTTATTTTATGCATTCCAAATTTACGTTATGGAGAGTTTTCTAGATGTGACTGGAGAAATTTCACCAAATTATCAGTTTAAAATTATTTCACAAACTGCAAAGAACCTTTGATAAATTGTTACAATGATGTATTGGCACATTCCTTGAGATGAATGCCTTTTCTTTTAATCTTGTATGATTCATTGGTCAATGTTTAGAGGATTGCAAAATGTGATAACTCATCTGAGCTTAGTTATAAAGCAGCCCTTGTCCAAACAAAAAGTTTTTTGCACAAGACCACTTTAAATAATTACACGCAAGAGTGGCTCATCCACAGCAAAAATGTAGATAAATAACGAGCAACTCAAGACTTATTCACAATTCTGTAGATAAAAACAAAAAAACAAGCAGCCTGATACCATTGGCAGCCCTTGTACGTTTTAATGAACATTGGCAGCGATCTTTACAATTTCCGAGGGTTTGCAAATGTAGCACCGTAAGCGCTCGGGGAAGTGAATGAAAGAGTTTCCGCAACAAACTAGTCCAAACAACGCTCCTGCCATGGCAACAGCTCGGACGTGTGTCCTGTTTACTGTCCTCTGGGCGACTTTAGCTGAAGACGTTCAATTAAAGTTCAAGCCGGCAGCCAAACCCGTGCGTCTGTTCACCGAAGAGGAGCTGAAGCGGTATGACGGCACCGAGGTAAACTGTCATTCTGATGCTTCGTTCACGAGCATCCGTGAGCGTGTGCTGAGATAACGACTCATAGATAATCCCCGTTGTTGTACCTCCCTGTTTTAGGAGAGTCTGCCTATTTACATGGCAGTAAAAGGGGTGGTGTTCGATGTCACCGAGGGAAAAGGTACATTCCCAACCCAACCGTTCATCAAGTTTATTTTTATTGTTTAACATTTATTTGCATTGTTTTTGCGATATAGTCTGACTTCAACTTTTTTGCAGAGTTTTATGGAAAAGGCGCCTCGTATAACGCCCTAGTTGGGAAAGACTCCACCCGGGCTGTGGCCAAGATGTCTCTCCACCCGACGGACCTGACATCAGATACGGTGAGTTAATGTATAAATCCGCAATCTGAAACCCGGTCCCGAAACCACGCCACGCCACCTACTCAGTTGTCTGGAAAGAGGTGTACTGATTTGCTCATGTGGGTGGAGAGCAGTGTTATCTGACACTATGTGGAGCTGCAAAAAAGTGCTGAAGCTGGAAGATTTCTCGTGAATGCACCATTCTTGAAGGTTATCAGACACCAACACACGCATACTATATATACAAACACAAACACACATACACATATATATGTATCATTGAGGGCAAGTCATAGTCGTAAAACAGCAAGTCATTTCCTGGGACACACCTGTGAAAAGGAGAGTTCCATTTAATTTGACGTATTCAGTATCAGGAGAGTCAGACGTCCTTGCTCAAACAGAACACACCAAGAGGTCTGAGTCCTCCCTGCTGTTGCCATGGTGGCTCCAAATAAATCCTGTCAGAGGATGTTCCAAAAACCTGGATTTTATTATAGCTCGCAAAACCAGCATCTGACAAAAACTGGGGCGAAAAAGTTACTTTTTCATTCCCAGTACTTCCAACAGTGACAACTTTTACCCCTGTGTGTGTGAACAAGTGCTTAGCTTAGAAGAATAGGCCTGAATGAGCACAACTGATCAGTCTGTCCAACACATAGCCCTGTTCACCTGATTTTTTTCAGTAAAGGAGAACATGACTGCCCCAAAACTAATTTAAGAGAGGCAAAACCAAAAGATCAGGAGTTAAAGTTTCCGTTTTCTACCTGTCCCTCCACAGGCGGGCCTCACTGAGGACCAGCTGGAGTCTCTGGACAGCGTGTTTGAAGGGACGTACAAAGCCAAGTATCCCATCGTGGGTTACACGGCGTCGCGGATCCTCAACGAGGACGGCAGCCCCAACGAAGACTTCAAACCAGAGGACCAGCCTCATTTTCAGATCAAAGATGAATTTTGATGGCATTCTACCTCTGTTTTTTATTCCTGCAATACAACAAGCGTCATGGTGTCATTGTCAAATGAAAGAGAAAAGAGCAATACCTTTTTTTACTTGAGCCGTTGAATTAAAGAAAAGAAAGTTTTGTCTTTTCAGTGTCTCATATTAAATGCCTAGTGATTTTGAGATTTTGAAGATTCCTTTCAGCCACATGAATAAAAAAGTTGCATAGATGGACTTATGAAGCCCGGAGTTTCCATGTCACACCATGTCAATGTGTCCCCTTGTATGATGTAGCGTTCTGCGTAATAAGCTCAAGCACCCATGAGACATCAGCCAGCAAAAGGCAGTTTTGTCTGGATATTTTTTAGCTATTGGTTTTTAAAAACTTAGAGCAGATGAGAAACAAACTGAAAACGCCCACAAGTGGTGCCGCATCCATTCTGGCAAAAGACACACACAGGAATCGTATTAGTATTGCAACCTCTTACTCTTAACAGTTTTTTTTTTTATTTCTTAAGTACTGTTTTCACATAAGTGTGAGGTGCTAAAATTTTCAACTGCACGTGTTCAAACTTTACGCTGTTAACTCCTGAGAGAATGTCATTTATGTAACCGAAAACTGTTAAAGCTGTGGCTCTGGTGAAGTTTACGAGATCAGAGTAGCTCCACGTTTTTCAGCTTGATTTTTTATTTTTTTTTATCCATAGAAACTTTTTGCCTCATAGTTTTATTGCCGAAAAAAACAAAACAACAACCTTCTGCTGCTGTGATAGAAGCTCTTGCTCCTAGCTCCCACTCACTCATACGGCAAATCTGGGTCTGTAAAGCCTAATTTCCCCACATTTCTTTGCGATTTTAACCAAGTCGACCATTTTACATGACTGCGAGTGACCTGCTGCCAAGTTGGAAAACAGCCATCCGTTTAAGGATCTGTTTTATATCAAGGTGAAGTTAGCCACTAATTTCTACGGCATTAAGATGCCTGAAGAAAACTAAGATGGCGTCTGATTTAAATGAAGAAACTGAAATTGAGAAATTCACCATTCTGATTTTAAAATGATTAGAAAGCGTTCATCCACCTCTGTGGTTAATCAAATCATCGTTGGTTACACGTGAGGCAACTTGGCAAGCGGTGAGCATTTTCTATATCTTAATCTGTGTTTGTGCAACCCTGTGGCAAATGTAAAGGGTTGTCCAAAAGCTAATGAGATAGGGATTGCCGTTTATGAGCAATTCCCTTCACAGCACGCTTCCCAGTGGATTTGAAAAAAAAAAAAAAACTTTTATCATCCTCATTATACAACACTGACACAACAGTGTCGTAATCCTCCATGTTAAAGCCCTTTGCTGAGCTACAGGAAAATAAGAGAAACACAAAGACAAGTTAGCGTTTGGGGCAGAGAGCCAGGAGGCCTTCAATCAGGGACACAGTCACAGGTGTGTCCGGCTAACGACTCTTCAATTCAGCACACCTGTGGCCAGTTACTGAAGTGGGATCTTCTGATGTTCAACCTGTTTGGTAACCTCCAGTTAAAGTCCACTGACAGCTCTATTTGCATTGCGTATATCTTTTCCTGTGTACTGTCTTAAACTATTGTTTTGCTTTATCCTTTTTTTTTTTCCTCTGAGGAACGACCCCAGCGTGGCCTTCCACAGCTCCCTGCCCCCACTCTGCGTCCCGCCATCCCCACTCTGCAGGTCTCCCGTGTTTTGTTTCAGAATCAGAATAAGGTTTATTGCCAAGTAGGTTTTTAAACTTACAAGGAATTTGCCTTGGTGTTTGGTGCACAACACAACACTTCTATGGTTTGGTTTGGTTTTTCTCCCTACATCTGGAAGACTGCCAGAGGTTCCCTCCTTTTTTTTCGTTACAGGGGTTCTGTCCATGTCGAGCCTTAACAGATAGATTGTGATGAGTTCTTATGTGTTTTTCTAAATCAAATTTCTTCCATCTGAGGATGCTTGTTGGTGACTTCCAGTTATCACTGTTCACAGTAGCTGCAATACTAACACTTTTGTGATCTAAATGATAGATAGAATGGTGTTTGCCTTAATGAGCTGATGTTCAAACTAAAATATGCTAAAAATGTGTATAGAGTGCACTTCAGTATGACAAGTTTTCTTTGAGTCATCAATATTTTTGTGATTTCTCTCCTTACAAGTGGGTTTAAAGAAAATAAGCATAAAGTAAACATTTGCTTTGGGCCTCCGGCTTACACTATGTATTTTAATTAACTTGCATGTTCATTTTCGCAAATAAAGATTGGGCCAAGTGGTTTCAACTCAACAGAAAAGATGAATGACAATCATCTACAGCTGAACCTCGTTTATGTTTCGGTTAAGCCATAAATGGTTTACATTACAGATATTAGTATCAACAGGTTTGCTCCTTGTTCCTGCTGCTGGTGTTGTTGCTGTTTAGTTTTTTCTTGCCTGTTTGCAGTTGTGATTTTATTAAATCTTTCCAGCAACTAGTTTTCTTGTGTTGTATGTATTTTGTCTGTATATGAAATCTTTAAAAGAACGTTTATTACTTTGCCCACGCTTTCCTTCAACCTTTCTCCACAAAGTAATCTGTGATTTATTTAGTTCTTGAATTGCTGTGTTTCATTGGTACTTTGCTGTCTTTTTCATGTTTTCTTGTCCCATAGATTGCTTCAATTGTCTTTCACCCAGGTTCCCATAACAACTGACCTATCAGTCAGTCCCAGCTGAATTCATTGTTCTCCCGAAATTTAAGCTCCATGGATATGCTCTACCCTTTTCAGATCATGTACCTGGTCCGTTTCAGTTCTCTGCCTTAAATCGGGTTGTTCCGACCTGATTTAAGACCTTTTAGCCTTTTGAATGCAGCCGATATCTAAAGATTTAGTCAAAAAGTGCCTGTTATTTATGGTAGTAGCTCAGCATCATCTTCCTGAAATATGTGTGAGGCTATTCTTTTAAAAAATGCTGTAAATACCCACATTTTCTTAGTCTTTCCACTCGGCCTCTGCCTCTAGAAAAGACCATGGTGTTTATGGATCACGTTTGTTTGGTATCCTGCTGCCTGTCTGATATTTGAGCTTTAGTTTTTCTGAGAATTGGCGCCAGATTGTTGTTCACCAGCAGTTGGTAGTTTGTGGCCCATTCACATAAAACAATTGTTTGTTGGGTCAAGTTCTGCTTTTGAACATCTCTGTGTGGTTCTGAGTTGTTGTGAGTCCCAGTATAAATGGATCAGGAGTAAAGTAACCTCAAAGAAACCCCTCTGGGAAGAAGCCTCTCTGCACCACCAACTTCTCAACCAGCATTTATCTGCCAAGGGGCCCTCATCAGTCTGAGCTCAGGATCAGAACAGATTTCTGCTCATTTTCAAGATACAAAATTCCAGGACAATGTCTCAGTAGAATCTTGTTCACAGAGCCAATGTCCCATAACAGACCCTTTGGGATCCTGGCTAATGGTTAACTGTAACAGCTGTGTGCTCATTCAGAAACCAATCAGCATCCAAGTGTTACGGTTATGCAGAAATACTTAACCTGAGAGGTTATACTTGCTCTTTTGAAGGCCGAATTGAGCATAAGACCTATTCATGGATAGTAGGTGCATGTTGTATTGGAAAACCTCCTAAATAAATCATTAAATGCAGCACATGATTTTGAAAAAATCCTACAAAGTGCCCCATTACGATCATGAACAAAAGGAAATCATACAAATCTGAAAAATATGTTTCTGTATTCTATATGTGGAGAATATTACTAATCGTTGTCTGTTTAAAGTAAAGTATAATGTTTCAGACAATAATAATTACTTGGTCTAAGCAGACTAATGCTTGTTGGAAATGTATAATGTGTTCCTTTTGGGCCTTACAAAAGGACATCACGCTCTACACCTCACAAGTTGAGATATCAATACGTGCATCTGTGCATGAGCAACCACAATCTGAAAACGCCTGCTGTTTGGCCGATAGCATGAAATGCTGCAGCTGAAAGCTCAGGCTAGGGAGGAGTGGCTGTGGAAGAAGATGGAGACAAAGTTCATGACTGAATAAAAAAAAAAGACAGCTTGGATATGAATGTGAATGGTTCAAAATCTGATTCTGAACAGCTGTGAGAGCTTTATTAGTGGACAGTCATTTTACATGGAATGGATGACAACTTTTCTTGAGATTTCTGTCAGACGTAACGAGAAAACTTTAAAGTCCTGAAGTCCTAATAAATGTTTCTTGCTTAATTGATTCTGTGTGTTTTTATGCTAAAGGTTAAATAATTCCACTTCACAGTTCTGTAAAATTTGTGTTGGACCGCTGATGGTGACCTAAAAAGTAGCTTTTTCCTATGTATATTGTTCATATGATATGTGTTCAGTGTCTTGGTTTGTCTTAAAATCCTACTCAAAGTGGTGTGAAGTGCAACTCTTGAAAAAAAAAAGATCCACTGTGTTTGATTCGGCCTTTCTCAGTCTTTGCATGAAACACTGTCACTGATTCCAAAGCCCAGTAGAATAAGGATGCCAAAGGAGGATCTGCTGCTCTGTTAATGTTTAGTCCCAGCCAGAGTGTGCCTTGCCTCTTGTTCGCTCTTGGCAGCTGGAAAAGATTTCAGAACATCGCTGATCCTGAACAAAAGATCTTTTTCTCGACTTGAAATTTCTTCCATAGAATTATCAACAAAATCTGTAAGTATGCCTCTGTAAGATGTTTTGTTTTAGCGATGCCATGAAAAAGAAGGGAAAAAAGCTTCTGTTGTTAAATTGAGACAACGTCTTTATGGCAGCTCATGATTCCCTTATGTCACCTCCAAACAAGCAACATAAATAGCACATCCGGGCCTATATAAGCTCATATTCCCTGGTCAAAGGTCTGGGCGGCCCGGGCGCTGAGGCAGGTGATTGTCTTTGGGTGGAGCTGTGCGTCTTGCCTCGCTGGCGGCCAAACTGCGGGTAAACCTGTCACTTTTGTGCTATAGTGACCAAGTCGACCCTCCTGCGTCACCGCGGAGCGATCCGCAGCCGAGTTCAAAGGGCACAAGCCCTGCCCTTCAGCCCGCCAGCGAGAGCGCAGCTGCAATCTTTATCAGGTGGAGGTTCGGCCGGGAGTCGGACACTGCAGCCTTGGTCCGCCTGGGAAACACTTTCTTCTGCTGGAGCTCGCCCCAAAGACCACAGCCACCATGCCGAAGACGGTAAGGTTCCCTCTGATTAAAAAAAAAACCTAATCAAACGTGCCACCGAAGTGCTTCTTCCTGGTTAGTGAGGGACCGAGTTGGCTTGTAAATCCCCCGGTGAGGTGTTGGGGATCGTGACGGTTGATAGAACTCAGGATGTGGGCCACTGAGCATTAGGCGGATGGCAGGGTCCACTCATTTCCATCAGGATGGTTTTAATCCCTCATCAAACACCTTTTCCAATTGGCAGCACTCCTTCTTCACATGTACTCATTAACTAAAAGTAGAGTTTGACCCACGCTGTGCACATTCCTGACAGAAAATGCTGCTGAAGTGTTTTTTGGCTGTACACGGAGTGTGTTTGGCTTCTTTGTTCATGTGGATGATGACAATTATCATGGTTATTCCCTTTGGAAAATCTGGAGTGATTTCTAAAAGTAAAAAAAACAGCAACTCATGACTGTGTGGTTTTACAGCTTTGCTCTACATCTCTGCTTCTATGAAATCATCAGAGGCTCTTGGGTTTCCATTTAAAATCACGGAAAATTCTACATTTGCTCTGGTTACGTTACTCAGATATTCCTCATCTGTCTTGATAACTGATAAAAAAGAGTCTGTTCTCCATAACAACGGCAGCTTTGTGCTTGCATCGCAACTCAAAGGAAAAAGACTCCGTCAGAAGCTTATGCTGACGTCTGACTCAGTTTCTCCAGCATAAAACAAATCTATTGCTTTGCTTTTGATGATCTGAAGACTCCTTCGGAGTTTAACAGCGTACTGATTGATTGTAATGGATTACTGCTTCCGTGGTGATGACACCCCCGGTGAATGATTTGAGGAGAGGTCAGGCCGTGGCCGCCAGACGGGAGGAATGCATCGGCGGGAAGGGGAGCAGTGAAGACCTTCTCCTACGCATGTTGCCACAGAAGAACGAATTGATGAAGAAACCCAGTGGTGGTTCAATAAATGGATGTTCCATTTGTTGCCACCCAAAGTGTCAGTGCGTTTATCTTTATGAGCCCAGGGGTGTGCTGTGGCGTAACTTCATAAAACCATTGTGTAACTGCAAAAAGTCCAATTAAGCCTGCAGGAAGGGGTCATGAAGAATGAGACATATCGAGAGGAATTGGCTATTTGAGTTTTTTCTTTTCCTTTTGTCTATGAACACTCAAAGGTGTGCTCCAGTATTAATTGTTCTTGTGCTAAAGCAAGTTGATCTACCCCCTAAAGCTAACCGATCAAAAAAACTGTGTTTTGATAAATTAATCTACTTATGTGCAATCTTGTGGAACCTTGCACGGAATGTCCAAAGTCTGCCGAGATAGTGAGCAATTGTGGTTTATGAATAATCCACTTGACAGCTCCACATTACAGGCCTCCATCACTCAAGTCACTTGATTATTTTGGTCTTCCTACTCTCAGATTTGTTTGGTGAAAAAAGCCAAAAGCCAACTATGATTCAAGTGGAATACTGTAGAGTCACTGGAAAAAAACACATAATGAAAACAATACATAAACACAATCATCTGTATTCAGATGGTTCATGTGCACCCTTTTCATTGTGTGACTACGTGACTTGATGGTTCTTTTTTTTTATGTTGCCTGCAGATCAGTGTTCGTGTGACCTCGATGGATGCAGAGCTGGAGTTTTCCATCAAAACCAACACAACAGGGAGCCAGCTCTTTGAACAGGTCTGTATGTGGGCTGAAAGCTTCATGTTTGGCATTTCAGCTTCAGCTCCAGCTCGAGTTTTCTGACTAAGTATGAGAAAAAATTGAAGCAAGTCAAACTATAACAATATAGCTGTGTCCCCCCCCAAAAAAACCCTCCATTGCAAGAAAAAGTAATTTGTTGAGCTACAGAATTAAATAGTGACCCTACAAATAGAAAAGCTTTTGTTATGCAGACAGACTGCATTTTGATTCAGTTGCCTCTATTTTACCTTTTTGTTGAAGCAAAAAGAAGAAAATTACCCAAACACAGGACTTGCAGGCAGGTAAAAAATTAAAAACTAAAAAACCATTGCGTGACTTAGAAATAAATAGGCTTTTCAGATTTGACGTCCCACCAACAACACAGAAAAAAACAGCCTATCCCTTCATTTAGCTGTTAGGAAACAATGCTTCATAAAATCACAAAGATATATGAAACACAATATAATCAAAACCAGAACATGAGATGGAAACGACCTCAAATCACCCCCCAAGCACTATGATGTTCTCCTTTTTGAGGACCTTCTCACCTATGATGAAGTGGTCTCTGGTCTCTCCCTGCTGCTCCAGATGTTTGAAATCCTAGCCTCCACGTCCTCACTCCTCTCTGTTCTCAGGTTGCCAAGACCATTGGCCTGCGTGAGATGTGGTACTTTGGGCTTCAGTTTGTTGACATCACGGGCTCGATCACATGGCTGAACCCTGATAAGAAAGTAAGTTAAACTGAGTCCCTTCTTCTTCACTAAACAGCATCTTCTATAATATTGCAACGATAAAGGTTCCAGCTGTTTCAATGCAACATGCACCTCTTCTAAGTCTGAGATTACTCTCTTTTGCCCCTTTTTATGCTAAACCTTTTAAATGTTTTTGATAAAATTATTAGTATTAAAGCAAGGCTCTTGAATAAATTGTTTATTAACTTTGTAAAACCAATTCCTTGGTCTGACCTGTATTATGAGCTAACCTGTTGGAGTCAATCCACATCTGTGAACAGAGACACAGTCTCTGTTTAGATGCTGTTACAGTGGACCCAACCATGATTCCACCACATTAATTTGTACGTTCTTTTTTTTAAATGATCATATTCTCCTCTTAAATCATCTGTGTAGGTTTTGTCTCAGGATGTGAAAAGAGAGGTCCCCCTGCAGTTCAAGCTCAGGGTCAAATTTCACCCCGAGGAAGTGGCCGAAGAGCTGATCCAGGACGTCACCAGGAGGCTCTTCTTCCTCCAGGTGAAGGAGGACATTCTGGCAGAGGAAATCTATTGTCCTCCAGAGACCGTCGTGCTGCTGGCATCCTACGCTGTCCAGGCAAAGTTTGGAGAGTACGACAAGTCAGTGCACCAACATGGATACCTGTCCTCCGAGCGGCTGCTCCCCAAGAGGTGAGCTGATCATAAACCAAAGAAAATCTGTAATGGTAATACCTTACCATTACCTGTCAATGTAAGTCCAGACATCTAAAAACAAGATAAAAGGCCAAAATATTAAGATGTAGAATTTAATAAAAAGTACGACAACACATGCAACCTGCGGAAAAGCTGTGATAGTTCTGTTTTTTCATCTCACCATCTTCTCCACTTCTCCAAAAGAACCTCTAAGAATGCTTGTTTTATTCTTTTGAGAATCCAAATATCTGTTCTGAAAATTTAAGTTTAAAAAATCAACATGACTCGACCAACATACTGTAAATGTCACACTTTGGTAAACAGAGAATTCAGTACAATTAAAGGTGGAATTAATATAAAATGATTCAATACTATAAAGGCAGAAAAATCTGCAATGAAGAATCTCCTCCTTGCCAGTGTGAATGCACATTAAAAAGATCAGCAAGTTCACCCTGAGATGGCCCACTTTTTTGTACCATGTGACTGAAAATCAAATCTGGAATCCTTCCAGCCAAATAACCCAATGTATAGTAACTCAAGTTATCAATCCCCTTATAATTACACATCCACAGTGGTTGACTAAATAAAACTGAAAGGAAAGGCACAGCAATGCAGCATGTGTTCGATATTGCTCTGTATGCGTACACAAACTGTTGACATTTTCCATGGTGTGGGTTCCTGACAGCTTGTCTCTCCACTTAGAGTGCTGGAACAACACAAGCTGTCAAAGGAGCAGTGGGAGGAGAGAGTCCAGGTTTGGCACGAGGAGCACAAATTCATGCTGAAGTAAGTGAAGGAGGCCAAAAAAAGAAAAACGTTTCTGCAAATCCACATGTTGGAACTGTTCCTCACAAGGGGGGTCTCAAAGTCGTGAGATGTGAAATCCAAGTTAAGAATGCTTTGTTAAGAGGTGCATAGACTATATTTATTGCTCCAGCTATTGATGGTTGATTTGATTTCGAATTACAGTCCCTTAACAGAGGCACATAACCCTTTATGGCTTCAAGAAAAATGTAAAACAAAGAGTTTTGTTCATTACATAAATACAATTTTATGACATTCTAAATATCTACTAAAAGACTAAAATGAAACAGTTTTTCTAACCAAAATTCTGACCATTTGATGATGCAAAAGGTCTCAGAAATCTACAAATGAAATATGATACATCAGGCATTTAATGGTTCATATCAATTAAATTGTAATACAGTCAATATTTTACATTTGGAATCAATATACCATACTGTAGATAGAAGGCATATTTGATAATACATCGATCAGAACTTTAGCTGAACTGTTTTTTTCTAAACTTGTTTCCAAAGTGGAGGTTTATGTAGGGGAGAAAGCCATGTTATATTTGTCTGAAAATGTCATTTTTTTTCTGAGGTCAGTCACACATGGGGAGAAACCACTTTGTTTATTCCCTTATGGTCGACTGAAGGATGAATTAGTTGAATGAAATGTTTCAATTGCAACAGGGAAGAAGCCATGATTGAATACCTAAAGATTGCCCAGGACTTGGAGATGTATGGTGTCAACTACTTTGAGATAAAAAACATGAAGGGCACGGAGCTGTGGCTGGGGGTGGACGCCCTGGGGCTTAACATCTACGGCAAGGATGACAAGTAAGACGCTCACCGTTCGTTTGAACTGCTTATCGTACTGATCTTTCTCCACGTATATGTTTTAACTGCTATCTAACAGGTGGTCATCTATCACATATTACTTTATTGTTAGTCTTGATTATCTGCTGTCTAATCAGCTGTTTCATTATCACCCACACCGTAACAGTACTTTAGTAGTATTTGGACCTCCCATACAGATGTGGACAAGGGTGCAATACGCAAGCAGTAAAGCTCAGTCGTTCATCTTTTAGTCTGCTCCCCTCTGACCATGTGGGGGTTGTTTTCAAAAAAGTCTATTGACCCAATTGCGCCTTCTCTCTTGCATGCATTTAAAAGTCACCCACCACCACCACATGTGTTTGCACTCAGCTGTTGTGTATCGATTCCCATCGATCGGCATCCTTTCTTTTTTCTCTTTTTTCTTCCAAATCCTTCCAGGCTAACTCCAAAGATTGGATTTCCTTGGAGTGAAATTAGAAACATTTCTTACAACGACAAGAAGTTCATTATCAAGCCGATAGAGAAGAAATCACCTGTAAGTATAATATAGCAGATTAAATTCTGAGGATTTTTATTGTTGTTACTTTTGTTTAAATCCAGCAAAACCGTCTAAAAAATATGGGAGACAAGAAACTGAGTCTCAGAGAATGTGGAAACGCGTAATAAACTGTGTACACAGATAATAAAACCCTATTTAACCCAAATTACTTTCCAGATTCCAGAATATTACTCTTAAATTACTCAGCAAGTTATTGGTAAATTGTTCAACCTTTACCCAGCTCTACTTCTGAGAGACTCTACATCTCTAAGGTGTTCTCTTTCTTTGCTGTTATTTCAATCTGTTGTTGCCAGGTGACCTATTTTTTTCTACATTAATGCATTATGTCTTTTTGAAGAATACATTATGTTTTTCTCGTTTTCTCCAACAGGACTTTGTGTTCAATGCTTCACGACTCCGTATCAACAAGCGCATTCTGCAGCTGTGCAAGGGAAACCATGACCTGTACATGCGCCGCCGCCGCCCCGACACCATAGAGATCCAGCAGATGAAGGCCCAGGCCAAAGACGACAGGCTGCAGAAGAAGATGGAGAGGTCGGACAAGAATGGAGCTCAATCCAAATGATTGAGGATGACGATGTGAACGTGAGCTGTGACAAAAATATTGGATTTTGACTTTTTGTTTGTTTGTTTGCAGGGAGCAGCTGGAAAAAGAAAAGAAAAAGAGGGAGACCATTGAGATGGAGAAGCTGCAGATGGAGAGAGAAAAGCAGGAGCTGATGATGAAGCTTCACGAGTATGAAGAGACAACCAAGAGAGCAGAGAGAGGTGAGAAAAACGGCCTCGCTACAGAAACACGTAAAACTGGACTCTATCTCTCTATTCAAATTCAAAACAAATGATTACATAATCAAAGAAATTATTCCTTATGCATGTTCTCAAAGTTTATGCATACCAGGAGAGATCCTAAAATTAGATAAATACAATTCAGCTGCACAACAACACATGACATATTACTCTGTGTGGGCTGTGTGCAACAACAAAAAAAAAAATCGCAAATGGAAAAGCAGTGTGTGAAAAAGAAGTCCACCCTCACTGCTTAGCAGGGTAAGTAACAGCCAGGGACTGACCATTGTGTTGCGTGGAGCAGTGTTTTTTTTTTTTTAAATCTTGGTCCTCAGGGTCCACAGGCCTGTACGCTTTGTATGTTTCCCACCTCCAACGCACCCAGTTCAGACGAATGGATCAGCTTTCGAGCTCTGCGGAAAGCAGATGAAGACACACTCATTAGGATCAAATGCGCTGGAACAGGAGAAACAAGGGAAACATGCAGGACTGTGGGCCCTGAGGACCAGAGTTAAAAAAAAAACACTAGCGTAGTTGGAGGGCTGTACACAATGTAGAGCTATTTTGTTGAGCAACGGGTTTGCTCAGATCCTTTGAGAAATCAAATGGTGGCTGCAAAGCAGATTGATCTCTCCATCGCAGACTCACAGAAGATGTGTGCAGCATCTCGCTGCAAACACAAAGAGAAATGCCTGTACTGTCATTTAACTGGATTATGTTAGAAGTCTGAGTGCCACTGAACTCCTTCTCAGGCACTTCGATTCGTCAGGTAGTCCTTAATTTGGCTGTTGTGAAGATAAAGTGGTAATAACCCTGTTTGCATTCATTCATCAGAAGCTGGGAAGTCAATATCACTGTGTTGCATGGCACTGCTCACACAATGAAAAATGACTTTTACTGCCCTCTACCGTTTATTTGGTTGACATATTTTCAATTTCCAGTTTGACAGAGCTATTTAGGTTGATATTCTCAAATGGATTATACTTAGCTAGAGATGTAAATATATTTAAAAATGAAAGTGTGGCTTTTCATGCAAAAAAAAAATGCTAAACAAAATGTAAAAAAAACATTTCTCTATACTCCACTTTTCAAAGTGGTTACAATAAACAGTTCCTGATGTTTTTTCACCATCTTCTACACATCTTTTTGTCTTTATTTCTTGGCTGATCTACCTATAATACCCTGTCAGGCCTCTTTGGACGGATGCAGTAGTTCCAGTCTGAGAACAAGATGGAAGATATTAGCCCAGTTAAAGCACATCAAACATCTTACACTGTTTATCTGAGCAGTGCTTAATAGATTTTCCTCTGCGCTTACTCGGTCCCACAGAGCTCCAGGAGCAGCTGGAACGGGCCATGAGGCTGGAGGAGGAAAGGAGGAGGGTGGAGCAGGAGGCTGCCCGGCTGGAGGCTGAGAGGATGGAGGCCATAATTGCCAAAGAGGAGCTGGCCAGGCAAGCAGAGGACCAGTTAAAGAGCCAGGAGCAGCTGGTGAGTGTATGCCGCACACGAGAAAAAAGTCATGATTAATTGTAAACTCGCAATATTGTACGAGTGCCAGTTTGAATCAGAAAAATTCTCCAGCCTGTGTGAGTCAGGTCGAAAAAATCCTTGAGAAAAGGTCATCAATCCATGATGTCAACACTTTCCTGATTTGTTAATAATCTGGGACACTATTGTTATCTTGATGTGGATTTAGAATTGATGTTTTAACCCAGATTTAAATTTATCTTGGGTACATTGAACACATAAGAGCTTCATTTGCCTACTAGAAAGTGTTGATTCCGGCAGGGGGGTTTTCTTCAGATGGTAATAACGCGTCCAAATAAGCAAGGGGATACCTGCATGGTGGGTTTTGTGTAAACACTCGTTGTGTTGCTCTCCCTCAGGCTGCTGAGCTGGCTGAGTATTCTGCCAAGATCGCGGAACTGGAGGAGTCCAAGAGAGAGAAGGAGGAAGAGGCTGAGTCATGGCACACCAAGGTGAGTTTCCAACACAGGATCAAAGGATACCTGAAAACCCTGGAGTTACATGGAAAATTTCACACACAACAGCAAAAAAAAAACACCAAAAAATTTACATTTGCCCTCCGGTATGCATGCTTTAGACCGGATTAAATATTTTTGTTCATGTGCAGACACTTTTATCATTTACACACACTGTGCATAAAGTGGCTTGGGCGTGATACTCTATTTTGTTTTTCATTCTTGTTTTAGAGTTAGAATTTTATTTTTAGCCAGAGCACAGAATAACAAAGCACATATGAATAGCTTCTTAAAACGAGTAAGCATTTTCACACCCACGGTTAATACACACATTTGAGTGTCTTCTGTGTCCCACATTCAAACGCTACCATAAAGCAAGGATGACCGTTGGACTCTGTGCTGCAGGGACAGCATTCCTGCTGACCTCAGTAATCTGCAGTTTTCAAACAGCTTAAGATTTCTGCTTTATTACCCAGAAAGGTATGAGCGAGCTTCAGTCATGTGTTTCGACTCCAATAGAAAAAACAAAAACGGGAACCATAAGGTATTGGAAATGTACCATCAAAAGCCAAAACAGAAATAATCTCCTCAAACGCTAAAGAAACTCAACTTTTCCTTAAATTAATTCCAACCTTGTCTACATTTTAGTTTTTCCTATAGTGCCTCCAAAAGAACATTTAAAATGTAAATTTAACTGCCTATTTTGTTTCAAGGTTTAAAGTCACTGTACACAATCCATAAAGTTGTCACAGTCTTATGATACAGACCCAAAATTAGAGTTATTCATGTTTGGGTATGCCAGTATTTCATGACCAAAGTGCCCTCCTAATGTCTCCTTCTTTTCCTTCAGGCTGTGGAAGTTCAAGAAAATCTGCTGAAGACAAAGGAGGAGCTGCACACTGTGATGACCTCGGCTCCTGCCCCTGCCTCCTCCTCCTCCTCTTCCTCCTCGGACAGCGAGAGCGATCACGAGCACAGTGAGGAGAACAGCACCCACAGCGCTGAGCTGCACTCGCAGGGCATCAACGACCACCGCAAGGAGGAGGAGCGACTCACCGAGGCCGAGAAGAACATGCGCATCCAGAAACAGCTGATGGTGAGCTCAGGGTTCCGGCAGACACACCTGCTGCCAAACGTTTTCTGCGCCTTAAGGCCTGATAAAATCCTTCACACGCACTTAAATGCACTTATGTGCAAATTGAAAAGTCGTGTCTGTGCCTCTGCAATCTGTTCACGGTCAAAAAATCTGATTTTTAGCAATTACACCTATCTTCTATTATAGCACAGCAGAAATTACATATGGATCCATTTACAAAATATTACAAAACGAATTACAAAGTTGTATTATAAAAAAAAAAGATTGAATGATGACTAGTATAAATGGTTTTGATTTGTTGTGCAATCTAACCAATTTATCATGGAAGCACAGTCAGAGACAGATTCAGTGCAGTTATTTGAATTTGGCTTCTTTTAATTCCAAGCTATGCAAAGACAACAGAAAAATGAGTAGTTATTGATTGTTTACAGCAAATGAGCAAAAATGATCCTCAAAGAGCTTTTTCTCTGGTCGAAAATGGTTTTAGACTTAGACGTCTTGATGCCTAAAAGTTGTTTTGGACCATGTGATGTTTTTTTTAAAGAGCCCATGTCATTGAAACCTAAATCAATAGTTTTATCCTGAAGATACATTAGGATAGACCTAAATGTTTTGATATTATTATGCATTCTTGTTTAATATTATTGGCAGCACAAATATTTTTTTGTAGAGTGTTGTCTGCCTGGAAAAATGCTTGTTTTCAAGAATGCTCATGATTTATTAAAATCCAGTGGTCAAGCTGGCGATGGCAACCAAATGAGCATTTCCTAATATGCCTTATTTACCACTTATGTGACATCAGTTTTGCTAATAGACACATGTATTAGACTTCTTTAGTATTTCTTGAAAATATCATTTGAGTGTGCTGATTTCTAACAATGCAATAAGATCAAATGCACCGCCTTGTGGTTTAACCCCTGGCCAAAACTCTTCCACAGGCCCTGAGCTCAGATCTGGCAGATGCCCGAGATCACAACAGAAAGACCCAGAACGATCTGCTCCATGCTGAGAACATCCGAGCTGGTCGCGACAAGTACAAGACCCTCCGTCAGATCCGTATGGGCAACACCAAGCAGAGGATTGATGAGTTTGAAGCCTTGTAGGACACCAAACAACGACCTGAGGACCTCTCCCGAACACCCTAGGAAAACTCTGCATGTCTTAATTTAAGAAAAAAGTCTAACAAGTTATGCTACCGACCCAGAAAAGCATGGAACACTGTAATATTTCTTTATTTTTTTTTGTTCTTAAACGTTTCTAGCTTGTTTAGTTCCATTAAAGTGTAAAGTAGAATCGTATCATATAAAGAGACATGAATGAAGATATGAGGGGTGAATATAACAATCAAAGAGATAACCGAAGTGCCTCCAGGTGTTCCTCTCCCACAGTAGAAGTGGCTGAATTTAGATTTAATTAGTTGCCAACCTTGATTGTTTTTTTTTTGGTTTTATCAATAAAATATTAGGAAAAACCGAAAGGAAAAGGCCTGACATGTTTTTTAAAGCCCCATTGTCATTGTTTTATGAAAACTGAAAGCAAATTTAAGACGGAATAAAAATGATTGACAAAAGATCCAGTTCACTTTGTCAGTTTATTTGTATTTCACATTCTCTAAGACATTCTATGATGATTTATCATCAGATGTGTCTCTAAATAACTTCCATTATGACTGCCTTTGAAATAGATTTACTAAGGATGGTTGCAAATCCTAGAAACAGGCAAAGTGCATCCAAAAGAACTTTCTCTGACAGTTCATGTTTTGTGGCACGAGCTCTCTGACAAAAATCATTCCACTCTTTGGAATTTTGCACCAGAATGGGAGGAAACAATAAGGTGATGACAAAGACACAGAATTGAAGTATGTCGGTTAGAAAGGCTGCTCTGGATGGCCCCCTTTTTTTCTAAAGGAAGCATCTCGTCCCAGTTGACTACTCCCCAAGCTCACCTGATGAGGTTCAGCCCTTGTTAAAAACTAGTTCCAGAGGAACTTTAAGGGTTGGTGGACACATCTGTTTGATAATGGAGGATCCTCCTTGCTGCACAGAACAGAGCCGGTCTGTTGAGACCTCGACTTATTGACAGACATGAAGTTGTGTTTGATCGGACGAGCCCTCTGGCTCACCGGCAAAAGGATGAGCCTCTCCTAAATGTTTGCACACCCAAGGAAGGCTTATCAGGAGGTTGCTAGACAACTTGCGAAGCCAGAGGTGGTCTGTTTAGATAGCCGCTGGGTAAATATTTTACTGGAATGCACACACGAATGATATACCTAGTCATATTAAACAGGGTGACGAATTCCTTGCAGAAAAAACTGCTCTCCTCTGCAGCCGAGAAATGCATCAATTCTCCAATAAGTTTTTTTTTTTTTAAGTGTTCATTTTTGGCCTCAGTCACTAAGCCTGTGGGTGTGGAAAAAAAAAAACTCCACCGAGGTGAGCCTTGATTCGAGCAGCGACTCCAAGAAGAAGCTGCCACTTGAAAGTCTGTGGGATTGCCCCTGTGTGTCTTTTTTTCTCTCCGCGGGATCTAAATATAAACCGGTGACAAATAGTCCAAATAGCCCACAGTAGCATCCCAACTGTGATGTGGGGGTGGTGCTGAAAGAACAGCTCCGACTCCAAAAGTCCCCCCCCCCCCCCCCCCCCCCCCCCCCCCCTCTATTGGATCTGAGGTCCGTCAGGAGAAGGTCGCAGCGCGCCTCGGCTCCCACATGCGCTCCGCTCGCCCCTCGCCGGTACCATGAAGAGACAAAACGCCAGGACGCTCGCCCTCATCGTCAGCATCCTCACCTACCTGGTGGTGGGAGCGGCCGTCTTCGAGACCCTGGAGTCCAAGCAGGAGAAGAGCCACAAGCGGAGGCTCGACGCCAGAAAGTACGAGCTCATGCGCAAATACAACTTGACCAAAGCCAACTTCGAGGAGCTGGAGCTCGTCGTCCTGCAGCTCAAGCCTCACAAAGCCGGAGTCCAGTGGAAATTCGCCGGGTCCTTCTACTTCGCCATCACTGTGATCACGACAATAGGTGAGCAGGTATTCCTCTTTCTTTAACACGGGAAGGGGGTGCCATGCAAGTCAGTAAAGTCAGGAATTTGGGAAATAATGAATGTGTCACCTTTGTGTTGGGATAGTCTTTTTAGCATGTTTTTTGTACTTTTTAAAGTTGTGTCTCTCAGCCCATTAAAAAATAAATAAATATATATATGTATATAATAATAGAGAGAGAGAGAGAGAGAGAGAGAGAGAGAGAGAGAGAGAGAGAGAGAGAGAGAGAGAGAGAGGGAGGGAGCAAGAGAGGGAGAGTGATAGTTTGTTTGTGCATGACTATGTATGTATGTATGTTTTTGTCACTTTAGTGGGGGGTTTTTGTGGGTAATTTAATTTTGTGTCTTGAGTAATTTCCAAGCCTTCAAACAACATTGTAAAGCAAGAACTGTCTTCAAAATAGATCAACCAATTATCAAATGAACAATGCCTTTTTTCAACAATGTCAACTAACAAACCCCTGTAATGCCCAGATATGCTTGTACAACATTTAACTGAAAAAGCTAACTTGTTTAGAATTAGTTTAGAAAAAAAATTCGGGACTTCTCTTTTCCCGACAGCTTACTTTATAGTTTATTCTTAAAGCCCATCTGTTACAGACAGGTGGAAGTGGGCATTGCTCGGACTGGGAATTAAACAACAGTGTAATGTGCATAAAAGCGTTAATATGTTAACGTCCAGAGACACTTTTTAAATGTGACTGTTTTTCATGTTTGAGTCAAGAGGGGAAGGGAAAAAAACGTAATGGTATCTCCAGGCATCTGACGTAACTGTCACAGAAGGACTGTTTGTCACATGTAACTGCAGATAACATCCAGATTTTGTGATGTAGATACGTAAATGTCAAGCTGAAAATCCCTCAAGTAAACACATTTATTCGGATCTGGATGCTTTTTCCACATTTTTCTTTCAACACAACATTATTAAGTGTTAGTGTAGAGGAGGCAGAGGAGGTCCAAAGGTCAGAAATTGGCATAATTGTGGCTACAGCATGTTGCATTGCTTAAACATTAATGGCACATTTTGGTATTGATCTGCTGATGTGGCTCACAGACCTAAAGTTATGGCAGATAGGTGTGAGTTTAAGCAGTCACACGTCAGCAGAATTAAGTGTGAGCATAGGGTTACGTTCAAGTACGAGCTCAGAGACATTTCAAATAAGTGTTACCTTAAAATCACAAATTTTTTACTTTCAGTCATGTGTTTAACAAGGAAAATATTTTGATCAGAGCTAAAACAGATATTTCAATATAGTGCCACATGCCAAATATTGTCTTTTTTACTGTGTGACTTTGCAGGTTGGCACACAAATGAAAACTATGAAATACCACTTCCTTTAAAATGAATTAAATTATTTATTCTATTCTATAATTGTATTAACTTAGCGTGCCCAAATTACACATAATTTCTTCGGTTTGAATCGGCTCTTTATCCCCATTCAGTCTTAAAATATAATCCAGCCGGGATTTTTTTTAATTTATAACAATTTGTATGGATTTGTACAAATTAGTGTGGAGTGAATGGCTCTCGTCCTCTTGGATCTAATCCAGCAAACGTCGAATCAAAAGTCAATCTTATTTATATATATATAGTTATACATATATATACACGCACACGAATAGTCAATTAAATTTCTCGTTTATAGAATAAAGTTTCCGTGGTGTATTAAAAGCACGGCTCTGTTTCTGAATCTGTCATCACATTTTCTCCACCTCAGGGTAATTTTGCCATGGAATGTGATGCTTTTCTGGTTAGTGTTAACGATATCTCAGCTGACAACAGTGTGGGAGTTAAAAATAAAACGCCGTTTGCTCACAACATTTCGTTTCGGATGAATGGTGTGCCTGGACTTTTTCACGGGTTTTGCTTGCAAATGAAGTTTTGTGTCACTACGTCGGACTTAGCACGGCAAAAGAATCCCGTGCGCAGAGGTGTAAATGTGTGACCTGCTCTCGCTCAGGTTATGGCCACGCGGCGCCCAGCACCGACTCAGGGAAGGTGTTCTGCATGTTCTACGCCCTGCTGGGGATCCCGCTCACCCTGGTCATGTTCCAGAGTCTGGGCGAGCGGATCAACACCTTCGTCAGATACCTGCTGCACCAAGCCAAGAAGTGCCTGGGAATGCGTCAGACCGAGGTCTCCATGGCGAACATGGTGACGGTGGGCTTCTTCTCCTGCATGAGCACTCTGTGCGTCGGGGCGGCGGCGTTCTCCCAGTGCGAGGGCTGGAGCTTCCTCCACGCCTACTACTACTGCTTCATCACGCTCACCACCATCGGGTTCGGGGATTACGTCGCCCTGCAGAGGGACGACGCCCTGCAGAACGACCCCCGCTACGTGGCCTTCTGCTTCGTCTACATCCTCACGGGCCTGACGGTGATCGGCGCCTTCCTGAACCTGGTGGTTCTTCGCTTCCTGACCATGAACACCGAGGACGAGCGGCGGGACGCCAAGCAGAGGGCCTTGCTGTCGGTCAACAAGCCCAGGGGGGAGGTGGCCCGTCTGCTGCCGCTCTCCACCTCCACCTCCTCGACACCTGTAGCAGACACCGTAAAGACTAAAGATTTCAAAGGTGCCTACACCGAGGTGCTGCATTTCCAAACTATATGCTCCTGCTTGTGGTACCGGAGCAAAGAGAAGCTGCAGGGCTCCACACCCACCATGGTCCCCCAGGAGCTGACGTTCTCCGATGCCTACTTGCAGCAGAACAGTGACTGTCCTCACTACGTGGAGCCGGGATCCACGGGCTGCGTTTGCAGTCCCCGTCAGTGCACGAGTATCAGCTCCATAACAACGGGCCTACACATTCTCTCTCCGTTCAGGGTGTTTAAGCGACGCAGCTCCGTCTAGCTTTTCAGTGCAACAGCCCTCGGCGTGGGCCCCTTCTGATATCGTCAAGGGGGACAGCAGATACTCGGTAGCCCTCCCAGCAAAAACCTGGCTGCAAGTAGATATATTTGTGGTGCTATAATCCCAGCATTCCAACGTTACAATGCACAAAAAGGAAAGTGCGCGTTGAGCACTGTAAAAAGTCTTACTCAAATACGGGACTGAGAAAGAGCAGCTTGCTGTGTTTTCATTTGAGGCTTCCTGTGTGCTCAGAGGAGTCAGGTCGGCGTGCTGGACGACACGTGGGTCAGTGCACGTGCCGAGGAAAAAAGGAGAGCGGACGCAGAGTCGACTGAGCAAAGACACAAAAAACTGAGACTTCTTTCACTTTGCGTTGTCATGTTTTGTTTTGTTTTGTTTTTTTATACATTTGTGATCGGCCTACCTTATGGTACCCTCCAACTAAGTCATGTTGTGGGATGTTCAGTCAAGCTGATGCATGACAATAACTTTGGGTGAGTCACAGGACTCATGGTCCATGTTGCTGAATTCTCCAATGCCTCAGCAACACATTATGTAATGTGACAAGTGGATGAGTAAAAAAAAAACACACAAAAAACAAGACGACATCGCCCGAATGCGGCAAATTGATAAAAACAGATTACCAAATTATCTCACCTAGCTAGTCACTGGTAATGACCGAAACACACTTAGCTGGATTTGTTATGCAACACGAAAAGCACAGTTTGCAACAAACCAACAAGTCCAAGATTAACCCAACACGCAGAGCTTAACCACCTTCATCTTCACTGCAGCGGGATGTCAACCTTTTTTTTAAATGCCTGTGATTGCTCATGCGGTTGGTGGTTGGTCAGTCGCTCTCTGGACAGGCACAGTTAGGAGCAGAAATAAGATGAGGTATCATTACGCTTCACAAGGTTTCCGTACACACACACAATTTCTCCGAGTCCTCATGTGACACAGTTACTGAACCAATTGGCGTGGGTGGGGGAAACAGGCATGGGAGACTTTTCAAATCATATCTTTAATAGATTTACAGCAGTGATTTAGATAAAAAAAAAACTGCATAAACTAGGAATATACAGACAAAGGTGGTAAAAACAGCCAAACTGCCTGGCCAAGAGCGAAAGAAGCCACCCCCCCCATCTAGAGTCCCTCGTACACACCTCTGAGGCCCACTAATTAACACATTAGGCCCCCTTTGTGTAATCATCACTAAAGGTGTGAAAACATCCCATTGCGAAAGATTATTTCTTTAAGCTGTTTATACAGCGTGACGAAAAAAAGCCTGCTACATTCTGTCACTATTTGTGGATTCTTTTCACAAATCACATGATATAAATAACGTGTGAACGAACTGCTGAGCCTCAGAGGTGGTGGTACACTTTCATACCTTTGGATAGAGCCAGGCTTGCCATTTCTCAACTTAGAGTCCCACTGATCTAACCTCTTCCCTGCTGCCTTTGCGTGAGGGCAACTTTTGAGTAGATCTTATCATGGTGACCAAATTGACTCGATCTAAACCTGTATTTGTGTTTCTGTAAAAGGTTTTTTGCACTGAAGGTTTAAAAATACATTCAGCAGCTTTTTTCTTACTTATTTCCCTACAAAGACCTACACAGTAACACATTCCTTGCTACATTATGATGAGTCCCTTTAACATATTGTTACATTTTGCAGTGTCGCGCTATGCATTGACCTTATATATTTCTGCATATGTTGTTTTTTAAATGAAGAAAGACGTCCAGCACTGATTAAGACTCAGATACACACACCATAAAGAGGTAGGAGGGGTAGTAAGACACATTAGTCTGCCAGTTCCCATTCTAAAGAGGTTGGGTTGATACCAATTCAAACTCATTTTTTTCTATCATTACCCAACATTAATTTAAAATTAGATAGGTTGTGAACTACCATTTTGCAATATCAAATCATTGGACATTTAGAAATGTGGATAAACATTCCCATTACATGTTTTCACGTGACATTGGGCTTGCTCAATTTTCAGCATAAAGAATAAACAGCTCCTCCGAGATTAGATCCTTCTGCAAAGAGATTGACGTCAGAAATATACTTTCCCGTTAAGAATCTTCTTTATTTTCCTTCATTCTATTTCCTTTTCATGAAGCCTCAAATAACCAACTGACAAAACAACCCCCCCCCCCAAAAAAAACCATCAGCTGTTTAGATTCAAGTCTACAAAGCTCTGCAAGTCACATATGAATTCAACAGGAAATGCAAAGTATTTTAGTAGCAGTCTGGAGTGGCAGATGGGAGGAGGGTTACCATGTTGGTATGATGGATAATAAGTTGGTTGTCAATCACAGGCAATCGTGTCACAATAGACTGAGTCATGGTAATAGATGGAAAAGAAAAATCCACTTTCAAATCTAATTTTGTGAATGTCTTGGCATGTTTAGGTGCTTAGTGTTTTATTTGGAGGACAACTAAATGAAAAGTCATGTTTGCTTCAAAGCTGTACATGTTTATGTTAGTTAAAACGGTTCGATTTCTTATGTTGGTGCACATTATCAGTCATTCAGGTCGTGGTAATCCTAAAATTGCAGGTAAAGGTCTCTGGACTTTTTCCTGGAATTTGTAGACGTTTTACCTCTCAGCCAAAGGGCTTCTTCATTTCTAAATTACAAATTCAGTATTATAAATTGATACTCCACATTTCGTATCTTAAAATGGAAGAAACCTTTGGATGAGTTGAATAATCTTCAAAAACTAAGAAGAAGAGTGGTTGCACTTCACTCAGGTTATGAGAAGTAGATTATTATTTTTATTTTTTTAAAGTAAATTAACATAAAGAATTGCCAGTTCATTCATCTTACCTTTAAAGTCTTCAAAAAAATCCATCCCAAGAGTGGTGGAATTCGACTGATAGCTGCATCAGCTTACTAGAAAACAACAAATTGCACCAAAGCCATAACTAAGAAAACGTGTCTGATTAAAAAACGAATCTATAAAAAAAAAAACAAGGTCAGAAATAACAAGCTCTTGAGTCACATTGAAAATGTCTGTTTTTGACAACCTAAGATATTATTTTAGGTTTGTTTTGTTTTTTAATTAGTTGATGAGCTTGAATTTGTCCTATTTTTGTAGGGTTGATGTGAGGTAATCCTAGGCATCCAGTTTGTGCCTGGTCTTGATGGTCGCGAGGCATTCTGTTTAATGCAGGAAATCACAACCTGAAGAACAAATGTATGAGTGATGAAGGGGAGGCAGGCACTAGTAAATAAACAGCTTTTCTTCTTCTGTTTTAAATTAGCATCCTGAAATAAACTGACCAACTAAAAGAAATATTAACATGTATCTGGGTCACGTGACATCTTTTTTGCCAGGATTTTTAAAAGCTTGCCCACGTACCACATGAAAACAGGGGCATGTCTTATGTGCTCATTTTACATTAGCTGGCTTACAGGGACTGTAAAGGAATAAAAAGTTGATATGTTTGGCTGGGTTGAAATACCTATTAATTATAATTTGAAAATCATGATCATTTAATCTCTTTGACACAGAAAGAAATAGTTAGTTACACTTGTATTTTAAACCATAAGACTGCAGTATAAAGTAAATTGAAAGACCATGCCATGTTTTTAATATGTTTCATGATACTGTAGTTTCTTGCTGTGAAAGAACTATCTGATAAGAGACAGAAAAACAGTGTTTGAACACTTTTAAGTACTTGAAATTACCGTGCCCCTGGGTACAAATGGCAATTGCCCCTGGCAATATGAACCACGCGCTTCACATTTGTCAACTATATTGTACTGTTTTGTCCAGATATAGAGAAGAAAATCTTCAGAAAAACAGTAAGAAATCTCAATATTTTATCAAATAAAAGACTGTTTAAGATTTTGGCTGTTGCTTCTTTGAAATTACAACTTTAAACAATGATTGCGGTTGATTTAAATCAGATAGAAGCTGTGTAAGCTGTAGTGATGTTCATGATCACGCTGAGGCCGTGCTGTTTATGGAGACGAGCCTGCTGAACGTATAGAAATGATCGTTTTGTCCAGATGGTGTCCCCTTGGGAATTCTGACCACGGTCCAGTTCCGGACAACCTACAGCAGGTTAGTCACGAGCTAAAGTCTCCCAGTGTATCATGATGTCATATCTTGTGGCAGTATCTATATGTGTTATATCCAACTACCTGTTATGTGGCCCAGTAAACTGGCACACGCAAAATAACTGAAAGCCTTAAAGCAGGACAGAGTTCTAATTGGAGTAGTTGTTGATATTTGAACCTATTATGGAAACCATTTGTTTTCCATTTAGAAAGTTTGAGTTGCGTTAAAATGTTGCCATTGGCTGTGAAAAAAAAAGCTGTCTTTTACAGGTAGTGCCGCATGATAAGGTCACATGTACAGGAAAAAAAAATCTATACAACTATTTGACCATAACAAATCCATTTAAGTTTAAATTTAACCGCCTTCCATGGTAGCAGATGTTTAGTTCAAGTGTTCTCTATCACTGTTTCTTTTAGTTAATCTACTTGCACGCAAAAGTAACAGATGTTGCTGTGATTCTCCAAAAATCACATGCAAACATCTCCAAATGTTATTTGATTCTGTTGTCATCAGCAAAGATCAGCAGAGAAGTCCAACTATCTTTAAAGTTTTGTGGTTTCATTTCCTGTGTTTTCAAGCGCTCTGTGGAGAGGAACTCCACAGTTTTGGAAGAATGTAAAAAAGAGATGGATTTGAGTCAATTGCATGAAGCCTATCAATCAGACAGCATGAGCTTAGAGCAGAATTATCCCATCAAAGTGTCGTTGCTGAGGGCAATTAGGAATGTATCTCATTATCAAAATTTGTTTGCCACTGCAACATCGAACCAGATTGTGAGGCCTGGCCCCGCGCCTGCGAGTCCGCCTGCAGCCATTAGACGTGGAGCACAGAGAAGCAACAGAAGGAGTATCCATTCGACAAATCCCTGTATTGACCCCCCATGGCAGGAGCATCTGCTGTTTTCTTCTTTGGCCACAGACCTGAGTATCTATGTCAAAGACAAAAATAGCCCCAAATAGACTGAAGGTCAGCTATGACATTACGTCACTTGGTGAAAACTCTTCAGAAGGTTCAAACTAATATGTCCACTTTGGATCGAAGGTTTTTTTCACATTTGTGAAACTGATTTTTAATCATCTTTTTTCTTTTCGTCAATGTTTAACTTTAATATATCAAAAAGATTAAACCCTTAAGTTATTCATTTGGAAAACAAAGATTTCAGAAAAATGGTTTTAACTTAAAAAGTCAGCAAGATGGTCTAAATAAAAATAAAAGTAGCAAAAGCAGCAATATGACAACAAAGAATAAGATTGCTCATAACAATTTTTCAGGGAAATTGGATTTTTCTTAAAATAGTAATGTATATATATCAAACAGGAATATATATTAGTTTGAGACACCGTGAGATTACTGTTATTTATTAGATTACTGTTTATTTGTTTGTTTTTTTACTTCTATCTTTCTTTTTTTCGCTCTCTGGGACATGCGGCTGTTGTCTGAGTGTCAGTGAACGCCGCACGCCGGGGTGCCGCTGCGTCTTTAAAAAAAAGTTCAACGTCCGAAGAAACTCCGAGCGGCTCCAAAATGGATCTCGGGGAGCGAGCGGCGAGCCTGCTGGCCCACAACAAGAAAGCGGCTCTTTACGTCGGCGGAGCCGGGGCTGCACTCGTGGGCCTGGTGGCGGGATATAAATACTTGCGGAGGCCGGAAAAAGCCGTGCGCGTGGGCGTCGTGTCGCAGCTCCTCATTCACCCTCTCAAGTCGGGCAAAGCCGTGTCTGTGGCGCTCGCGGAATGCCAGAAAATGGGGCTGAAGTTCGGAGAGCTGCAGGATCGGTGAGTGGAACACACACCGGGTCAGCTGTCATCTGTTTACCTCACGAACACGCCTTGGATTAGAACCTGGTGTTGCACATCCCTGCACCATTTGCGGTGCAAACTGATAAATACACAAGCGGCCAGATGTTTGCGGCACCTGTGAGTGGTCAGACCATCCACAGGCAAAAAATCCCTGTTGGATTAAGGGTCGTGGGTGAAGGGGTTAACCCGATGACCACCGCTCCTCCAGGGGGGAGTTAATCATTACCACATGTGGTCCAGTATTACGCAATGATGACATGGCCTGATGTCAGATTAGTTTTCACTGGCCATCATGAAGACCTAGAGCAGGAAACACCTGTGCAGTGTTAATTTTTATTAGTAAATTTAAAAAGTAAGCCATCTTAAACATATATAGACATTTCACATCCTTGTGATGCGGCTGATGATGATGATGATGATGATGATGACCGGTGGTTCAGCCCATGTCCTGTGTGGGTTTGCAGGCACTGGATGGTGGTGACGGATGAGGGTCAGATGGTGACGGGCAGACAGGAGCCCCGTCTGGTGCTGGTGTCTCTGACCTGCGAAGGAGGCCAGGTCTGTCTGAACGGGCCCAGCATGGAGGAGCTGAAGTTCCCGGTCAAGGAGTCGGACAACCCCGTCTTCAACTGCAGGTGTAGACCACTTGTATTCTTCAACACAGACTGAAGCCTTTTAGATAATTGTTCTTGTAATTTCTTTAAATAGCCTTCAGTAATAGTTCTTTAGGGATATTAAAGGGCATCCCAAATCTTCTTTTTATATTGGCTGCCTTTTTTCACCCTATTTTCCAGCAAGAAGATCCCACATCGGGCTTTAAAACCCACTTAACTAAATTGAATTACCTGGAATTATATAAATAGCAACTTTTATAAGACCAGTTTAATATCTTAATATCTAAAGGAAAAGAGCTCCTTCAAGTTTGTTTTCATTAAGTTGGACTTATGAGGAAAGGCAGTCCGCAAAAACACAATTTTTCTCTTTTTTTATTTTTCTGGGACCAGTTTTACTATTCTGTTTTTTTTTTCTTTCTGTTTGGCTGTTATATTACTGCCAAACAGACACCGTGAGAGTGACTGACGTCGCTCTTCTCTTGTCCCTATCTCTTCACTCCCTCCTTCCAGACTTGTAACGGAATATTCTTGTTTAACAGAGTGTTTGGACTTGACATTCAGGGCAAGGATTGTGGAGACAAAGTGTCCGACTGGCTGGGACGTTTTCTCGGGGCCGAGAAAACCTTTCGCCTGGTGCACTTTGAGCCCCAAATGAAGCCCAGGAGGTCGGCAGACATCGACTCTCTTTTCCCACGAGAAGAGGTAGCTCTTTTTTTTTTTTTACCTCACATTTTTAGGTGCGTGCAACTCCTCGGTTAAAGCGGGATTGACCTCACATCCTTAAACCGTTTATCCAGATGGTGGCGTACCCAGATTATGCCCCTGTGATGCTGCTCTCTGAGGCCTCCGTGAAGGATCTCAGCGGCAAGCTGGAGAAGGCCGTCACGGTGGAGCGATTCCGGCCAAACATTGTGATAAGTGACTGTGAAGCCTTTGATGAGGTGTGTGGTTAGCCCTTACCATTGTAGAAAAAAAAAAAAAAAACCCTCTTTGGATTCATCTCTCAGCCTGACTCTTTCAGCCGGCTGCAGAATGAGAGATTTTATTAGCATAAACAAAGGACAGAGAGCACTCTGTCGTGTAAAATTAAATATAAACCACTCGAGCTCTTAAAAATAACAGATCCAGTGTTTCTGTACACTGCGGGCCATGGGGTTCTGTTTGATTTTTTTTTTCCCCCTCTGAATCATTACCATTTGCTTGTATACTCATGACTAATACTTCGCCCTTTGCAGTGTGAACAGCGTGGACTAAATTTGTCGCCAACCGCTCTGCTTTTCCAGGATTCTTGGGACGAGGTCCAGATTGGCGACGTGCGACTGCAGCGTGTCATGTCGTGTGGAAGGTAACGGCGGCCGGCGCTGCGCACAGATTTGAGTGAGAGGCAGAGCCGGCAGTGGATTGGGGGCGGCTGCTGGGATCTGGAACAGGCGGGAGGCAAAAGTCACCTGTAACCTTTGTCCCCGCCAGGTGTGTCTTCACCACCGTCGACCCGGAGACGGGTGTAATCAGCAGGAAAGAGCCTCTGGACACGCTGAAAAGGTAACATCTGAACCTTTGGAGAGGTGTTTTTTTTTTTTAAATATATTTTTTAATAAGAGTGGCGTGAAATATCTGACAATTACGAGCTGGTAAATTTGAGGGCCGTTCCAATATGCACACACTTACATTCACCTAGAAAAATGGCCTCTTAAAGTAATGTTCAGATACCAAAAAGGTCTGTTAAATAAAGAAATGAAGTATTTTTGTATAATGTTACTTCCAACCTCCGGTTAGGAAGGGGAAAATACAGTTTGATGAAGTCTGCAAATTCACCACTAGATGCCACTCAAACCCAAGCCCTGTTTCTTCATATGTATTTTTTTAATACTGATGTCTCAAGAGAGGGACTTTCTGCCAAAGTTTGCAGCACGCGAGGCTAAATTAGCTTATTCAACTTTTTTCTTAATTGGAAATATTGAATAAAGTTATTGAAGCTGACAGGACCTCAATTTCCCCTGCTTGTCTTTTACAGTGCAATACCAAAATGTATTTAGCCCCACCCCTTTGACAGTGCGTCCTCTACCTAATCGGAGAACACATTTTTCGAAAGCAGATTTAGCTGTTCCATTTCCAAGGATCATGAGATTAGTTTTACAATGTATGTCTTCCTTTTTTAATTACTGTCTTGTTAAAGGGGGCGGCTTAATCCAACACTACCAGACATTAAAACAGATACAGACCAGCCATAATTTCTTTTTGCCTTAAACACGTTCAAGCATTTCTTCCCTCCATGGCCTTCTTTGTCTGAAAGTAAAACAAAAGATCTGAGGAAGCTTCACCCGTTTTACTGACAAAACAATATGTGACATTTGCTGACTGATGATCCTTTTGGCAGCTATCGCATGTGCAACCCTTCTGAGGCGCACATCTACAAAAAGGCTCCACTGTTCGGGCAGCTGCTCATTGTGAAGAAGACTGGAATCCTTCAGGTCGGCGATGTGGTCTACAAGATCGTCCGTTGATGCAGGGCCTCATGAGTCGGATGAGGATTTGGACGAAATGCACAAACATAAATCACTAACATTTTATAAAATGTCAACAAATGGTAACAGGAATCCTGTTGTTTTTTAGCTTAAATACATTACATACTTTAACCCTAATTGTAATAAATCAATGGTAAATGATTTTTTTACTTATGGTTCATTTGTAAAAAAGGCACATTTTGGACACCGATTAACTCTTAAAAGTCTGTATGTTTTACCTTATCATTGTCATCAAACTGGTTCACCTTTTGCATTTTTGAACCTTCAGTTTTGGCATAGTATGACCAGTAGGGCGCAGTATAGCTTTACTCTTTCATTGAAATACAACAGAGTTAACGGTGTGGACGGATAATGCACGATTTTTTGTTTAATAAAACCATCGCCAGTTGTTTCCTGTCATGGTTTATGTAATATATCGTTGGGTTAGAACGGCTGGTGAGACGTTTACGACCTGCTGACGAGTAGGTGATATTAAAGTGACCTCCACAGAACCACTCAAACATTTGTACACCACTTTTAAATGTCTGTCTCAAAGTCATTTGACTTTCAAGACTTCAAAAATACCTTTAGGAAGTCAGAGTCTTTATTCAGTTGTAGTACCTTTCTTTTTTTAATCTTATTTTTTCACACAGAGAGATTATTTGCCAATTTTCAAACACAACCTATGAAGTCTGTTTTGGCTTTGATTTCTAGTTTAATTTCCTTACTCGAATCACAGTTATTTTCCTAACCTGAAACAAAACAACCAAAGACGTTCTCAGCTACAGTGAATCATTAGCTCTGGGAACATCAGTGGTGTTGTGCTGTGGCATTCCTCATGCAGCTGGGAAAGAGCCCGCCAGTTCGATTCAAAAGTGAGCCTTTTGTTTCAGAGAATCGGGCTCCAGAGAACATCAGATGTAGCTTCAACTGCATTCTAATACTGTGAGCAGCTCCTTACTGGCTGATGGGGAAATGGAACACCAGGATCAAAGAAGGCTCGGATAGTCATCCTCAGAAAACAGGAACTAGGTGCAGCAATTTACTGAAAAACATTTAATCGGATGTGGATATGCAGTATGTAGGTTATAAACAGGATTTCCCCACATTTCCCCATTTTTATTTAAAACCTTTATTTGAACTACTTTAAATTCACTGGGCTTGTTGAAGGACATTCCAAATCTCTACTTTGGGTGTTGGCTGCCTTTTGTTCCGCTAACAGTGAAGATGATGCTACTCTTAAGTAATGTTGAACTCCGGCCTCTGGAAGACTCTCCTCGATGAACAGTAGATGCATTGACTGGAGGTCCACATGTTTCTCTCAGGTCATGTGTCAGGTCTTTTCTTAAGGCATTTGGTCCTTCATTTGTCTAGTTTCTCCCAAATAGATGCACCCTATGCTGATGTGCCCAGGTTTCCTTCCTCATCACATTTTTCTAAGAAATTAAAATTCAAAAGATTTAGTTTTTTAGAATCTGTGTCTTTGGGACAAACTGTACCAAACCATACTAAAATATGGAATTTAACATAGGTTTCCAATAGGTTCCCCTATGCAGGTTTTTGAGAACTATGCCCCAAACCTTTTTAATAAGGAAACATATGGATAAGTCTTTATCTGTGTTGTGGCTACATGAGGGTAGGGTGTAATACATAACTAAGGTCAATTATAAACATGGATAGGTGGCGAGCGGCATTACGGTGTGGTGGTTAACACTGATGCCTCTCCCTTAGTCTTTGTAGGTTCCCTTTGGCTACTCCAGCATCCTCCCACCGTCCAAAAACATACACGTTAGGTTAACGGAGCACTCTAAGTTGGAGTGAGTGTATGTGGTTGTGTTTCTCTGTGTGTTATCCCTGCCATCCCATATTAAGGCACCAATCAAAAATGGTCCCAGTATATTTTCATGTTCTTTATTAATTCCATTTGATATAGCAATGCGATTATAGAGTTGATTGGTCAGTTTTTAACAGTCGCTGAAATCTGTGAGCATCCCCTTTGGAAGAGGGGGAAAATTTGTACTTAATGTGTTTCCATAAATTCCAGCAAAGTGCTTTTGGCTGGTTGAAAAGTGTCATTGTTTCACGTTTTAAAGACTGCCCATCCCTTCCAACTGAAAAAGCAGTCAAAGGTAATGACAGAGAGAGATAGCTAATGGGAGTGTTTGCCCAACGGAATAGCTTCTTTTAACCACTTTGCTGACCCCATCCGTCTCAGAAAATGGGTATTTTCCACCAGGAAGTGTCTATGAGTGTTTTAAGTTAGAGGTTCAGACAGTTGGCGTTTAGCCTGTAGTAGATAATGTATTATTACGAGGGTCTTTTGAGGAGTTGTTGTACACAGTACACAAAGTAGACTGGCGAAGAAATGTCGGCACACCGTTTTGCCCTTTTGTCAAAGATTAGCTGCAGAACATTTTTTTCAGATAGTGTCACTTAACTAGCTCCTAAGTAGTGACTATTAGAAGTGATGTTGTTATAGCATTTCATACTGATTAAAATCATATGGCTCCAGAGAAGGTGAGCGTAAATGGTTAGTGCTCAGAAAAAGGAGCAACGGCAGAAGTTACCCAGTTCAGTGCTTTTAATGATGAATTGTTTTAGGATAGCTTTCTGAACAAGAAAAAAAAATCTAACAATATATTTATCTTTTGCATATTGGATTATCTGATAAAGCTAAACTCCAACTAAAATCACAACTGAACAACTAAAATAACTTAGCAAATAATGAAATGTCTCTACCGTAATACAACAAAAAGATAAACCAAAGCAAAGCTATTCACTGTAAAGCTATCCAATAAAACTAACATGGATTTTTCCAAAGATACAGTAAAGATGGCATGTTGGTATTCTCCTCTGCCGTCATGCTGTGCCATCTTATGTGGCCTCTCACTCTAGTCACCAAGGGTGTTGGTACACAAGAGTTTAAAATGCCATTCCAGTCTCTAGTCTAAGAAATATGAAGGATGCTGGATTTTTTAGATTTATGTAACCTCAATGTGCACCACAGCACGTGGAAGTCAGCGGGGCCTTTCGTTTACAGCTATCATTATCCACAGCGGTTTCAGTCGTGATCAGTGTGGTGGAGTCTAATTACAGAGAACCTCTGAGAGGCACAGACACTTTGAATGTTTATTTCTAACCTCTGTGCGTGTTGTAAAATTGAACCACTGTAACAACACTGAACTTCCGGTATAGTTGGAGAAATGTGTGTGCGAGTGTTTTCTGCTTATTTAGACATCAAACCTATTTAATATGTTCTAAATACAGAAGGGGGCAACTACTAAAGACTTTACTATAGTCAGAAATAAAAATATAACATGAGGCTGTGTAATTACATGGATAATTGCACGCAACAGATGCATGCATTCATACCATAAAGGACTTGTTTGGTGCCCTTGTTTATTTTTTACATTTACTGTTACTAAATATTGATGAGAGGATGTAGAAAAGCGTCTTCCCTTTATGAAAAAAGTGAAAGCGGCAACAACTGGCAAAAGAAACATGGAATAATACCAATAGTTTATGTTCATTCATCTATTTTGAATGGATAAAAAATAAATATGACTCTTTAGAAAAAGATATGAGATGCACATTTTTATTTTATAAAATACACCTGGAAAATATTTAAATACATCGCTGTGTTATTTTTTTCCAACCAGTTCATGGAAAATCCCAGAATCACCCTTAAAAGTGTGTTTCTGAAACACGCCTAAAGGCTCAAAGCAGACCTTCAGGAGGTGTTGCTACAGGCTGATGGACGGGAATGGCTGTGACAAGGGAGAATGGAAAGGAACCATAAATCTGCTTCAAGGATTCAGTTTTAGTGGCCAAAAAATCCATGTATTGGAGCTTGTGAGAAAAGCGTTAGGGTGAATGTCTCTAATCAGAGGGAAAACAGCTACAGGGTGCTAAAGAGAAGCTGTCTTGGACTGTGGATGATTGGTTGAAAATTGCATTCAGTCAGAGATGATGTTGAACTTTTGTTTGGGTGTCAGTCAAATGAGAAACATAAAGATGGCAGCCTGAAATATATATTAAAAAGGAAGCAAAGTGCCTCAGTTATTGATGGCATGAGGCCAGGTAAAATTTCCAGTATTGATGGTGACCTTAATCTTGACAGTAATTTCAAAGGAGGGCATTGAAATCTTAGTCATTCTATCATTTGAAGGATGGTTGGTGACTCTGAGGCTGTATCTCAGAAAGGAAATCCACTCAGGTCTCTAAAGTTTTCATCAAAGAACACACATCAAGTCAGTTAAATGGTCACCAAACAGTCCAGATCTGATTATAAAAACTGAAAACAACTGTTAATTCCATACATTTTTCCAGAGGCTATACATGTCAGCTTGCAATCAGCTTGCTCAGCATAAAACCTACTATAAAGAATGAAAAGGCTCATTAAGCCAGATCAGAACCCACAATGTGATACAGTGAGGAAAATAAGTATGTGAACACCCTGCTATTTTGCAAGTTCTCCCACTTATAAATCATGGAGGGGGCTGAAATTGTCACCGTAAGTGCATGTCCACTGTGAGAGACATAATCTAAAAGAAAAATCCAGAAATCACAATTTATGATTTTTTAACTATTTATTTGTGTAATACAGCTGCAAATAAGTATTTGAAAATCTTTCTATCAGATAGAATTCTGACCCTCAAAGACTTGTTAGACTGCCTTCAAAATGTCCACCTCCACTCTATTTATCATCCTAAATTAGATGCACCTGTTTGAGCTCGTTAGCTGCATAAACACACCTGTCCACCCCGTACAATCAGTAAGAATCCAACTACTAACATGGCCAAGACCAAACAGTTGTACAAAGACACTAGAGACAAACTGTACACCTCCACAAGGCTGGAAAGGGCTACGGGGAAATTGTCTTAAGTTTGCCAGTGAACATGGGAGTCATGGCAGAAAGTGATGTGGTCAGATGAGACCAAAATAAAACTTTTTGGTCACAATTCCACTAACTGTGTTTGGAGGAAGAAGAATGATGAGTACCATCCAAGTGATTTCTAACTTGCAAAATAGCAGGTTGTTCAAATACTTATTTTCCTCACTCTTTTAAGTTGGGACAGCCAGAAAAATCTATTTCAAATATATATATATAGTCCGCGTAATATAACCTCAGCCATAATAGTACATAGCCTGTTAAAGTGCTTTGGCATCTCCTTTTTGTAGACTAATTTCTTGACTTTTTTTCTCTTGCTTATTGGGTTTCACCTTCGAAATCTGGTTTGTTTTGTTGGAAAAGGTGAACTGTACCTTTTCGGGTCTCCTTATCTTCACCCCAACTGGCTTCTGTGCATCTTTCTTCTGGGGAGTGTTGATTTTTGTGTTGATTTTGTTATCTTTCTGGCTTTTGGGTCTTTTTGTGTTGTTTGAAGCAGCAGTTTGATTCCTCTTTGGTAATACTTTGACTCTGACTGGCTTCTTGGCAGCAGTCTTCTTAGTCTGTGCCTTCGTCTTTTTCTTCGCTTGTGTCTTGTAATCCTTCTTATTCAGCGTTTTGCTCTGCTTCCACGGTTTTGGCTTCTTCCCCTTCTTTCCTTCTTTTTTGGGTGCTATGCGTTGCGGCTTTGTGGCGTTGGTCGGCTTTGTGGCGCTGGCTGCCGTCGGTCTGATCTTACTGCTTGTCACCGGCGGTTTGGTGGTCAGCTTGAGTTTTCTTGGCGGTGGCCGTGTAGGTTTGTCATTTGTGTTCAGCACAGTCACTGAAACGGCACAGATGTCAGTAAGTACCCATTTTAAGCAGTCGTACTCGTTGCTAAACTGGATGGAATATTTGGCATTGAAACTGGGCCTACATGTTTGAAATGCTCAACTCTCTATTTCAGATATGCTTGATGTAAAAATGGAAACGGCTTTTTCTAGTTTTATATACGACCTCGAATCTGGCAGTATGTATTTAGGGACAAAAAAAACAGCCTATTTTCAGGAAAGGTATAACGAGGACATGCATGAAGGTTTTTTATGGATGTTTCCTGTTTTAATCTGTAAAATTAATTCACAACTCGGACTACATTCTAAATTAAGGTAATTTAAAAATGGATATTTCTTCTAAATTGTTTTGGGACAAGTCCGACATGTGAAAAGCACTTACGTTCCCTGTGCACGAAGGGGAACTTTTTCCCTCTGACTTTTACAGGTAGAGGCTTCTGCTTGCACTTCCCTGGAGGAGCTCTCCTGCAAAAAGTTGAACATTTTGAGTTTAGTAACAATGGTGGCAAGATTAGAAAAGGATGTTCATCAAATTTCCGAACACTTCGAACAAAACTGCAGTACAGTTCAAGGGTCTTCATCCGTCCCTCGTTACATTATGTGTTCCCTGGAAAAGATTAAGCAAGTGGAACAGTTTAGTGAACCACAATACGTAAAGTTTAACTTAAATACACTATTTCAGTTCAAACATGGAGAATATAATGCATGATTTTTATGCCTTAATAAGCTTTCTATCATTAATTTCAGAATAGTTCTGCAGGCTCTCTGAAGGATATCCCAAAGCTCCTCTTTTGTGGACTTTGATTATGTTCATTTGTATCTGTATTTGTTAGTTTTACTAACAGTTGTGATAGTTTTGTATTTCCATTTGTCTTGTCCTTTCAGTTTCAGCCTTCTTTTAGTGCTGTCTTTTGTTTATCTTTCCTTTTCCTGCTCTCTGTATCTTGATCCTGATCGTAATTCAATAGTTCCCTCAGCGTCTATTCTGTCTGGTCACCAGCTCCGTTTTCTTCGCGTGTGTCTATTACCCTCAGCTCTCACCACTCATCAATCATCCTGCTCAGGCTTTCATGGGTTTTTTTTGTTTTTTTTAAAACTGTCTGAATAGCCTTTACCTCTGGATTTAATTTGTGTCTGTATCTGGGTTCTCCACATCATCTTGGCAGTTTTGGACTCTAAGAACTAACTTTTTCTCTGCATTTTATGGCTTCTTTAACAAATTCAACACACAAATCCTCTGTGTAGGACTTGCAGAGAATTTGCTTTTGTCGCAGAGTTGTTAAATCCTTTAACCGTAGGACGGAATGAGGAAGCATTACATTTTGACACCCTTTTGCCCGAATGATTCAAATGTCAGTTCTAAATGGCTTACATATTCAGGAATAAGATTGAAAATATGTGGGAAAAGCAGCAAGTACAAAAGAAAAGAAAGACCCTTTGAGTGAAGAACTCTGGCCTGGTGGAGTCAAAATATTTAATAATGAGGGGTGGCTTGAGTTATTTTCATCGTTGAGAATGAGACATACTGTAAGTTTGAAGTCTGTTACTAAGTACAGAGAGAGAGAGAGCAGAGAGAACTTTGCTAAATGAACAAGATACACACATATTTTTTTCTTAGGAAAATGTATCTAATGTGACATAACAGTTGGGATCATGAGTATATGGGATCCGAATATTAGAAGTTAACTTGGGGATTACATGTTAACAACCACTTGGATGACTTTTAGATGTGGGAACTTTGGTTTGTATTGACCAACAGATCTGTAAAGGTCAGTTTCCATCTGTTTGTTTGTGGGAATAAATCTAAGCCTGAACAAATGAGATGTTTAAGGACTTCAGAGTAAATGCCTCATCACATCAGTCTAGAAAAGGCCGCAAAATCGTCTTTAAATGTTGTGGGCTGCACAAGTCCACAGCCAGATTGTGATCAAATGCTTGGAAAGTAAACAGTGTTTTTTTTGTTATGGTGAATGATGGAGGCTGCAGACATACAGATATGCAGGATGCAGGCAGATGTGGTTAAAAAAAGTAATAAACAAACGTATAAAATTCAATATGGCAGCCAGAACAGTTTGGCTAAAAGAATTTACACATACGAAAGAATTTATTATCCCAAGGAGTCTCTTTTTGGACGATGTATCAGAAAAGCAGAGTAAATAACAGTGATGCCAAATACAGAGTGACAACCAGAAAGCTGGTGTAATATTTATTTTGAGAATAGACTGAAATTTGTGTTTGTTTTATTGGGACCCTTCTGTTTGAAAAAAGACTACCGTAACGATCTGTTAAACATGGTAGGGCCATGGTTTGTTTGGGTTTTGGTGCTCTTGATGATACAAAGATTTCTTCAGTGAAATGTCCTCAATCTCAATTTAAATTAAAGTTGCAAAGATTTATGTTTTTTTTTTTAAAGGTTCAGGCAGAATGAAGTTTAAAACTGAACAAAAGGTCCTCCAGATCTATTTTTGGAACCATTTTTTTTCCCAAAATAATTGCTTTCTAAGGAGGAAACACCAGATGCTTAAAATAAAGCTTCACAGACATTTGGCAGATACTAAGAAAGTTTATTATATCTGATTTACTTTAAGTTTTCTTTATTGACTTGTAGGGCTTGTTGCAGAAGAATACATGAGAAGAAAAAGAAAGTGTTTCCTTTCTATTTGTTTTGTTTTTAATTTATTGGTTAGTTATCTACTTTGGCTGAGTTCTATCCTTTAAGTAACATGACAGAAATGTGCATGTCAAAATCATCTAGTTTTTAATTTTTTTTATAACTGTTTAACCCTTTTTGGCCTGACAGAGGAAAAATGGCTCATTTTGTCTGAAGTCTTTTTCTCTTTTCAAAGGCTATATCTATATGCAAACACATGTATGCATAGTTTTTTTTTTTTCCCGAATGAAATATAATCAATATTACTGGCGGACTGTCCAGGCTGTACCCCGCCTCTCGCCCATTGACCACTGGGATAGGCTCCAGTTCTCCCCACGACCCCATTAGGGAACAAGCAATAATGATGATGGATGGATGGATGGATGAAATCAATAATTTCTGCACTTTTCTGCCGAGTAGCAAGCCTGTTCACAGTGTTTCATATATAACCGTCCAGTACAATAAATAATTCTGATGGCATATACCTATGGTGGAAAGGCATATGAATGTTGCATTATCTATGAAGTATGAATTCTTTTTAGTGATGTCGTGTCTGATACGTCACCTTGAAGGGTCCATGAATTTAAACACCGTTCCAAAAGGTGACATGGCACTCGGGTGTGAAGTGGCCAGAAAATACAGCTCACCTGAAACACAGAAGCATATTATTGCATTTTCTTTAGCGCACATAGCGAGAGTCTGCATAAATGAAGTCACCTGCTTCATCTTCAGCAAAAGAGATGATGAACTTGTGGTGATGGTTGATGAGCCCCGGAAAAGAGCAAGTCGTTGTGTCACCCATACATACGCTCCTCTCTTTCCAGTTTCCGGTTCTCTTATCTTCCTCTAAGGCCATGATTCGACTGAAAGTTTGAAAGGAGTCGTTTATTTGCTGTTGCTACCTCCAGCCAGCATTAGAACGCAAGTTAAACTTTAGACAGATGTGGAGATTGGGTGCTCCCCTGGAGAAGGCCGCCTACAGCTGTGGCTGTAGAAAAACACATTATTCTTTGCTGGTTTTGATGCCGTGTTGCTTAAAAGTTTCTAATGGATATGTCTCAGGTAAAGAAGGTAAATCTTAATGTACACACAAGAACACAGGAGAAATATCAGGGATCTTTTTTTCTTCTCTTTTTCATGGAAATGTGGTTACGGGAACAGCTTTAACACTTCTTTAATCCCCACGTTTCATTTGTATTTTGTTTTGTTATTCTATCATACCAATTGCATGTATCTAAGAATAATTGAATACCTCTAGAATACATTTCACCTAGGAATTCAATTAAGTATAACTGAATTCAGTTTAATTCACTTACACACAGGGTTTTCAGGATCTTGAGAGAAAGATTCCCGCATAACAGACTAAACCGTTAATAAAAATTGTGTTCTTTTCCTTCAATGTTAAACAGGCACAATATATAGATATTTTAGTTTTCCATTTCATTCTTTTTTGGGGGCAGATTAGATTCACGTATTCTTACCCACTCATAAAGTCTCCAAAAATGTACAGGCCGTTCAGATTTGGTGACTCACATCCTCTGTACACATATCCCCCCGTCACAGACTTCCCAACATGATGGCTATATGCAAATATAGGGAGGATGTCATCTGTTGTAACAGAGAGGCACGCACTGGTTTGAACCAAATTCTTAAGCAGATGGAAAACATTTATGCCAGATTTAGCAGGTGGCAAAAGTCTCAGAAAATTGCTCTTAAATTCAATCACGAGGGAAGTTTAACGTGAACAGAAAATACTCACTCAGGGAGGAGTTGTGGCACTGTTTAATATCATAGCACTCAAAGCCCTCTTTTGCCCTCCATCCATAGTTCCCTCCCTTCACAATGATGTCAATCTCCTCGTAGCGGTTTTGGCCGACGTCTCCGCAGAATATCCGGCCTCTGCCGTAGCGGGTGACCGGGTCCCCGCGGTCCACAGAGCATCGCCACATGTTCCGGACTCCATATGCAAACACCTCTGGCCGAGCGCCCGGGTCACCAAGGAATGGATTGTCAGGGGGAATCCTGTACTGTTTCCCAGCGGGGTCCCTTCCATCTACGTCGACACGGAGAACTTTTCCCAACAAAGCACTCCTAAAAACAAAGCAAGAGCAGCGTTTGTTAGGAAAAGTTGGTTCCCCAAGTAAAGTCTCGAGGTTAGATGCTATGGCCACAAAGGCTCAAATTTAGAAATAAATTACCATAAAATATTCTGTCTGTAGTTAATATTGTCATCAAGATTTCTAGAAAGAATAGCTAGCTAATAACAGAGAGGGAACACATTTCTCTGCTCTTGTAGAGTATGTCCTTAACCACAGCTGATCAAGCTGGCTTTGCATACTGTTCTTTTTTTTTTCTCCCCCGAAAACTCCACCCTTCTAAATGATGTAAGAACTCCAGTGGCACTTTAAGGGTTCCACTTTTGAGGTGGTTTCTAGGGACTACCTATAGGATGGCCAAACATTTAACATGGAAAGACTTCCTGATGACATGTGTCTTTTAATCTATTAGCAGTTTGTATTTTCTAACATTTGACATTTGACAAGATTTGATAAACCAATGAGGAGTTTACCTGATGGTTCTGTGAAAGAAAGCTTCTAAAGCAGCTGAATTCTGCTACTCAAGAGACGAACTTAGTCTGTTTTACCTGTATGGCTTCTGTTTCACCTGGGAGTCAAGAATTAATTTGAGTGCTTTCCTGACCGTCTGGTGTCAGGAGTTTGCTTAACCTGCTACCCTATCTCATTGATATACAGATACAGTGCATTAAAGTAGATTTTCCTAAATGTTCTCATAGTTCTGCATAAGTCAGGTAATGCTGTTGTTGACTGTAGGACGTCACACACAAGAAAACTGACTGTTTTCAACTCTGTTTCTCAAGTTTGCTCACATTTCAAGGAAGCCATGACCACCTTACTTGTTTTGCGCATTCCCATACTTCCCGAACGGATCCCCAGCTTTTCCACCATCTCCAGTGAAGATGTACAGGTAACCATCTCGACCAAACAGCAGCATGCCGCCGTTGTGGTTGGCAGCTGGCTCTTCAATTTCTAAAATGACCCTAAAAGTGAAACCGCAGTATCAAGGTGATTAACATCGCATTTCCACACTTAAAAATTGTGGATATTTTAGTAAGAGAGGTATATAAATATATTTGTCTTTTTTCATCTGCAAAAATGAGATAGCTTAAAATAAATAATTATATATATATATATATATATACACACACACCCTTCAGTTCCCTGGATTGGTGCTGTCACAACACGCAAAAACACTTGCTTGGGCCACATGTTATTATCAGGTGTTATCAACATTTTTTAAGTCAAACACCCTTTAGCGATTCAACTTTGCACCTCAGCATAGACGGTAAACCTTAAATATTTCCTACTTAAGTACACCCTGCGGGCCAGCTTTGATGGAGGCTTTACATCCGCGGCTATTTCGACATGTGTTTACGGTGCATGCAGGATACTGGCAGTATGTGTCACCTGTGCATAACCTAATGGCCAAGGAAGTCTGACAAATGGAAATGTGTTTTTCATCAACCTCAATCAAAATCTTCAGTGTTTTAGGGCCCCAGAACACCCTTTCCTAACTCTGGCATTATTAGATGCATAGATCATAGAACTTGTCTTTGCGAGTTTTGGAGTTATCACAGCCTAAGCAAAATAAATAACAGTATCATCCCGAGTATCAACTTGCAGCTTGTGCGCACCTACGTCATTGGACATATTCAGAACCTACATAAGCACCACAGCAAACATTCCCCTTGTGTTACCTCTCTGAGTAAGGGTCAGCCACGTTCATGTCATAAGCGGACACCTTCATCTCGCTGATCCGGATCTTCTCCGCCTCACTGTCGATTTGAATCGAGTAGTAAATGAAGAATCGGCCGTTGTTCCGATACTTGGGGTGGAAGGCCATGCCCAAGAAGCCTCTTTCATCCCCCAGCCAAGGCGTTGTCATCACCTCCCCGCTCAGGTCCAGAAAGGGCTGCTCCAGCCGGCTGCCGTCAGGAAGATAAACCCAGACAAAGCCCAGCTGCTCGGCGATGAACATCCGATGCGTGTCATCACCGCTGTGCAGCATCAACACCGGGTTTCTCAGGCTGTTGGCCACCTCCGTGAGGCACAGCTGCAGACATCCTCTGGGGTCCTGCGCCACCTGTCCAAGGTTGTTGTTAAGGTAGTTGCTCTTGAGGACATTGGGGTAGCAGTAGTCCTGGTCGGACAAGTCGACTATGCTGCAGAAGGTGGAGACGTCCCGGTCAGAGGTGCCCAGCAACTGTCTGTTCTCAGTTAAATATTTCAGCACGTGGCGACACTTGCTGTGAAACTCAGAGCAGTAGCCAAAGCAAAGGCCGGGCAGCTCTCTGATAGGTGTGTAAGGATCCTCCGCATCATAGAGGTGAGCAGCATATGGAGAGCACTCCTGGATAAGACAAGCACAATGGATAGGGAGATGTTTTAGAACAACGATGTGCACTTTCTAGATAAATAACTGATATAGCATGTGCGTCTCACATCAGGAGGATTCCCGGTTCATTGTTCTCCATTTGAGGTTGCATTGAATACAGCTATGGGTTTAACGTTTTGTGTAAAGAGTCCTCAACATGTTTCCCAGGATTTAAACTCTCACCTTCCCATTAGAAAGCAGCTGTTCTTAGTTCTGAGCCTCAGCCATGCCCAAACTCCGGAAAAAAATGTTGAGACAAAATGTCTTATTATATCTATATAAGATGGAACTTTTTTATTTTCACTAAAGATTTTTGTGTAAAGATTAAGGGAGTCTCCGAAAAGGAGGGGAAATCCCATTTGAATGTGCATGATATTCAAGCCCTCAGGTGGGACTGCATCTTTCCACTATCAGCATATGGACTTGAAAGTGCCCTATAAACCTTTATTATACAGCAAGATCTGAAAATATGTCAAGAATTATAAACTGAAAGTGAATGATGCCAAAAAGAAGCCTTAGATAAAATGTGAGCAGGCAAAAAAAGAGTGTGAGGAGGGCTTGGGCTGAGATGGTCAGGGGAATAATGGAAATGTGTATCGTGGTCAGATGCGTTGATGCTGAGGCTGGAGTTGCAATTTTGGTTAAACATATGCTGCCATTTTAGAGACTCAGAGCATTTTAGACCTCACACTGTTTCAAGTTATCAAAGCACAGCTTCGTAAATACTGGCATCAAAAGTTCCAACAAAATGAACTCGTTACAGATTTCATAATTCTGCTTTCTCAGCATTTTTTATAAAGAAAATATTTCATGTATTAACAAGTGTTGTTTTATCTGACTAATTTTCATACGAAGACTTTGGAGATTTGATCAATATAAAATGAAAAACTTTAAACATATTTTTGCAAAACAAACAAACAAAAAACTCGAAAATGTTTATATTATCCTGTTGGTGTTATATCCCCAGTGATGATTTGGGTTTCGGCCGTGCCAGAACAATTTTTCAACACAGTGACATTCTCAAAACAGTCATTTTTACCTGACACATGATTTCCTTCAGCATGTCCTCACAGAGTTCAGAACCCGCCGTTTCCAACAGTTCGATGATGTTCCAATATCTCTCCGCGATCACGTTGTCAGTTCTCTGGTCGCAGCAGCCAAACTCCTCATACTGTCTGCAAAACTCCAGGTGCCACTGGGGTTTGAAAGGTGGCTGGAAGTCCAAGCACTGGGGATGAGATGATGCTGGCTGGACGGAGAAAAGCACCACAGCCGAGAACATCAGGAACATCTCTAGGAGGCTCGGTGGACCTCTGGGTAAGCCCGGACCCGCAGCGGTGCGTAAAAGCGCACTGCCACCGCCGCTTGATTGGAGAGCAGTGTTCCACTTGCTCGTCATTTTTGCCGTCTGCCCCCGAAAGGGTTCTGCTGTTTGCTCTCCTTTATGTGGGCTTCAAGCAATGGTATGTGTGCGTGCGTGTGAGCGTACGCGTGCGTAAAAATGGAAGTTGTTGGGGAGTGTGGTTATTGTTTAACCGCTTTACATGGCATAATTCACTCTGCCACCTGCCGTGTATCCAATCTTACTTACGAGATCAATAAAAGATAATAACATTCATTATAAACTTAGATTTCATTTGTAATAAAAACGCCTTCCCTTGCCGCTGAAAAGTTGGCAGAGCCATACGCTGTGCAAAGCGCGTGCACACATCGTTGCTTTGCGTGGAGGCATGTAGACGCAAAGGTCATAACAACACATGCTATAATTATGTCTCAATTTCGCGTAAAAGCCCCTCCAGGCGCTGTCTGTATGCCATCTTGCACAAGAGCAGGTGACGACGCTTTGCATATTGGACACTGTTCCAGCACGCAGGTGCTTATTTGAACGAAACTCACAAACAGATTTGCATTAAAATTTGATATTTTTAATCCATTGAAGTACGTGGTGAAGTTTCTCTTAAATTGAACAAGGATCTGCCCACGACTCTTTTCTTGACTTTTTTGGTAACGCAGCTCTTCAAGAAACCACCTTGAACCCCACACATGCCCCACGCCCCCCAAATTTGAGCTCCCTTCCTTGGCCACTCTATCCAAGGTGGTTTATCGTTTGCAGCTCACAAATTGCACCTCTGACAGCATCTGACTCCAGTAGTTAAGTAAGTCTTTGACAGAGTTAGATCCTGTACTCTGTCATTGATGAACACAGGTCTCGTCTTTGGCTGCGTTCCAGCTGCCATCAAACATCCTGTTGCGCAGAGGTGAGAACCTTGGCGCCTCTTCTTTTCTTAATTCAGGCAGCTCTCAAATTGTCAATGTTTCATTTGTTTAAAGTTTTATTAGGTGTTTTTTACTGAACTAAAAACATTTACAATGCGTTTTAATGATTCTTAGGAGGAATTCCACGTTGCTTATACGACCCATTTTCATGGTGTCAATTTTTTAATTGTTTGATTTTAACTGTACATTTACGAGTTTATGAAATTCTAACAGGTGCTTGTGACCCATCTGATCACCATAGTTGGTCAATTTTGTACTGCATTCTTCGTAATACATGTGCACTTACAGCCATCCTGTGTTTTTTTTATTGTTGTCCTAACTACAAATGGTATATTTTTCGTTCTACAGTACGCTGTGACCTAAATAAAACGTGTCTTTCCTCTGAAACCATTCAACTTTAATGAAAGATAATACATTTAATTTAAACTCTCGAGTGATAAGGTGTATAAAAGACAACACAAACAGTGTCCATGCAAATAGAACCTATTTTCTGTGTCTCTTGACATAGAGAAAAATACCTTCCCAAGTATTTGACCACCTTTAATTGTATTCGGGGAAATCTGGTAAATACAAATAAAGAAAAAAAAAAGGATTGTATTCAACATCATGACTGTATTTTCTCCCTAAAAATACGATGGACGGTGCGCTTCCTAACACATTTTTCATGAAGCCAGGCTGCAGTTACAGTAACCTAACAGCAGATGGCAGCAAAGAGCAAGCGAACGAGGTGCAAGGAAGCGGAAATCCGTCATATAATGTTTATTCAACTAGGCTTTTTTTTGGATGGGCAGAAAAATGCCAAGTTTGTCAAATAAAACCGTGAAACATCCTTTGAGACCCTCCAGTTTATAACAGGTGGATATTTTTCAAAGTGAAACGCCTAAAGCAAATAATGCTAGTTTATTACAAAGTATTCCGTTTTATGGAATTAGGGCGTTTCTACACATGTTTTACAAACGTTCAACATTGGTATACATGGATGTGAGATAATAGTATAGAGAAAAGCATTTGTGTTGTCTCACTTTGAGCTTTCGGTGTAACCTTATTTGTTGAAATTGTTATTTACCGTCCTAACGTGAACGAACGGTGCAGCTTTAGTTTGAAGGATAATCCGCAGACTTCCGGTCGCATTTTAGCTAATGGTGTTTGTCTTGAGGGGTGGTGAGGAGGCGCTGCCAAATCTGGCAACAAAACACATTACAATGGAGACTGTGCAGCTGATACCCCCCCGCCATGGCACCGTAAAGGTGTGGAGGAATTAGGATACATGTTCTGCAGGTGACCGGACTCCTTTCGCCGTGGGCCCCCGCCCCCCCCCCCCCCCCCCCCGCCCCACACACACCGCGAAACTCGGAACGACTCCGTGGACGCCGGAGTAGCCACAATGAGCTCGGAGCGCCAGAGCGACGGCGAGGACGCCGACGAGTCGCAGGACAGGCCCGACACCGGCGGCGTCCCCGACAAAGAGGAAGACCCCGATATCGACGAGTCGGACGAGGAAGGTGACAACGCTCGGGGGACGGTTTGCCCCTCGCGCCCGGAAGGCAACCGCGACCGGCCGGAGCGGAGCGCCAGGTCCCCCGCGCTGGAGGCACCGGAACCCCGCAGCCAGCCGGTCCCCGAGCCGCCGACAGGGAGCTCAGGCGGGAGCTCAGGAGGCGGAGGGGCTAGCCTGTTTTCCTGGCTGCGGAGCAGGACTATCAGACGCGGGTTGTTTGTGGACCCGGCTCGGGACAACTTCAGGACAATGACCAGTTTGTACTGCTCTATGAATCCGGCCGTGGAGTCCGTCAACTTGAGCACTCAGACGCATGGAGCTGTCTTCAACCTGGAGTACTCCCCGGACGGGTGAGACAATAACACGCTGTGGAGCGTTTCTGGGTCTTTGAAGTTCAGCCCTGCAGGTCGTCCCTATGCACACCGAATCTTGGTTATATATATTAAACCCCCTCTGCTTCAGTTGTAGAAGCTATGCCCACGACCTTTTGAGCTTTAGATGTAAACTGCTGGGTGTTTTGAGGCTGCAACACACCCACGAGAGCAATAGAGATTTCAATAGGTTAGCTGGCAGATTAACTCACATTTAAGAAATGACCTTTGATTGTGGTTGGGCACTGAAAGAGGCCTAAACTAAACAGGAATAGCCAGGGTTTCAGGCCGCTTGTCCAGACAGCAGTTATGGGGAATAAATCCTGCAGCCAGACCGGGTCAAGCTGCACAGTCTGGGTCACATCTGCTTAAATGCTCATGTGAGAGGGGGATCTAACATGTGTCCGGCATGCACAGTCAAAGAGGTGGTCATATCTCAGCTCGTTAAATGGACTTCATGTTTTCTGGGCCATAAAGAGAAAATTGATCTCCCCCTTATTGCCCTGCTGGGGGAACATAATTCTTCTCAAGAGCTCTTTCTCCTTTACCCTTTTACCCGCATCTCTATGCATTGCCCTAGATTCATTTAGCATCAGTAAAAAAATAAAAAGACCCAGAAAGAGAGAATTTTTCTTGCATACTATGTTAAAAGGAATGTTCTGCTCCACTCAGGTCTGTGCTGACTGTGGCCTGCGAGCAGACAGAGGTCCTCCTGTTCGATCCCATCTCGTCCCGGCACATCAAAACGCTCACAGAGGCCCACGAGGACTGTGTCAACAACATAAGGTGGGTTTCTCTAATCGGAAATCGCACTCCAGAGAGTTTCTAAAACAGGACGTGCGAAACAGCTAAACAGACGACAGGTTTCGTGCCCCAAATAGTAACAAAAGACCCTCTGTCTTGGTTTAGGTGCTGATATCTGCAGTTGAGCAGCTGTTCATATTCTCATCCCACCCAAATCAAAAACATACTTTATTTTGATATATATATATTTTTAGGTTTTTGGACAATCGATTGTTTGCCACCTGTTCCGACGACACGACGATAGCGTTGTGGGACCTCCGTAAGCTGAACTCAAAGGTTTGCTCGCTGCACGGCCACGCCAGCTGGGTGAAGAACATCGAGTACGACACCAACACTCGCCTGCTGGTCACATCTGGTTTCGATGGAAACGTCATCACGTGGGACACAAACAGGTTGGTTGTCGGCAGCCCATTGTACAATTTGTGAAGATTAAAGCAGTCTCTTTCTTCTACTTTTTGTTCTTTTGTCCTTTTTAAAAAAAAAAGTTGAATTGAAGCTTGAAACTTGGCACCCTGCCCTATTCTCTGTGTTCTGCTTTAAAGAAAAGACTTTCCATCTTTTAAGGTGCCATAAAAGTTACAATGAGCTTGAATTTTCTCGTCTTTCTCACAATAACTACAACAAACCACATAACTTTGTTTTCTTTTTACTTGGTATTGATCTTAACTCTGAATTTCTGTTTATTAATTTATTATAACCCTCATTAGACTTGCATGGGATATATTAGAATTTTTCAGCCATGCTGCCCGTTAAAATGTACCTGTTTTCTTTTCTTATTTTTTTCTTTCTCCAGGTTTACAGAGGACGGCTGCCCGCACAAGAAGTTCTTCCACACGCGCTATCTGATGAGGATGCGACTGACGCCCGACTGTTCCAAGATGCTCATCTCCACTTCCTCAGGGTACCTGCTCATCCTTCACGACTTGGACCTCACCCAGTCCCTCGAGGTGGGCAGCTACCGCATGCTGCGAGCGCGGCGGACCCCCCTCAGCTCAGGTGAACACCCCGTCACTCCTGCAGATGGAAAAACCTTTTCCCAGTCAACTTTGCAGTTTGTGCGCACATTGGCCTCCTCCATACACATTCTCCTGGGCAGAAGTCAGGACTTTATTTTAATCACAAGTGTCAGCTACACCAGAAAGCAGATGACTCGGTCAGCTAACGTGATCTGTTCCCACTCTGGCGTCTTCTTCCCTTGAAAACGAGCAACCCCTTTTTGAAAGAACATTTCCACAAGGAGCAAAAAATACTTTTGCCCCGCTTGACTTGAGTAATAGTACATAAAAACCACCCCTCTCAGCAATTAAATATCAACCTATGGGATTATAAAGCCAAAGGTATCTATTTTTTTTTTTTAACCTAAGGACTCAAGCAGGAGGCCTTTCATCCCAGCTGGTTCCTGATGGCACCTAAAACCTCGAGAAAAGGTTTTAGTTTCTAACTCCACCCATTAACATTCTTTATTAACAATTTAAAAAGTTAACAATGTTGATTTAGATTCTTTGGTTACTTTTTTTATCAGTTGAAAATACAAATAATTAGCAAATCGGTTTACCGTCCACATGGGAAAGTTAAATCGTTTTTCTAGTCATCCAGAAGTAGTTTGTTTGTGTATGACACGTGTAGCCGTGGTCTCATAGATGCCTCCACAGATCAACCAAAGTATCCAAATGCCCACTAACTGTGTACAGGTCCTGTAAGGATGGAGTTTGCCCAAAGTTTGCCGAATGATTCCAAGATCATTTTCTCTTTAATCTCCTCATTGCAAACTTCCATGGTGATGGCAGTATCATCCTTTGGATGCTATTCTAAGACGAGGGAATGGCACTTATGAGAGTAGAAGGAAGTCTCCATTCTGAGGATAGCAGGTTTCGATTGACAGGGCACATTTCAACAAAATGACACCACGATCGATCGCGTCTGAGCCTCTGTTTTGCGTTTGTGATCCTCCAGATGGAGGCACCTCAGCGTCCAGGTCAGCTGGTACCCCTCGCCAGGGAAACGACTCCAGCAAGATGCACCCTCACAGAGAAGGTGAGAGGCGAGCTTGGTGTGATCCTGGCTCTCCCCACTGTGATCGTGACCCCTAACACCCCTTCCTCTTCCTCCTCCTCCTCCTCACAGGCCTTTCACCCAGGAACAGCCTGGAGGTTTTAACTCCCGAGATCCCCGGCGAGAGGGACCGAGGAAACTGCATCACCTCCCTGCAACTCCACCCAAAAGGCTGGGCTACGCTCATCCGCTGCTCCAGCAACATGGACGACCAGGAGGTGAGAAGCGTGCAGCCCCAAACCGGCCTTAAACACTCTGTGGAATCTATCTGCCAAACTGCCAGTCTGTTTCCTGCACCTTAGACGCTACACCCTGGAAACCCAACTATGACAGATTATTTTTCATTCAGAACGACTTCTCTACACCTTAGAGAATAAAGTATTTTACCCTGAGACAGACATATTGGAGCTGAAAGCTCTTTAGGGTTGGCAGCAATGAATGATTTAGTTTGTCACTCAAAGGACAGATACATGAGTAGTTAATTGAATCTTTTTAGATTTAGCCTAAATAAGTCAAGTGTTTGTGTGCGTTTATAGTCAGATTTGAGGTTAAAGACCAAATAGAAAAGATGCTCTGCGTCTAAAGATTGTTTAAGAAGCCTCATGAGGCTGAGGTCATTTCTCAATATTAGGCCCACCAAACAATCAATCACTTATCAGCTCTCTTGAAAATGGCCCTAATGCAAAGATGTTACCTTTTACAAAAGTTAAGGACCACATGTACACCTCATAAAAAAGCCATTTTAAAGCCTGTAGTGTATTTAATTTGAGAGCATTTTCTGTTAATTCACGTATCACATCGCCACAGTCAACCGAAATAACAGAGGATTCCCTCTTAAATGTTTTTTTTTTCCCTCCCCACTCTCTGCTTCCAGTGGACGTGCGTGTATGAATTCCAGGAGGGCGCGCCGACGCGGCCGCTGGTGTCCCCACGCTGCTCCCTCCGCTTGACCCACTACATCGAGGAGGCCAACGTGGGCCGGGGCTACATCAAGGAGCTGTGCTTCAGCCCGGACGGCCGGCTCATCTGCTCCCCCTACGGCTACGGCATCCGCCTGCTGGCCTTCGACGAGCGCTGCGGCGAGCTGGCCGACTGCCTGCCCGTCCAGACCAGTGTCCTCCGAGAGATCCGGTCCATCTACTCGCACAGCGACGTGGTGCTCACCACCAAGTTCTCGCCCACGCACTGCCAGCTGGCCTCGGGCTGCCTGAGCGGGCGCGTGGCCCTCTACCAGCCCAAGTTCTAGTCCCCCCCCGTCGCCGTCGGAGAACGGGGCAGTCAAAGGAACGCCCCCCGTCAGGGGTCCTGCACAGACTTTCCAGGAAGCGCGTCGGTCGCTTTTCACCATCGTTGCGTTCGACGGAAGCATTGCATCGTTCTCGCGTACGTTTCATGCAGTCTTGTATATTTTCTGTGATTTCCCATCATCCGTGCAGATTTTTGTCACAGCGATTTGACTCCTGTAAGTTCATTCTATGTATTTAAGTCATCAAGGAATGCTGCTTTGAAAAAGAAAAAGAAAACGCACACCAGTGCTACGACCCTGGCATTTGCTTTAAAGTGATCTATGGACCAACTCTGAATGTTCTCTCAGTTAGTTAATCGTTAGAGCTCATCACTATTCTTTGAAGCTGCGGTTCTTAACTTGGGGGACTTTATTTTATAATTTTTTCCCCCCACCAAACCTGTCGGGAAAATGACAAGTACGCCGCAGATGTGCAACAGGCCGCGTTCGTTCGGGTGCTAGCTGTCAGCCGACAGCCATTTATTGAAAGAAAAACCGAGGCATTTCATCCTACAGGTCAGGTCACGGCAGTGGACGACGGACACTTTCAGCCCTTCTTGCCCAGAGAACATCAAAAACCAATGCAAAAAAAAAAAGAGAGACCCCGCCCCCGAAGGCAACACCGCCAGGAAAAGGCGGATTGGTTCACAAACTAGACTCAAGACGCCGACCGAGAGGAAAGCGCGAGGCCCTGAACGCACCGTGGCATCAGGCGACAGCAGGCCCTGCCCCTCGCTCCTTTTC